AAAAAGCGTGGGAACCGCCATCGACACGCCACGCTATTCTTAATTCGACTTTTAAACACCTTCGAGAAGAAGCCCAACTTCAGATGAAAGCTGAAGCCCAATCATGCCATTCCACCCCCAAGGAATGCTCAGGATCGACACAATTTTCAACCTCACCGAGCCTGGAGGACGCAAACACCACTGGGATGCACCCTAGAGGCCCTTAGGTTTCACACCCACCATCCGTGCTTGAGACCGTCTTAACGCCAGCTTGTTAATCCTCTCATCCCTTCCCTTGCCCCTGACGCCGTTGACGATTCTTTCCTTTCACCCTGGCGATTACGAGTTGCTGATGCGGCCTTTTCTCTTGCGCCGACTGCGCCATATTACTGACATCCCTGAAGCACATCAAATGCTCAACTGCAGCAATCAGTATCAAGATTGCCAGCCAAGGGAACAAGAACACATATTTCCAGAGGCTCGTGGCCTACCATCGAACTTATTCCGCCCTGATAAGGTCTCAGGCTGAGAATAGGCCAGCGGTATTAGCCACATAACAAGATACTGTGCCTCGCATCTGGTCACCACAATTCACCCAGATTCATGGCTTGCCCTCTAGCAAAAGCAACGGCGACTGCGTTTCCGCGAGATCTCCCGGCTCCCTTTGCGACCTTCTCTAGCTCGGAACAAGCCCTATGCTTGCTCACCTGTCACTACCGTCCATCATCTCGGAAGGCTAACGGCCAAAATTGCAAACTCTCTTCGACCTCGCATCCACAACCGTTACAACTTCAACTTGGCTCACTCGACCTGGCGGCCCTTGCAAGCTACATATCAAGCTACGTATGTAGAAATTAACGGTATTATAATCGAGGAGCGGGACGCATATCCTGCACCCTCAGAACTATCTATCCGTCGACACCGCCAATCCGTCCCGTCCTTTGATGTTACATTTGGCCACACCCCCCTCTTTCGAGGCAACAGTGCTGATTTCATCAGACAGATCACTTATGTACGTCGGAGCTTTTCTGCAAATCTCATCTCGTCGTCTACCTAAGTTCCCCGGGCCCCATTTGCCTTCGCCTCCCCGGCTGCCCTGCTCCATGTCGGTGCTTGGGTGCATCACGGGTCATACTGCATGCGTGTCGCCGCACAAGTCTGCCTTTCACTCAAGGAAGACAGTATCGTGCGTGATCACGCAGGATCGAGCGATGTACCTTCGAGGTCATGTCTCTCTACGGATACAACCCTGGTACACCGATCTTCGTCGCCTCTACACAAATTCACGCACGAAACCAATCACGGCATCCCAGTCATGCTTATTCACGATACCTTCACACGACCAGCCATTCCATTTACAACAAGACGGTGGGCCCTTGACCATTGGTCATGAAACCTTGACCCTCAAGGCCGCAGCTCAGCCGAGCATCCGCGCAACCGAGGAGAGATTCGACAGAACAAGCCTTGGAAGTGGGAGGGCTGGCCGCCTGGGCGCCACCAAGATGGACCGGTTCACGCTCAGGTTGCCCAAGCGAAAGCCACATCTAAGCATACTAGCTCGAACCAGGACGAATGCCAGGAACAAGACGGCCCATCAACTGCACGTCAATTCTTAGAGCCAGCCTCAACCCACGAGCAGGGTCCCTAGTAAACTGTGTGGTGCAAAGCTACACAAGCTTCATGAAACAGGCTGCAATGAAGAATGCGAACCTCTTCAACAGAGCCGGCACGTGTATAGCGCATACGTTCGCATACCAGCACTTCGTCCAGGTACATCCTGTCCGTCAAATTCGTGACAATATAAGGAAGAGGAGAAAAGCTGACCGGCGTAACGTAACGCGCGGAACGGTTGCAGCTGTCACTCATTGGGACCAGACAATATGGCAAATAAGTTCTGGCTAAACTTCAGCAACGGTCGCCCAGAAGTCCCATGCCAGCAAACCAGCACCTCGTCTGTTCCGTTCTCATAGCGCTGTGACAGAAGACGAAGCAGCGAATAGGATATTAAGGGTGCCTGAGCTTGGTTCTACGTGGCCGAGGCAAGGAAACCACTAACAGAAATTGAACCCCAACCGAGGCCATCCGATGTGATGATGCCTCGTTACTTCAGGCTACATGCATGATTTTGACTTTGAGGAGGGATGACCGCATCCTCGGAGGCCAAAAGTGGTCCCCGATGGACTTTATTTACACGAACATTCACCGTCAAATCATCCGTCATCATAACAATGGGACATCACGGGGGGCGAATATGGTTTCCTCAAAGCAGCCCCGCTACTAAAATTCAACGTCGTCCTTTCGGCCAGACGGCGTTGAAAAGTACGTCGCGAGGTCGTGCGCAGAGGGGCGAATAACTCTGGCGGATGAGAAGGGACGAAGAGGTCTTAGCCAGCCTTACTAAGTCCTTACAGATGTCCCAAACGGTCTTCGTCCCGAAGCCAAAATCATGAGCCATCATGCTCGGTTCGCCCTACGCGACGCGCGCTCCGTACACTCGAGTCCGGAATTCGCACCAAACCTCACCAAAACCTGGAGGTGATGGTACTTCGAGTTGTCTGCTTTTTCTCGGTGCAATATGAGAGCGTTCAAGCGTGCACCTGTCATCCCGTGGCCCGACCTCTGCGAATAATCCAATCAACGCCCCCCCTTAATACTTTTGAATTATATCCACTTGTCCCTGTCGGCACCGTGCCTAACTGTACGGATATGCGACGTTTCGCTGCCAGCCTAGGAAACACTTTCTGCTCTCACGCCCCCGTTCCTTCGACAAACCACTCCCCTACACGTCCCTCCCTTCATCCTCGTCATCTTCCACGACCGACCGAGTCTTCTCCCGCAAGCCCCACTTCCGGCCGTCCGTACAAAGAGCAGGTACGGACCTCTGCCACAAGCCACGGCCACTACGCCTCGCTCAAAAGAATCACCACACGACACTGCCTCTGCTCCTTAGGACCTGCTGGTCAACCAAATATGGAAAGGAACAGTATTAGGCAAAGAATTGGAATGGGGCTTCTGAAGGGGGGCCGCGCAAGCGAACGAAGGCGATTGGCCCTTCAGATGAGAGAGTCCGAGGTGAAAAAGGCCACCAGCGCAGCCTCATGCCCATCACCACCGCCGCATTTCGGACTTTAATCCGAAGGCAGCTTAGTCGGACGATCACCCGGGGCCTGAGATGAGGAAATAAGCATTCACAAGCAACGTACCCGGGGACGTGGAGGCTTGTTGTTCACTAATTCACGGCAGGTACCAGCAATCCGTTGGTCGTTGGTCTGCTAGGACCAAAATCTATCACCGCCTTCGTAAAGCGTCGAAGTTGTAGGCGTAGATGTGCCCAGTTACTCTCATCGCCTCACAGGACGACCTCTACACGTGAAGGTCTCTTCTCCTGAGCTGGAATGCAGAGTCACGGCTCGGCGGTTCTACGGAGCGGTCTCGTCGCATCTTCAAGGCCAGCCTAGGCGTAGTGGACCGAGCTTGATATCAAAAGCCCATCGCGCCGCTTTACTGGATCCCGTCGTGCATCACCGTAGCCGTGCCCGGAGATAGTTATCTCAGGGATCGCATCTGGCCCGGGCGAGATACCGTCCGTGGCTCGATTGTTGCGGACGGACGGACGTCCTGCCAGGCCCTCTCTACCGGGAACGTCAGTGCCGTCCTGAGATGAGGGCGAACGTACCCCTTTCCTTGCACTCCTCCCCAACATCGCGTAGGCGTCCATACTAGTGACGCTTCCTCCATGGAACGGATGTAATAAGGACGAGTGTGATATCATAACGGGCCGAGGAGAAAACAATATCGTCACAAAAGGGTAAATCGCCTTTCCGTTGACAGAAATAGAACCCCAACGCAGCTCTCCCGAAAATTCTAATAAAAACACCAGACGACTAGACTAAGGCCTCCAACAGCGACACAACGCTCGGTCTCTCCGTGGACAACGACCACACCAGATCACGGAGGTTTGTCCGCTCGTGGTATATCTTCGTGGACGAAAAACGGAGCCAGCTGCCTCAACTCCTTCTTCGTAATCCAGACATCCGATCGAGGAACGCCCTCCTGGAAATGATACCCAATCTCGTGATGCAAGCATGAAATCAGTTCCCGCCTCCCCCCTGATCCAGATCCGTAGCCAAGAATAGACAATCTCCATCTACCGCAATGATCCCACTCAAGGTCTACTTAGACGTAACGAATAATAGATCAAGAAAACAAAACCATCTTCGAGAATATCAGATGGCTCCCATATCACTCTCTGCTCGCTTCCCATGTCCCTCGCAATGATGTGAATAGAGGACAGGAATAGCAACATCCATACCTCCACCCACGAGACGAAATCAACTCAATACGGTCCTCTTGTCCGAGGCAACACCAACGGAACGGCATAGACACAACCTCCACAAGCCCCGATAATACAAAACCATACGGAAAACAAATGCTCCGGGGAACCCGTACCCAAAATCGGTCCTATTCAAAAGACGTCATGTTAACCCGGCCATACAGCCCTGGGATCTCCTCTCCAAGAAAACACATCCGATCACTCCCTTCGTTCCTCATCTTCCCTGATAACAGAACTCAGCCTCATCGGGGGGGGACAGGAACATGGCTAGGCAGGACGGGAAGTGATATCGCGAGGATTATGACAATGTAGATCGCATCCCTCCCGGATGACAATTACTCAGTAAGTAAAAACAACGTAGACTAACACGTATGTGTCAACAGTCGTCGCAGAGTAAGTACGCGGAGCGAACAATGGAAGAAAATATTATGATGGGAACCCATGAATTCAATATTCATCGCGCCTCTCAAATATGCTTCCTTCTAACCGGGGAATAACCATCTACAACTCTCGCTCGCTTCGAAATAGTAATCAGACGCCAAACGCCCTCCATGGATCGTGAGTGTCAACAGTAATCTACCAACACCATGCAATGCTAAACTGAAGACAGAATCATGCTCTTCGCTCCCGGCTTCCCCCTTTCCGGCCAAAATATGTCCAGTGTCTATAGATATACACTCTCTCACACTCATGCGCCGTTGGCCTTGTCCTTGCTGATGTAAACGGGAATGCCATATACACACACCGCGCCGGCCGTGATGTACCTGTACCTACAGGCGTCCCTCGCCTTCGCAACCGCCTCAACGAGCGACATGTTGCTCGCGCGCTCCGTGCTCTCCTCCTTCTTCTTGCTGCTGGCTTTGGTCTTCTTGTCCGCAAAAAGGTCTTTGCCCTTGCCCTTCCCCTTATTCTGCTTGCCATCATCAACAAAGGTGCCTCTCTCCATAAGACCCCACTCCTCGAACAATCGGCCAGCGTATCGATCAATGTCCCTGTCTGTCACGTCCCATAGGGTGCCCACGACGGCGGGACACCCGGCGAGCATATAATTCCAGACAGGGCCATGACACTCGTACTCGCCGACGTTCTCGAGGGATGCAGAGCTGCAACCCATGAGCAGGGCGGCAGCCTTGCATTTCTCCAATCTCCTGATGGTCTTGGCGCGGATGTACTGCGCGCCGCTGCCGTGTCCGAAGTAAAGAAGGATTTCCGAGTTCTTCAGAGCACCTTCGAATTCGTCTTCCGTGGGACAACGCGAGACAATGCCTGTCCAGGAGTCGCCAAGAGTCGTCATGGGCTTCTCAAAGTGCTTGAGGGTGTTTTTAAGGTCGGAGCCGGGATTGAGGATGTATGTGCCGCCGGCAGGCGATACTGTGTGATGACTGGCGTCCCCATTTTGGGTCGTTCTCTGCTCCAGGATCAACCGGCGAAGACAGGACAGCGAGGGAACACGGGAGTATGCCAGGCCCTCCATACATGGAAGCGACTCCCACGGGAAAGCATGAAGCGCCTTGTCGAGAATCAGAATGCTGTGCGCCCCTTCCTCGGGCTCCGAAGTCTTGGCTGCGCTGTGGTACGCCTGGAGGGCATCAAGGGTATCCACGACCATGGAGTCGAAGTCAATCTCATCGTAGGCATTTCTCTCTCCTTGGAATTGAAGGATGTCCACAATGAAATAGAGAAGATCATTCAGAGGCTCGTCCATGTCGTTGTCCGGTGCCACGGTCGAAGGGTCTCCCAGTCCAATAAACAGATCGAGAATGCGAGGCTCCAGAGCGACCTTGGGAGCTTTGGTAGTCTTCTTGCCACGGACTTGTCTCCGTGAGGGCAGATGCTTGTCCATAATCTTCGCAAAAGCCTTCTGAAACTTGGCCAGAAGCTCCGGACGGTGACGATGTTGGGAGAAGATACCCTTGAACCCGCCAAGCCAGACTTGCTCGACGTTGTCGAGAAGATCCTTGAATCTACCATCCAAGTTATCACGCTGATCCCACCACGCTTTCTTCGCCCCTTTAGCGGAGTAATCTCCAGAATTATGGCAGCTCTTGTTGGTAGCATTGATGAGGTCCATGAGCTCGTCGTAGCCATGTTGGAAATCGAACAACTCGTCTTCACCATCTCTGGAAGCGACACGCTCCAGAGGCAGCCGAAGGACGAATGGGCTCTGACCGGCTCGCAACTTGGTGATGCACAAATCTTTGCGGTTGTCACTGAGCGAGATCGACAAGACGCTCCATGGTTCGGGGATGATATCGACGTAGTCATGCTGGAACTTGGTCATGTCGTCTGCGGTAATGATCGTCGCACGCCTGTCGTCTTTGACTGGAAGAGCCAATGGCCAACCCATATCGCTGAAGATGGCATCAAGTTGTTCCGTTGCCACAGTCTTCTGTTCCCGCTTCCACGTCAGATTTCGCGCAAACTCAACGGAGCAGGCTGCGTATCCGAAGTTGGCCATGTTTCTAGGAACGCCTTGTGATGCCGCAGACAAAACGATACCTGTGCTCTGAAGCAACGCTGAGATGCGATGAACCAGATGGCCGTTTCCAGAAATTGCAGCTTCCGCTTGCGCCTGCATCAACTGCGTCTGGGCTTGTTCTAGAGTGTCGACGAATGTAGCGTTGTCTTTGGTTGCCTTGCGGTCTGCAGAAGCAGCACGGCTTTGCGGTTTCCGGGGGGAGTGCCCATTTGGCGAGGACTTTTCCGTGGTGCTTTTGTCGGATGTCGTGTGAATTGAAGGGTATGAGATTGTGGACTCCTTGACCACAGAGAAGACAGAGTCGTGCTCCATCTGCTTGATGCCTTGTTCGATGAGACAAGTTGCTTCGCTGATTTGGACTCGGAGAGACTCTCTCAGGCTACTCGACATCTGCTTCGCCTCCTCGAGTAATGCTGATGCTTCAGCCCACTCGCCCTTGCTTAGGTGCACGAGCGCTTTGTACATCAACATTGAGGCCTTCAGATCGGATGCATGGTTGCCGGCCGCGACAGCGAGCGCCTTGGATGGCACTACAGCTTGTGCCTTAGGCGCAGCTGTGCGCTTAGTCGTTCTCGCAGTTGTCGTTGTCTTGGCGGCTGCTCTGGTGGTCGTCTTGGTCGCAGGTACCGCTGCTTTGGTAGCTCGCGTTCTTCGAACTGTCGTTGTCGTCGTCGCGCCCTTCAGCGTGAGCTTTGCCATCTTATCCACAACTTTATCATCGCTGACCCCGGTGATTACACCCCTGTCACTATTGTTCAATGTCCCGAGCGTGACCTCTGCAAGCTCGAGAAGCAATATCTCGTTCTCGTGATCTTTCATCTCGCCGAAAGAGGCACTGAGCTCACAGGCAAGCTGAAAGGCTTGGCGGGTGGGCTTTACAGATGTAGCCATGAGTTGTCTCGCTTCGTTGAGGTACCCGAGACTTTTTTCCAGCTTGCTTGCCTTGAGCCAAACGGAACCGATCCAGCTGGCCGCTTGTGCCCTGTAAATCGAGGCATTCGTGGAGTTGGCGAGTTGATGGGCCTTTTCGGCGTAGTACATCGTCTCTTGGAACATCCCCAAGTGCGCGTATACGGATGAAAGGTGCAGCATTGTCCTCAAGAGACCACAGGCAATGGCCCAGCTATCGGGCCCATCAGCCCAATCGATTCGACGAGCTACCCATCCGTCCGTCGAAGTCTCGGTCGAACTCTGCGTTGAGCCTGACGCTTTTCTCCAGAGATCTTCCAAATCAACCCAGTCAGAGTAGAGCATACGGACACTTGTCTTCGCATGCAACAGTGCGTGTTGGTATTCGCCTTGGTCCCACTTGATGCGAGAAAGCAGACCCGCGGCCTTGGCAACCAACAGTTTTTTTTGCAATCGTGTGCTCCGGCGAATCGAAGAAGACTTCTCAAAGACAGCTTGGCCCTGAAGCAACAATTTTTGACTATGATCCGAATTAGATTTTACCCAAAACAAGAATACGCAGAAACTTACGCTGCATCGACGTTCTGTTTCGCCAGTTGATGCTCGGTGGATGAAACGAAGAGATTGACCGCCGCAAGATCGTCGCTGCCTGAAGCCTGTATGAACTCCCTGGCTTTGTTGATAATCTCTTCAGCTCTGTCAGAGTAGCCCAAATGAATATACTGATCAGCGAGGTCGCTGTGTGACTGAAGCAATAGATCTGTGAACGAGTCGGAAAGCTTTTGAGAGATGTCAGAGGACAGAGCGAGGATTGAAAGGAGGGACTCGTCCTCGCCGCGAAGTCTGGCGTATTCTCCGATGGCCCCAAGCTGTCTGAGAAGTCCCTCAGTGTCGCTAATCCGAGACAAAATATCGTTCTTGCTTGAGCAGTCATTGACAATAGACCGCCACAAGTCAATTGACTTGTCGAAGTCGCTGGCTCGCCACTCCGAGTGCGACTCCATAAGTGCCACCGTTGAAACCAGCCCAGCTTCAAGATCCACGAGGTAGTTGACCAGGCCTCTGTCCTCCGCAAGGTCCTGGCTGCGGCATGCTTGTAGCGTTGCTTCGGCCTGCTCCCTGAGATCTCGGAACTGTGTTTGATCACCGATGGCCATGGTGAGAAGTTGTATCAAAGTTCGCAGCCGGCGGATGGGGAAGCGATCTGTTGAGTAAATTCTCAGCAGAGCTTCCGTGACTGGTTCCTTTACATCATCGGATGTAGAGTCGCTCGATGTATCGGAGAGAATCAGCTGAATGATGCGCTCTAGCACTGCAGCCCGCTCAACGTCAGCAAGGAAAAACGTCCAGTCGTTCCAAGACTGATCGAGTTTGACCATGGCGCTCAAAGTTCTCGACAGCGTCTCCGTCTTGGCGTCGGCGCTCCAGGCAACAGCAGGCGAGTTCGATGACAAGGAGTTCGCAACAGACGCCAAGACGCCATCTTCTACCATATTCGTGCAAATGGATTTGAGGGCATCGCGGGCATCCTTGACGCGGTCGGCGTGCTTGCATAGGTCTGCGAAGTACTCAAGTTTCGCGGTTGTCTGCGCCTTCTCCTTCTCTTCGGACGGTCTGTCTTTGACACAGTCAACGGATCGTTTGAGAGACCGAAGAAGGGTCTTGTCGACCAGCTTGGCGTCGTTGTTGCGACGGTACCAGTGGAAGAACATAAAGTAAAGATGCGACAGCTTGGTATATGGAGAGCTGGCAGCATCGATTTTGGAGTTGGTGGCACCAGTGTCGCCCATGGTCTCGAGCAGCCATAAACAGTCCTGAAGAAGGTTGTCGAGAAGCTCCCAAGTCATCTTACTGTTGTCGATATAGGACTTGGCAACCATGAATGCAGAATCCATGATCTGGGTGATGGAGCCGAGCAACAACTGTTTTCTTTGATCGTGGCGGACCTTTTCTTTGGCCTCTGCGTCCCTTGCCGGTGCTCTTCCAAGCCATCGAAGAGAGAATCGAGGAAGCTGAAGGACCAGTTTGTTGAGAAGATCGATGATGTTGTCCGGAGTCTCCTGCTTATTGGCGGCCAGTAGCCCAACGACCGACCTGCGGGCAGCAGATAGATTCGTCATGAGTTCCTGAAGCTCGAACAAGTCGCCCTTGAGTGAGCCTTGGAGCCCATCAATGACTTCAGTCAGAGCCTTGACAAGCGACTCTTCTGGTAAAGGCACTTGCTTGGCATATACCGCCACGAGTTGGGCTGCGGATGCACAGCGTTTTGCCGCAGAGTCGCGCTCAGGGTCCAGTGTACTGTTGATCTTCGCGATCCAATCGGCCGAGTCATTGTAAAGACGAGCAGCCTGAGCGGCGGTGCCAAGGGCTTGGTAAATGGTCGCGAGAGGTGATTTTGATGACAATTTCGGTTCCAGATTTTGACTCTTGGCTAGCTTGTTGATGCGCTGGAAGACGTCGAGGGATCTACGGTAGGAACCCGGGAGGTCGTGCTGAGATCTGCGAATGAATGAGGTGATACACTTTGATAGTGGTGACGTGATATTCTCGTCGACGTCGGCCTTGTGACCAACCATCGGCCACCAATGCAAACGAGCCTCCAGTCCGAATGTCTGCAATTGCAATGCAGACGGAGGAGAGCAGCTTAATCGGGAATCAGTTGCTGTGTCGTCGTCCTTCATCGAGGGGCTTGGAGTAAGTGAAAGTAGCAACTGTGAAAGAACATCAAGTTGCCGTGCAGCCTTCGTTTTCGCTTGTGCCGATTCTTTGGCTGACTCCAGAAGAAGACGAGTCGGAGAAGTTGGATAAGTAGGATTCAAGTACGGCAAGGCTGCCTCGATTATTGCGGCTTTCTTGTTTAAGGACATCAGACGCAAAATATGCATCTGAGTCGAGACGACAATACCAACAGTCGCACCTGAGAACTTGGCATCACCAAAGTCCAGGAGCTCGGCAAGTCCTTTGACCTTCGCGTCGGTTGTAGTCGTCTTGGTGGTCTTCGCCTTCGTCTTGGTAGATGTACCCAACGCTTCGAGTCGTCGCTTCAGAATGTTTAGCTCCTTCAATGCGTGTTCGTGGAGGCCTAGGCCGACAAGTTTGGCAACAAAGGAGGACATGCCGCTCTCCAGCTGCAAATCCGGAAACGCTACTGCGCCAGAAGCCAGAAGAGCTCTCAAGCACGTGAACGCAGTTCTCAGACATTCAACTGTCGCGAGGCAGGCTGTCGGCGGTGTTGATGTCGTGACCGGCTTTGGTGCTTGCTTGGCTGCAGTCATGGGAGTCGTGGAGGTTCTGTTCAGCGGACGTGACTGCATAGGAGTCATCGGCATCGAATTGGACCGTCGTAGCTGTCGTCGAATCGGGCTTTTCCGGAGGTCATCGCCCGAGACTTGTCGTCGGCATGGTGTTGTGGGCGCAGGTGGTGGTGCAGGCTTGGAAGCCTCGGTAAGGGACTTCAGCGCGAAATTGATGATATGCGCCGCGAGGGCAGCCTTATCCTTCGGGCTCAATTCATCTTTCTTGCTGGCTGTCGCGCCTGCTCGTGTTGTGCCAGCGGTCTTGCCCTTTGCTGCTGTTGGTGGCTTCGTGGCTCGAGACGTGGACTTTGTTGTTGTTGAGGATGTTTCGATTTCTGTCGCGAGGAGCTCTTTCAGCATCACCGATGTTGCTGATGTACATGTTGTGGTCGAGGTAACCGCCGCCTTGACGGCGTCTACCTTGCTCTGTATAGAAGTCATTGAGTCGTATGCGTGGGGGGGCTGATCATGTCGTCATAAAGTCTCGAGGTTCATTCGGAGGACGTGGTCGCGGGTCAGGAGAGAGCGAATTCGTGTTGTTCAAGAAGCATTTAGGATGTGACTACATGCAAATCCACAAAGCGTGCAGTGTTGGCAGTTTGGCAGATCTCGCTAAACATTGCCCCGGAGCGTTGTCCAGGGCAACCACTATCCGGTTCGGTCCGTGCAGCAGGAGCTGTTGATGCACGGACCACTTGTCTTTCAACCGCAACTGCCCGGAACTTTTTTTGCTTCTTCAGACCGGACGGAAAGTGTAAAGTTGGCATCAGAATCTTTCTCGCGCATTGGTCTTTCTGCATCATATCGACATGTCTCGAATCGGCGCACAACGACTGCTCGCTGCAGCCCCGTGCCTGCGTACTGCAACCCTTGCGCAAGCTGCGCATCGCTCCTTCTATCTCCAGTCACGGCACGCGAGTTCGCTGCCTACGGTTGCGCAGTTGGACTTCTGGAAGTCCCTGATCCCGAAGCCTTTCCGACGTGAGGAGCAGCTTCCCGGAGACCCCTCGATCCAGCGGGTCAAGTCGAAGAGAAAGAAGGAATGGAACCCGGCTACTTTCTACATTGTCATCTTTCTCTTGATTGGCTCCATGTCCATTAACATGCTGTCGACAAAGCAGACGTTCGAGGCATTCTCGCGTCAAGCTGACGTCCGCATCGGGGTTCTGAAGGAAGTCGTTGAGAAGCTACAACGGGGCGAGAATGTGGACGTGGAGAAGGCGCTGGGTACGGGCGACCCTCAGAAGGAGCTTGAGTGGGAAGAGAGTAAGTGGTTCATGGCCAGCGCAGCTACGATCAAGGCATGCTAACAGTGTCGGCAGTGCTGAAGGAGATCGAGCGAGAAGATGTGTCACGCCAGAAGAAGCAGGAGAAGGCACGGCTGGCTGAGACCGCAGCAAAGACCAAGGCGGAACCGGAAGCGAAACAGCAACCGACTGCGGTCCCTGAGACTTCGAAGACACCAGCACGGGGCATGTCAAGCTTCTTCTGAATTCGCAATGGATTTTCTGGATGGTACATATATGGGCTATGACAACATATCTTTGAAAACGCCGTGGTTCTCTTTAGAGGGCACCGCGCCGCCTCCGGCCACGGGGGCGGCGCTGGTTTGCAGCTGGCGCAGCTGTTTGACCAGCGCCGGAAGTACGGCGTCGGTGGATACTTCCGTTCGGACTCCAAGAGCCCCAGTCGGATCCGGGTCCGGCACAGCAGCGATGATCTCCTCACCGCGAACACCACCAGTGTTTACAATGGCAATGGGCATTTTGCGGTCCAGAGCCCTCTTGGCCAGTCGCCAAGCAGAATAGGTGGCTAGCGAAGTGCCCATAATCAAGAGCTTGCCTGCCCCGTCGATAGCCTCCTCTGCCGCGGATTTCACCTCATTGGGGATACTCTCGCCAAACATGACCACCGCAGGCTTCAGTATCCCGGCAGAGCTGCTGGGTTTCCAGGCACCATCGTGGTCAACCTCGACGACGTGTTTGGCACCTTCGGGTGTAGATGGTGGTTGCGCGAGGCAGTGCGGACAAGCTGGATATCTGAAGGTGGTATAGGGAGCACCTGGGAGGTCAACGTCTCCGTCAGGATTGGTCCGGATGCCTTTTGCTCTACGCTCGGCAGGGTTCTCCGTGTCGAGAGCTCCGGAGGCCAGGGCTTCGAGAAGGAACTCTTGCCACGCAGGATTGAGTCTCCCGAGTTCCTCTTGGAAGGCGTCTCTGGGGTATTCGTTCCTGCAACTTACACAGACGGTGGATCTCAGATAGCCGTGCAGCTCTAGAGTCGGAATATCAGGATGAGCTTTGGAATGAAACGAGTCGACGTTCTGAGTGACGACACTCCGGATCAAGCCCAGCTGGCCCAGGTCACGGATGGCATAGTGGCCCTGGTTCGGCGAAGCCTTATGAAGTGAGGTCCATCCTAAGAAACTTCTCGCCCAGTACCTCTTGCGTGCCTCGTGATTTGAGAGAAACTCATGGTAGTAAATGGGACGGTAGGTCTTATTCACGCGATAGGTGCCATTGACACCTCGGTAATCGGCGAGGCCGCTGGAGACGGAAAGGCCCGCGCCAGTCAAGACGACGGTCGACCTCGGCAGCCCCTTTGGCGGAGGAGCAGCGAAGAAATTCTGGAGGGCCGCGACAGCGCCCGGGATGGTGTTTGCGTTGCTCGGACGGAGTGTGGGAGGGGCCAAGACTTCCGTGTAGGGAATGCGCATAAGAGGTTTGCGCATTGGAGCGAGGCTTGGAGGTCGTGTGTTGCGTAAGGCTGCCGGAATGTGGGAGGAATATGGATCGCGAAGGTGGTTCCAGGGTACCCGTTAAGGTGGGATAGCGCCGGCAGATGCGTGGACTTTTTCGGTGGAGGCTGAGAGAGGCAGGAGAAAATGGGAAAGGGGTTGAATTAAGGACGTGGTTGTTGCGTGGGCATGATATCCCCGGGGTGACTTTAAGAATAGAAGCACTAGGGGCGACAGGGAGATGTTTTTGAGGGTGTCAGACGCGTGTATTGGTAAATGGAAACGTTACGACGGGCTCATCTCAAGTTGATTCCAGGGAGGCGATCTCATCTTGAATGTCAGTTGTCAACTCGTCATGATTCGGGGCAGCCTCAACGGGGCCCCGCCGGTTCTCCACAAGATGACAAAGCTCTTGTGGCTTGCCCGAACCTGATTATTTTTCACTTTCCGTCTTTTTTTGCAGTGAGAGAGAGAAGAGGTTTCGGGGGTCTCGGCACGGGCCACTCTGAGTAACAAATGGTAGAGACTCCGGTTCTAAAGGCTCGATTGGCTGAAGACACTTCAGGGGTTACCAGTCAGTTGCTGGTCCGATATGCTGCCGATTGTCACATCCACAACGACGGAGGTGTTCCGTCAGATGTCCGGCTTGCCTTTTTGGTACGGAGTACAGCTGGAGTTGATTAGCTGGAGGATTGGCTCCGTGTTGTCTATTTGGGAACGCAGCGGAGTTGTCTCTAAACCCCCCTGGTCTTTGTGAACTGGATAGGGTGCGTAAGGCTTTAGCCAGAGTTGGTTCGTTTTGGAGATGAAAAATGGCTAATTGTAGCAGCCACGTCGGGTTTCCATGTTGAAGTGGGCGCTGCTGACGCACCACGACGTCGTTGCCCAGGTGCGGGCCTGTATTCAGCACAACGGCAACGAAAAATTCAAGCTTGTTTGTTCCCCCGTGATCCATCTCTCATTGACACAGGACCGCCCCTCAGAGCTGGTACTAAAACATATGTTTTGATTTTGAGGGAATCTGCGCAGCTGCTAGACAACTAAAACCAACCAGCAGTGTGCTATTGGTGGAATACAGACTAGAAACTCTACTACAGACTACAGACCTGCTGCATCAATCAATTGAATTCACACGACCAGGGCCATCCATCCATCAATCATCGCCTTCGCCTTGTGGGTTCTTTTTTTCCCTGGCGCATCCGAAGACCGCAGCAGACCCCATCCTCGTCAGGAACGGATGCCATCTTTAGCTTAGCAGAGCAACAGAAGCATCCCATCCCGCTGCAAGGTCTGTGACTGCACCCACCCCATTACGGTGCTGCAACCTGCGACCGCGGCAAGGCCAAGCGATTGTAGCCAGAGATCAGATCAACACCCGCCGTGGCCGGACACTGGACGATTTCGGGTACGGACGGGGGCAGGTTCTTCATCAACCTGAACCTTGCGACGGGACGACGACGACGTCGCCGACGAGGCCATTCCCTTGCCGCGTCGATTCTTTCCTTCTTCCGCACCTGCTGCACACACAACCCAACATACACACACACACACTCACACAGCGCATCCTGTCAGCCCACCAGAGGCCATTCCCGCAACCTTCTCCTCCCTCCATACCTTACCGCACCATCACTTTCACAATTCCACTCCCACCACTCCCGTCCCGTCGCTCCCCTCCGAACCCCTCGTCCGCTGGCTGCTTGTCATGTACGCGTCCCTTGCTCGTTGCCGCTGCTTGCAATTAGCCATCCCATCATTCGTCCCCTCCCCCCTTCCTTTTCCTATCCCTAATCCTAGCTGTCCGAGGTCACTCTAGAGTCTAGCCCACACTCACAGCCTCGCGTATCCGTAAGGGTAGCCGTAGATGTCTCCCCCGTCCAAGCGTCCGCCTACGGGACTGCTCCGCCGCCTATCCGGGCTGAGTGTGAGTGTGACGTCTGCAGCTGCCACAGGCACGGCAATGGGAATGCGCATGGGAATTGGATGTGGACGCGCCTCATCAAGATCGGGATCCGGAGCGCACACCCTTCTCCGTCCGGCTTGCTTCGATTATGCTACCGGTACCCCCTTTAGGCCACATCTCCCACATCTGCGCCGCGTTCCCGTCCGCGTCTATCAAACATCCAGCCCGGCCGCTTCTCCCTGCGATCCTTACTTAACCCCCAGCGCCGCCCGCCTCCGCCTACGCCTATCACTTCCAGCTCGTACTTCTTTCCCCATCCTCACACAGACCGCAATCATGTCTTCTACAACTACAACAACCACAACCACCACCACCACTCCTCCCACCACTTCTGCCATGCAGACCCGTCACAGCAGCGGCCACTCTCACGGCCATGGCCACCACCACCACCATCACGGCCACGACAATGTCTACCTGACCTCCTCCAACAAGAACGACGCCGGCGTGCGCATCACCCGCATCGGTCTCTACTCCAACCTCGGCATGGCCATCGCCAAGGGTGCTGGCGGCTACGCTTTCGGCTCCCAGGCAATGGTTGCTGACGCCTGGCACAGTCTGACCGACCTGGCGTCTGACATTCTGACGCTGGCCACCGTCTCCTGGAGTCTTAAGCCCCCTACCGATGGCTTCCCCACTGGTTTCGGCAAGATCGAGAGCTTGGGATCTTTGGGTGTTTCCAGCATGCTCCTCGGCGGCGGCCTGTTCATGTGCTGGAGCAGCATGCTGACCCTCTACGCCCACCTGTTCTTGGACCCTGCAGCAGCGGCTGAGGCGATTGCCCATGCCCATTCCCATGGCCACAGCCATAGCCACGACCACTCTGGCCCGAGTCTGCACGCCGCCTGGTTGGCTCTCGGCACGGTTGCAATCAAGGAATGGCTGTACCAAGCAAGTGAGTGTCACCCAAACAACCCCCTTTTTGGAGTAACCAAGCGGAAAACAGCGTGTCTAACAAAGATTTTGCAGCAATGAAAGTCGCCGTCGAACGAAAGTCGTCTGTCCTCGCCTCCAACGCCGTTCACCACCGTGTCGATAGCTGGACTGGAATTGTCACACTGCTTGCCATTCTGGGTGCAAACTTTTTCAAGGATGCTGCCTGGCTCGACCCTGTTGGTGGCCTGATGATCTCCCTGCTCGTCATCAAGGCTGGCGCTGAGAACACCCTCTCCGCTCTGTACGAACTGGCCGACCGCAGCATTGATGCCGAGGTCAAGGAGTCGATCGAGAAGCACACCCTGAGAAGCCTGTCAGAAATTACCGAAGGCCACGAGGTCGAAGTCAGAGACATTTCCGGAGTCAAGTCTGGCCAGAACTATCTCGTGGACATCGAATTGGCTGTTCCTGGCGTCTGGTCTGTCGAGCACGTCCGCGCTGTCGAGGAGAAGGTCCGTACCGTGGTTGGCTCCAGCGTTCGTGGCGTACGGAGGATCAAGGTCCGCTATGTCCCGAAGGAGGCTGCCCTCGCGCCCAAGTTTGACGAGTTCATCCCGGGCGAGGCCAACATGGACAAGGCCGAGGAGGATGACCAGGCCAACGGCAACGGCCACCACAAGCACCACTGAGCGCCCATGTCCCTAGTTGTACATTCGGGAGGAGCTTGCCATTCACGATGAGATACCCTTGGTTCCCTTACACATATCCGGAAGCGTGGAACAACCACCGTCTTGTTTTTGATTTTTCCATTTTTATTTTTATTTCTGGTATACAGGAGATGTATAGAGAGCAGGCTTGGAGAGTCTGCTCAGGCATGCGTTGCATCAGGGCGGCGTTCAGGGGGGTTTAGCAAAAAGGCCAGCATCAGGCCCGTCATGCGGAGAGCTTGTGTCTCTCCCTGCCAATAAAAGAGTCATTTGTGTCTTACTTCCGTCCAACCGTGTCTTGGTGCGCTGCACACACTTGCCCGTTCCCGCAACTCTGTTTGCCCACCCATCCCGACCTATCAATTCAGCAGTTACTACGGTAGGCATGCAGTTTGGCATGCGGGGACCGCGATCTAGATCTTGAGATGCGCATAGAACGCGGGTTAAGCTGTCCCCGACTCCCGAGCTCAGGGAATAAGGCTGTCTTGGCTTCCGCCAAGCTGTCACAATGTCATTGGCGCGCATATCTGTCGCATCTGCCCAGAAAATCTACGATTGGCCAACCAGCTTTTAGCCTGAAGTGCCACGAGGCTGATACTGTACAACCTGTCCCGAGCTGCCCCTCCATCCATGTCCACACCCCACGTCAAAGTGATGTAGGGGCCTCTATGTGGTTGGCAGCGGTCAACTTTCCAACATACTCGTGTGCATCGTGTCTTTTATTTCCTCTTCCTGTTTTTCATCTATCTTGCACCCGGTTTTCATGAGATTAGACAGATAGATACTAGATACCCAAAAGAGTGTACGATCGTCGCCTCCTTTCACCATGAGTTCCGGTCCCCTGTATCTCGGGTTCGACCTCTCAACCCAACAGCTCAAAGGTCAGTCCACATACGCCATCAGTATCCACATCTCACGATCCTAACCCAATCCCTCAGCCATTGTCGTCCAGTCCGACCTCACTGTCGTCTCTGAGGCCAAGGTCGACTTCGACGCCGACTTCGGAAAGCAGTATGGCCTGCGCAAGGGCATCCTGACCAACGACGCTGAGGGCGAGGTCTACGCCCCCGTCGCCATGTTCCTCGAGGCCATCGACCTCGTCCTCTCACGCCTCAAGGAAAAGACCCCCATGCACCGCATCAAGGGCATCAGCGGCTCCTGTCAGCAGCACGGAAGCACCTACTGGAGCCGCGACGCAGAGAAGCTCCTCGGCGGCCTCGTCGCCGACAAGTCCCTCGTCGACCAGCTCAAGGACGCCTTCTCTCACCCCTACGCGCCCAATTGGCAGGACCACAGCACGCAGGCCCAGTGCGACAAGTTCGACGCTCAGTTCGAGACGGCGCAGAGACTCTCCGAGGTCACAGGCAGCGCCGCCCACCATGTAACTCACTCCCGTCCCACTGCTTCGGCTCACTCGTGACACAAGAACCGGTTGTTGATGATGAGATTAAACGCAGCGCTTCACGGGGACCCAGATCATGCGCCTCCGCCAGAAGCTCCCCGAAATGTACGCCGCCACATCCCGCGTCTCCCTCGTCTCCTCCTTCCTCGCCTCCGTCCTCCTCGGCACCGTCGCCCCCATCGACATCTCCGACGTCTGCGGCATGAACCTCTGGGACATCCCCGCCGGCGCCTGGAGCGAGCCCCTGCTCGAGCTCACCGCCGGCGGCAAGGACGGCGTCGCCGACCTGCGCTCCAAGCTCGGCGAGCCCCGCCACGACGGCGGCGGCTCCATGGGCTCCATCGCCGACTACTTCGTCAGCCGCTACGGCTTCAGCAAGGACTGCCAGGTCGCCCCCTTCACCGGCGACAACCCGGCCACCATCCTCGCCCTGCCCCTCAGGCCCATGGACGCCATCGTCTCCCTCGGCACCTCCTCCACCTTCCTCATGGTCACACCCGTCTACAAGCCCGACGCCGCCTACCACTTCTTCAGCCACCCCTGCACCCCCGGACAGTACATGTTCATGCTGTGCTACAAGAACGGCGGCCTCGCCCGCGAGCGCGTCCGCGACGCCCTCCCCAAGCCCTCCGGCGGCGGCGGCGGCGGCGACCCCTGGGCGACCTTCAACAAGCACGTCCTCGAGACCCCGCCCCTCGACGTCTGCTCCGCCTCGGACAAGGCCAAGCTCGGCCTCTACTTCGACCTCCCCGAGATCGTGCCCAACATCAAGGCCGGCACGTGGCGGTACACGGCCTCCCAGGACGGCTCGGGCCTGACCGAGGCCCCGGAGCCGTGGAGCAAGGAGACGGACCCGCGCATCATCGTCGAGAGCCAGGCCCTCTCGATGCGCCTGCGCAGCCAGAACCTCGTGCACAGCCCCAAGGACGGGCTCCCCGCGCAGCCGCGCCGCATCTACCTCGTCGGCGGCGGGTCGCTGAACCCGGCCATCGCGCGCGTCATGGGCGACGTGCTGGGCGGGTGCGACGGGGTGTACAAGCTCGACGTGGGCGGCAACGCCTGCGCGCTCGGCGGCGCGTACAAGGCCGTCTGGGCGCTGGAGAGGGGCGAGGGCGAGAGCTTTGACGAGCTGATCGGGAAGAGGTGGAAGGAGGAGGGGGCGATCCAGAAGGTTGATGATGGGTTCAAGGACGGGGTGTTCCAGCAGTACGGGCCGATCGTGGGGGCGTTTGAGGAGATGGAGAAGAAGATCCTTGAGGTTGCGCATAACTGAATAGATTCCGAGGTTAGATAATGAAAGCAATTTGGTCATCTTCACTCTGGTATTGCGTTAGATGTGATGATATGTCAAAAACATCGCGGGATGCAGTGTGTGTATGAGTAATGCGTTCTTGTATCTAGCTACTACGGTCCTGAAGCCAAATCCATTGGATCCTCAACCAACTACCAACTAACCGGGAAGGCCCAAATCTCCAAACCTCCATTTTCCCCCTTCCATACCCAGTCCTTGGCGGTGATGATACTACCTAAGATGTGTAAGAATGAAAAAAAAACGTAAGCAATGTCCTTTTGTTCCTTTTTCTGTCCCAAGAAGTCAGTTCCTTGTGTCGTGGTTCCAATGTGACCAAGTCCTTTTCGCGGAATCCCAAGTGGTCCCCTCTATCCAGGGGAATCGCATAAACCCAGAATGCAAGTGAAAATCCTTTTTTGTGCTGTGTCCTGTGTTCCAGTTCCCGAATCCTTTGTGTGTTCGGGTGTGTCATCGATCATTATCGCATGAAGTCATTTCCGTCGTGCCTGTTGTACAAAGCAACAGGAGAAAGAAAAGAGGAACTTGTGCTTTTGAAGGTCATCGATCAAACGAGCGGTGCGTGAGACTGGATCCCTCTCCCAGGGGAAGGTTCCTGTCTGTGCAGTGCTAGTTGAAAGTGACGAAAAATGCAGAAGTTCGGAAGAAGTGAAAGTTAGAACAAGACCAGGAGGCCCAGAACGAACATAACCAGACAAGTCTGGCAGTTCAGACCGGTGCGCTCAATGGCACCGAAGACGATGGGCTCTGCGCGCTTCTCTGCGCCAGAGAAGACAGGCGTGGTGCTGACCGGCTGGCCAGGGCCAGTGTAGGTCGACACGACTGTGCCGTTGCCCGTGGGGTAGGGCGGCTGCGAGAGCACATTGGTCTTGGTGTGCTTGACCGGGGAACCCGTGATGTAGATCGTGGTGTTGATCGTGACACCAGGGACCTCGATGGTCGTGTTGGGGTGGGGAGCGCCACTGATGAGAGAATGAGTGGCTGTCTTGGTGACGACCTCGCTCTCGGTGAGAGTGACAGTCGCGTTCTTGGGGACGCTGACGACAGTCGTCTTGACCTCGCCGCCGACAGTGACGGTGACGGTGCTGATGTCGACTTCGGTGACAACAACCTGGGACTCCGTGGAGGTGGAGGTAGAGGTGGCGTTGACGAGGGGAGACGAGAGAGTGGGGTAGAGAGTGACAGTAACCATGCCTCCGACAGTCTTGGTGACACGATCGGTGAGAAGGATCGTGGTGAGCATTGACTTTGTAGACTTGAGAGTGCTGGGGGAGACAGTGACAGTAGTCTGAGAGGTCTTGGCATCAGAGGAAGCAGACGCGCGGTGAGTCTCAGTAACCATGTCGGTGACTGTCTGAGTGATAGTCGCGGCCTCAGAGGAAGCGGCGGAAGTCAGGGTAGCAGTTCCAGTGTGGGGGAGAACAGATGAGATCGTAGTGCTGTAAGCGGAGGTGGTTCCATCAACAACGGTCTCGAAGACGGTCTTGGTGGCGAGCTCGGTCACGACGACTGTGCGCTTGGTCTCAGTAGTGACAGTGGTGGTGAGGCCAATGTCTTCCGAGGAGGAGCTCTTGCTGGTGGGCTTGAAGCTGTCGACGGTGACGGTGTAGGTGACCACAACGGTGTCAGTGGACTTGGCAGGGGAGACGGTGGGAAGGGAGACAGTCTTGGTCGTGGTGGACTGAGAAGGGGTGACAGAAGGAAGGGAGACAGTCTTGGTCTTGGTCATGACGACACGGGACGTGGAAGAGGCTGAGGAGCTGGGCTCAGCGGTCTTGGTGACGGTGATGTAGACTGTGTGGTCATCGAGGGAGCACTGGGCCTCTGAGGTAGAGAGGGGCTCGGAGACGACGGTGACGGTCGAGGTGACGATGCTTGTGGGGGTAATCGTGATGGTGGACAAGACATCCTCGACAGTGGTTACCTTCTTCGTGGCAGTCAGAGTCTGGGTCTCAGTGAGGAAGACCGAGGAGACCTCAACAGAGGGAGTCTGGACCTCAGAGGTAGAAACGAAGGTGGACTTGGTAGGCTCGCTGGACGACTTAGAGATAGACTCGGTGGCGGTCAGAGTGGCAGTCAGGGCCGCAGTCTCAGTGACAGAGGTGGTGATGACCTCGGTGATGACGTTGACAGACCTGAATAGCTGTTAAACAACTGAAATTTTCTTGAGGAGGAGGGAAAAACTTACTGCGAAGTAGAAGTACCAGACTGGGTGCCAGGAACAGCCAAGGCAGAAGAGACTGTGGTTCCCATGGTAGACTGCTCAAGAGTGCGAGTCTCAGTGAGAGTCTTCTTGACAGTAGTCGTGGGCTCGGCGTAGGTCTCGTTGGTAAGACGAGTGTAGGACTCGGTCTCCTCGGGGCAGGGGACAGAAGCCATGGTTGTAGCCGAGATACCAGTGGAAATACCAGTCAGAGTGCCGTTGGTGGAGAAGTGAGTGCCGTTGTTGAAGGAGCCAGCGTGGAACTGCAAGGCTGGGAAGCGAGGGACAATGTTGGCAACCGAAGCCTGGTTGGCCTGGTTCTTGTTGTTGATATCAATCTTGATGACTGCTTCCATTGTCAGATGAGAAAGTGGCAAGGTGATTGGGATGAGGGACACCTACGGGTGTAGGCGATGCCAATGAGAGCGGAAGCAACGCAGATAACAATGAGAGTGATGTAGGTGACAAAGAAGGCGTTGGACTTGCGGTAAGCCGCCCAGTCACGCTTGTCATCAGGATCGCGCTCAATGGAGCCATCAGCAGTGACGGTCAGCTGCTGGCCCTCGGCATGGTAGCCGCGGTGAGATCTTCCACCTGTCCATATGGTTAGAATGCGAAAAAGAGCAAAAGAGGACTTTCCCACGGAAAACTTACCCATCATCTTGAATGATAGTGCTGTTGCTTGGTAATGAATGTCTGGTGAATTTTGTTAGCTGACTGCTGATGGGAGAATGGTGAGAGAGGCATGTAAATCTCCCAAGACAGCTATCGCCAAGGGGCCAAGACTGAAAGGGACGAAAGGAAATATTTCAGAGATACTCACAGGAGTCTAGCAAAGAGAGTATGGGATCTGTGAGAAGGGATACTGGTAAGTGACTGTTTGGGGGAAAAGAAAGTCGACGTAGTGGTGGGTGAGTGAAAGTTGTGGAGGTGAGGGAAGGAACGCGAGAAAAAAAGCGCAGAGTAAAAAGGCGCGTCAACAGAGGCGGGAGAAAATAAAAAACCACAAAGTTGTGCGGTGGCCTGTGCCCAAAAAGAAGCGCGCAGAGAGAAGGTGCGAAGAGGAGGGTGGTTTTTCCTTGAGGGTTTGTTTACCTCAAAGAAGAAGATGACGTAGACAAGGGTGGGAGGGCTTTTTGCAAAGATGATGCCCCCCAACTTGGAGATCAGGGCAGAAGGAAGGGAAAATGAGATATATCTTCTTCAGGGCGCCGGTTTCTGAGAGAATATCATGGAAATTTGGGCTTGGGAAAAACGCAGGATGAGGGGATCGCGAGAAGAGGGCTTTGGGCTTGAGGGAAACAATCTCAGGGGGCAACAGTCTCGAGGAGTAAAATATCGAGGGATTTCTGACAGTGGATGGAAGAAATCGTGGAATGGCAGATGCCTCGACGTACCTTGAAGATGATATTGGTGAATGAATGTCAAGAAAGAGACGAACGAAAGAGGGCGCAAAGCGTGCTGCCGAGGGTCAGTGATATTGAACAGAGAAGAAGATGATGTTTGTTTCTTGGAGATAATCGCGTACCTTGGGGCAGCCTTGATGGCGAACGAAAGTTGTCGTACGTTTGCGCGAAGCGGTCGTGGGGTGAAAAGAGGGAGAGATTTGTTCAAGATCGCGGGTTGAAAATAAACAACCTAAGGTAGAAGACGGGAGAGAGAGGTGGGGCCGGTCAAGCGAGGGTGGTCGAGAGGGCAAGCAGAACAACAAAAGGGGCGGGAGAAAAGTTCGCTCCAGGCTGAAGGCGTCCCGATGGGATTCTTGTCGATGACGCAGCCCAGCCAGCCCGGAGGACTCTCATCTCTGCCGGCCTTCTGCCCTACACCAGGAGGGCAGGTCACCCAGCAACCACGGCGCAACGAGCCATCTCGAACTTCTACGTAGATGAGTTACCCCAATAGGCACATCCCCGTGCCCACGCGCAGTGTCTTCTGAATAATTCCGTATATATCTCAAGGACTGTTTGGAGTATGTCCTGCGTAATAAAAATAGACGTCACCGAATAATGCTCATCGAGGCCGCTGAGTCCCTTCTTGGAAAACATCGCGGGAAGCATTCAAAGACGGTAAGAAGGTAGGGACTTTTGAGATACATCTTGAAATGACTAGGAATATTGCCAAGACATATTTGCCATGACCATCGGTCCCAAGGGACGAATCAGGCCGGTTTGCTTGAATAGGCCAAACTTGCCAATTGTGATACTGTGCGATTAAGTGGATTGAAGATAAAAACATATGGCAGATGACATCTCAGCTAAGCCGATCCTGTAAGGTAATGGAAAGCACCCTTGGGTCAGAGCTCCTGCTATCTCGAGCAGCAGGACCGTCTTGGGGGTTTAACGGCAAAAAATCCTTTTAAAGTGAGGTTTGTTGTATTGTTTGGGAGATCTTAGGGCTTTAAGGCGCAGAGAAACAAGTAGGGCCATCAGCCTTCTGAAGTCTTTCCAGGGAAGGCAGTTAGTCAGTCGACCCGCTGGTGAGGAGGAAGGAGCTAGCCGTGGGACCCGATGCCCGGATAGGTATCGATGGTTGTGATTTACCAACTGCGATCTCAATTGGAACATATTGATCGGAGAGAGTCAGATATACCTTAAAGAAGAAGAAGAAGAAAAGCAAAGTCTAAGAACCGCTGCTATGAGTTCATGTTGCACGCTGCGATAGCTAGCTACGTCTTGGACCTTCAGCTTTTGTCCTTTCGAGAACAAACTTGAATCGGGCTCAGAAATACGATGTGTCTCGAATCTATGCATCTGAAGAACTCGAATTGAGGTATTAGCAAGGAAAGCCAATCATCGCGACCTTTTCTTAAGGATAATGCTATGGAAAGAGGTTGGTGACAACAGCATTGTGAAGCTCAAGCTTCCTCGAAGGTGGAGACGAGACGTTGAGCCAGAGACGGTGAGCTCCGTCGCGGACGGTTGCAGCTTGTGCTGCACCAGCCACCGCGGGTCCGAGGCGTCCAGGGTGACAGGGGACGTCCAGTCCCACTTCTTTGCCGCCACGCGGAACAAGGGAAGGTGCAGAGGTGCAGCTCCTGCTGAGGCAGGTCCCGTCTAAGGTAGGTACATAGGTACGGGCGGATACCTCTCCTACCTGTACCTACCTACCAGGTTACCAGCTCAGGTAAGCACGCGAAACCCGATGAACTGCAGGCGCAGGCGCGTAACACGACTCGACCTCTCCGTCCATTCTCGTCGCAACAGTCAATCCGCCTCGAGCTCCATCCCCTTCCTGTCGCCACCACGCAATTGAGTGCAATTCGGCGCGCCTCTTGTTTGCGCTTTTCTCTTCACTGATACCTGCCACGCGGGAAATTTCATCCATGAGTTAGCCTGCGCGTGCACCTCCGACTCTTGACACGTTCCGTGGATCGACTGCACACCATCGATACCGTCTTCCCCGCTTCCACAACACGTCACCCGCCGAGCGCCCTTCGCGATATCTCACAAGATGGCGCCTCGTCGCGGTCGCGATGAACCTCAAGAGGAGGTCGAGGAGGACCAGGGCGAAGACCTTGTCAACCTTGAATTCGACGAAGAATTGACTTGGAAACCCGGAAAGCCCATACCCACCACAGAGCTGCTCAACCGCTTGCAAGCTCTCTACGAGGAGCTACGCAATCTCGAACAGGATGTCGTCAACAAGAAGTCTCTTGAGGATGTATCTCATGCTCTAGGCCAGCGCAATCTGCTGGCGCACAAGGATAAGGGCGTGAAAGCCTACACTGCTGTGTGCATCTCCGAGATCTTACGACTGTGTGCGCCTGACGCGCCCATCACTGAGGAACAGATCAAGGTCTGTCCCCTTCGCTGCAAAATCCTGCCCTCTCGAACTAACGTCAAAACTTGCAGATGTTCTTCAACCTCGTCGTTACACAAATTTTCCCGGCATTGAGCGACCAGAGTCACCCTTACCACAGTCAGCACAAGGCCGTACTTACCGCGCTCACGGAAGTCAAAAGCATTCTTCTGATCAACGATATCGATGGCGCCGATGACCTGCTGCTGCGCCTCTTTTCCGTCTTCTTCGACGCTGTCTCGGGCGGTTCGAGCTCGGACGAAGGTGTCTCCAAGGAAGTCGGCAACACAATGACCGAGATGCTCATTGCGCTGGTTGACGAGGCTTCCGGCATCAACCCGAAGATTATTGAAGTCATTATGGCTCAATTCCTCAGAGCAGCGCCCCCGGGTGGCTTTCAGAGTCGGACAGAACGTGGCGAGCAGAACGGTAGTCAATCTACCCTTTTACCCAAGGACGAGCCTCCCGCCTACATCATGGCCAAGGAGATTTGCAACGTTTGTACGGAAAAGATGGCCCACTACGTCAGCCAGTACTTCGGGGATGTCATCCTAGACGCCTCACGTTTTGCGGCAAAGACTGTAGGAAAGCATGATGAAGACGAGGACGAAGACGCGCCTAGGGAACCCACAGATGCAGAGTTGAAGGAACTGAAGAAAGCTCATTATCTCATCAAAGAGCTCTGGCGTGCTTGCCCGTCCGTTCTTCGCAACGTTATCCAACAGGTCGAAGCAGAGTTGTCGGCTGACAACGTTGATTTGCGACAGCTAGCTACCGAGACACTTGGTGATATGATCTCAGGACTCGGGGCGGCTGGGCCTCCACCTCTTCCATCCTTGGAGCCTTCCGCATACCCTCCACTGCGACTCTCCGATGAGGCTCCTAGCCAGGTTTCCGACAGCGTCCTCACCACACCATTATCCCCTCAGTCGTTCGCCCAGACTCATGCGACAGCGTACCACCATTTCTTGGGCAGGAGAAACGACAAGACGGCAGTCATCAGAGCCGCATGGACCAATGCAGTTGGGTACATTTTGGCCACTTCAGCCGGCGGCATTGGGCTTAGCCGCGAGGAGCAGTCCGAGCTGGTGAAATACCTAGGCGAAAAGCTCAATGACGCTGATGAAAAGGTTCGGCTGGCTGCTGTGAAGGTCATGGAGCTTTTCAGTTTCCGCGACTTCGTCACCAAGCTTGGAGCTCCGGGCGGAGTTGACAAGGACGGGTCTGTTCTGAGCAGTCTTGCTGACCGCTGTCGTGATAAGCGCAATGCCGTGCGAGTTGACGCAATGACTTTGTTGGCGAAGCTGTGGGCCGTCGGCTCAGGTGAGCTGGCTGCAGGTCAGGAAACTGTTGTCGCGGCCTTGTCTGGAATACCATCACGCATCTTCAATGCGTTTTACGCCAACGACCTCGAGCTGAACATTTTGCTGGATCGTGTGCTCTTTGAGTGCCTGATTCCTCTGAACTACCCTCCCATCAAAGCACCCAAGAACACGAGGGCCTCGTCGAGTCAAAGCCAACAAAATTCTGGCGTCGCAGAGCAGGACCGCATCCGCGCCGAAAGACTCTTGCTCCTTACGCAGTCACTCGATGGCCCTGCCAAAAAGGCCTTTTTCGCTATGCAAGGCCGGCAGCCTCAGTTTGCTCAGGTTCTCGAGGCTTTCGTCAAACAATGCGAGCTCTACAACGGCGGTGTGATGGACGACAACCGACCCAAAAAGACGGCAAACCTTGAGCGGACGGTTCAGTACATTACACAGTTCTTCCCAGATTCATTCAAGGTCAAGACGGATCTCCAAAAGTTCGCCAACCAAAATGACCGTCGCGCATACCAGCTCGTTAAGTACACTGTAAGCTCCGAGAGCGACTACAAGACGGTGCGACAAGCCATCAAGGAGTTGGTGAAGCGCATCAATGCTAGTCAATCTTCGAGCATTCTGGACACGCTTCTCCCATTGCTGTACCGTTCAGCTTGCTTGCTATTTAACCGCAGTCATCTCGCGACTATTCTTGATTACTCGCGGAATGATAAGGAAGGTTATGGCGCAGTCGCCCACGAGATCCTCAATGAAATCTCGCAACGCAACCCTGAACTATTCAAGAACCACGTCGGAGGGCTCTGCAAAGGTTTGATCGACCAGGCGCCCAGCGAGACTAGCGAGAATGATCCCTTGGTTGTCGACACTCTCAAGGCATGCGCATCTTACTCAAAGAAATACCCAGAGGAAATTCCCGAAGAGCGGAAGTTTTCGCAGGCCTTGGTGAGCTACGCTCTGTACGGCCGGCCGGTCAAGTGCGCGAAATACGCCATCAAGATTCTCCTTGCAAAGGGAGACGACAAGGGACTTGTCAGCGCCACTGGTTTGCTGCAAAAGATCATGGAAGACTGGAAGTATGGCTCTTCACACTTTCTCAACAAGCTGCAGGCTGTTGCCCAGCTCGAACTCCAAGCACCTAAGATTACGCTGGACGCCGACGATGACATCCTCAACATGACAGTCCAGCAGGTTCTGCTTCAAGTCCGACAGGAAGCTAGTGACAAAGATCCGAAGTGGGTTGATGACGCCGACATGGACGAAGAGCTCCAGGCGAAGTGTTTGTCTCTGCATATTCTTGTCAATCGGCTGCGGAGCCTACAAAAGGTCGAAGAGGCGCAAGAAAAGGCACCGCCTGTCTTCAAGCTGCTCAAGACATTGGTGGCGAAGAGAGGGGAGCTCAACAAGACGAAGGATACTCCCGAGCATCATAAGACGAGGCTCCGGTTGCTTGCTGCGCAGTTACTACTCAAGTTGTGCACCATCAAACACTTTGACGACCTCTTGTCGTCCGTCGATTTTGATCGCCTGGCCTTCACGGCGCAAGATCCTGAGCTTCAGGTCCGCAAGGGCTTCATCGAGAAGCTCCAGAAGTACATGGCTAGAGGCAAACTTCGCGCGAGATTCTACACGGTTGTCTTTTTGACAGCATTCGAACCCAATGCCGATTTGAAACAACGAATTGAGACTTGGATCCGTTCTCGCGTGCGGGCACTGGAAACTTCCGAGCAGAGACCTATGGAAGCTACCATGGCCAGGCTCATCTCACTGTTGGCGCATCATCCTGACTTTAACAAGCTGGATAATTTGGCCGAAGCCAGTGAGGAGGAGCGGACGTCGTATGCCAGCGATCTGGCTGATCACGGCCGCTATATTCTGTACTACCTCTCCAATGTGGCGACTGAAGAGAACCTAGGGTTGATCTTCAAGTACGCCGAGAGGGTCAAGCAAACTCGCGACCTTGTCCACCCTGAAGACAGCGAGAATCTGTACATCATCAGTGACTTGGCCCAGGCTGTCATCAGAAGGTGGCAAGAGAGGAAGAACTGGAGCTTTCAGGCGTACCCAGGCAAGGTCGGCTTGCCGGTAGGCCTCTACGGCGGTCTGCCATCGCACCAGGTTGCTCAGGAGATCGCCGAGAAGCAATTCCTTCCCGTTGAAATTGATGAAAGATTGGATCATCTTTTCAAGTCCATTGACAGGAAAAAGGTATGCCATGTCAACTTGAAATCACTGGATCCGACACTAATTGTAATATAGAAGCGAAAGTCTATGGATGACAGAGGAGACCGTCCCACTGCGAAGAAGGCCAGACAGATTGCGAAGGTGAGGGAAGCGAAGACACCCAAAGAACCGAAGCCCAAGACCAAGAAGCCTGCCAAGAAGCCTTCTAAGACCAAGGCCAAGCGCCCAGAGGCCGATGTTCCGGTGGTAGACCGAAGACGCAGCGGAAGAGCCACGACAAGTCGACAGTACACCGAGCGTGACTCATCTGACGATGATAAAGAAATGTGGGACGGCGTTCAATCTTGGGATTATGGCTCCGGCAATGAAGATGCGGCATCCTCAGAGGCGGAGGACTCCGACAAGGACGCCGACTCGTCGGCTCTCTCAGATGTTCCGAAGGAAGACGATGAGGATGAAGGAGCCAAGGCATCTAGCGCCAAGCCCAACGATAGCGAGGATGACTCCCCGTTGTCAGATATTGAGGACGAGGCTGCAGCAAAGTCAGACAAGGAGGAGGAAGAGCAGGCAGATGATGAGGGAGATGCGGAGGAGCCTGCGCCGCAGCCCAAGTCCAACGGGCGAAAGGGTAGATCGGCAGCATCTTCCAAGGCGGCGGCGAAGAAAAAGCTCCCAGCCCGCCCTGCGCCGCCGAAAGAAAAGCCCGCCCCCCGGGCAGCGACGCGAACATCAGCACGGAGCACCAGAGGCAAGCTCGCTCAGGAGATGGATGTCGACGACGATGACGAGTAGCTCATTGCCCAAAAAAAGTTTCTGTGTTCGATTGCGCTTAGGTTAAGGTAGCTTTGGGCTTTTTGGAATGGATTTTCCTCTGGTGGTCGGGTATCTGAGCGCACGGCAGGTGCGCTTGAAATTATCAGTTCTTGGCTTCCATATATATTGTCTCCGTGCTTGCGTCTGAGTAGCCAATATACCCATAATCGTGCTTCTACCGCGCTGGATTGGTGATAGTAAAGCCATCTACCCGCAATGAATGGCTGACTTGGTTTTAAGTTTCTCGATTTTGCTGGTACAGAGACGGGCCAGCGTTTGATTCCCATGATCCGCGACGAGGCGGATACAACGCGCCCTACAGGGCCAAACATGCTATCCTTGAAGTGATGATCGATGTTCCGACTTCGACGCGGGTACAAAACGCTAGAGGCTGGCGGATCTGTTCACATGGCACTCCTGCGATTTCCGCTGCGCCATTCCTTGACTACGTACAGTCTTGCTGTAGAACTCCAAATCTCTAACGTGACATTGAGGATTACGCTTCTTGAAAGCTCCTTTGCGGTCGAATTGAGTTTGGGGAAATGTCGGCCGAGTGAACACCGAGGGCGGCCGCACGAGCGCCGCCCCCCACATCGCCGGCCGACCGCGCGCAATCCATCCCACCGCCAAGATCCAGCACGTGAACCTCCCGTCACCTTCGCGCCGACCGTACATCCCCACCTCCACCAAACACGCGCCGCCATCAACACCGCAAATCCGCATCGCGCGACAAAAACCACGGCCATCACCAGAAGCTCACGCACCTCCCAATCCCTCGCACGCGATCGCGACGCCATAAACAACAATGTCGACCACCGATCCGAACCGGGAACAACCTCCACAAGAACAAGCACCGCAACAACCTGAGTCGCAAACAGAAGAACCCCAAAACCAAACAACAGAAGCGCAAGATGAACCACCGCAGCAGCAACAACAGCAAGAACAACCCCCGGCCTCGCCTCCCCTCCCGCAAAAACACACCGCGGTCACCCCCGGCGTGCGCGCGGGCTACTTTGAAAAGACGTACAACGGCGCCCTCCAGAAGACGCTGCAGGCCGTCCGCTTCGAGAACTTTGCCGACTGCTTCCCGACCATCGCCGCCAACGCGCCCAACACGCTGCGCAACGTGCAGAAGCAGATGGCGGATTACCTCGAGGACCGATGTAGTGTGCGTGTCTATCCGTCCCCCCTTCACCTCCGCGCCGGTTTACTGTGTTGGTTGGGGCTAACAGTGCACGCCTGCGCGGCGTTTCTACAGAAAGATTTCCAAACCATCCTCGCGGAACGCGACGTCGTCCGAAAGCTGAACGAGTTCGAGAGCCTGGTCAGCGACGCGGACAGGAGGAGGCTGGAGAGCGGCGACGACGCCGAGGAACCGATCCCGTACGTTTCCCCCCCCCTTTCCCCTCACTACCACAAGACTACGCGACGACAGAACAGAAACTAACGACCGTGTCCCATATCAGTCCTCACCTCCTACCCCCCGAGGTCGTGATCAAAGCCCACATGGCCCCGCGCCTGGCCGCGCAGCAGTCCCACATGAACGCGCGCCTGCAGAACACGCAGGCCTCCAACGAGGTCCTCTTCGCCTCGATCCAGGCCCAGCGCGCCGAGATCGCGGTCCTTATCGCGCAGCTCGAGGGCCACGTCGCCGACGTCGACGGCGCCAACGGCATGCTCGTGGACGTGGCGCCCGAGCTGGCGGCCGAGGCGAGGGACGCCGAGGCGCTGATGTCGGGGATGTAAGTATCAGAGGACGGAGCCGTTCTACGAAGGCTGGCAGTTGTGTGTCGGGGGTTTCTGTGTATAGCAACTTTAACGGGAAGTTCACGCCGTCGTGCGGAAGAGGAAGGGAGACGAAGTTATGAATACCCAGGGTTAAGGCGTTTTGGCTGGCTAAAAACAATGATGATTCACAACGAGAGTCTTAATCAACATCACTAAACAAGATCATGATGGGTCTGATGACGTTTTCATGTGTCCATTTCGCAGTCAAATATATACATGTACTACGTGGTGACACCATGTTCGTTCGTCAACAAACACAACCCGCCGAGACCTTGCGATGTCAACGCTCAATATGTGCAAAAAAAGACACTGAAAAGAAAAACAAGACAGCAGCGGTATTTCCGCTGCTGCCGGCAACGCCGCCCAATGATGAACACGCAACGGCTGATGATGCTTTCTTGCCCGCCATGATGACAAAGGAGATTGAGAGGGAAAAAAGATAAGAGTGCCGTCCGAATGCATATGCCGCCGCGCCGCGCCGCACCGAGCTTTTATGTTTTGGCCGCCGTACCCGTGCCCGCCACCAATATAACAAAACCGTTTCATTCGAATCTTGCGATTCTTCCTCGTTCCAATGCAAAGAGAAGTCCCTGTTGTATGAGGGCCTGGGGTATGGATGCGTATATGTGCGATAGAGGTTGTTGAGGTAAAGGCATTAAATCCTCCTGTTTTCGGTATGGATGACTTGCCAAGGACCGAAAAAGTCGATCTCCCCGTAGGCTGGTGGGAGAACGCGGATCATACGACCAGTTGCCCAGTCGACGAACCACTGCTTCCCCTTGCTGATGATGTAGTTTGACTTGCGTGGGCTCTTGAACAAGAGCACTGAATAGCAAAGCTTGGCGTACAGCAAGTCGTGGGCGGAGGTCCACTGGTGCTCGGGCGCCCACTTGCCAGTGTCCGGATCAATGGCCATATTTGGGTACGAAGTCGTGGACAATCGGCTGCTGATGGGCTCGTTGATTCGGACTGGCGATGGGCCGATGACAGAGTCCGTGTCTGCTGCCGGAGGTCCTGTCGGGAGTCCTGCCGGTGCGTCGCGGTTGAGATCGGCGAGCACGTCGGGGACAGGCTCCGTTGTTGACGCCGGGAAAGGGTCAGGCTCGTTGGATGGAACTTGACGTAGGACTGGACTAATAGGCCGCGGCGTAGGCACGGGGTGGTTGTTTGTCTGGGCCGGCGTTTGGCCACGAAACCAACGAATACGTTGGATGCGCGGAATGCTCTGGTCGCGGGGGTAGTCACGTTCGTCGATCGGCGCGGCGACGTCGATAGCGGCGAACAAGGCTTCCAGCCATTTGACAAATGTGGTCAGTTCTATGCATGATAGTAGGAACTGGTCCGCCTCTGCTCTGACGCGGATGGTATATCGCCTCCTGGGTGGGAGTCAGTTTCTTGGCAGGTCTTGGCATGGGATGAGGCTGAGAACAACAGCAACCTACTTTTTGTAATCGGCAGCAATACCAACGTCCGCGTGCTGGAGGCTGTACGCCTTGTCGAGAGACGATTTCTTGACCCAGGGCGGGTTGTCTGGTGATATTGTCGGCCCGTCTCTCGTCCTCCCCCAACCCCAATCCTTTTTTACGTTGTAGAAATTCAAGGCGGTACCTCGCAGTTGCACGAAAGTTGTGTGCCAATTCCTGTCCTCAGCCCTTTTGGTGGTATTTTCAATCTCCATCTTTTTCATCCACACGCCCTCCAACTCAATATCGCACGAATACCCCGGTAGCCTTTCTCCGACTCCATGGTTGGCAACAGCGCTGCCGGCAAGCGGACGTCTTGGTCTGGGCTCCCTCTCATAGGGAGGCGGTTGTGATGGTCGTCGTAAAGGGGAAGTCATGACTTCCTGGTAGAAATAGTCCTCCTCCATCGATAGTCGCCGCCGGAGAGGCGGCGGCTGCGCAGCGGTATTAGATGGTCCATTTCCGCGATGCTCACTGCGGGGATCCATGGGGCGGGAGAGGTTTTATATGACAGGAGACTCGAGTGAGCCGGCGACAGGCGAGTCGTGTCAGGCCAGGACCACCATGCGGCGGGTGGCAGCGGAGGCAGAGGCCCGTTCCCGTGCGTCTGTCTTGGACGGGTTCCCTTGCGACGGGGGATTCCACGAGATGTGCTTGGCCCGGGGGTTATACTGACCCGCAAAACTTCATGATGAGGGCCTTTTGTCGGCGGCTCTTTTTTAGGGCCGCACGGGGCAGAGTAACGTAAAACGAATGCAAAGAGGCCTAGAGCGAGGGAGCGAGACCGGTAGATGAGATGAGATCGGGGAGTGGGTAAAACAAAGTCAGGTACCGTACGGCGGATACTTGAGGGACGGGTATGGAGACGTAGAAGGACTGGAGCCCCGGGCGCGGTGTGGTGTGTGGATTATTCGTCTGTGAACGAGTCCAGCGATGTGGATGTGAAGAAGGGACGAGATGTGCCGGGTAGCGAGAAGCGAGAGCAGCGGTGGCGATGATGAGCGGCAGGTCTAAGAGTAAGGGCGCCTCTTCCAACGATCTGGCGTCGTTCGGTTGGTGCCTTGGCTGAAGTGCGAGACGAGCCAGTTCAGAGGAAAGAGATGGGATGTAAGGTCAAGGTTGCAATGGCCTGGCGGGAGGAGTGAAGCGGAGCGGGAGGCGTCGAGTCATCGAGTGGTGCCAGGCGCGAAAAGAGCCGCTTAACAAGGTTGGACTGAATAGGAAGCCCGACGGAGGGAGTGGTAATATTCGTAGACGCTGAAGCAGAGCAGCAGTACGGGTAGTACTACGGTATCCGTAGCAGCAAGCGTAACCCGGATATGAGGGAACCGATTCCCGTGGTGCAGGGCCGACAACGCGCGAGAGGATGGAGACGAAGTCCGGGCCTGTCCAACGAGGGCAACAAGTCTGTGATGAACGACAAGGGCCGCAAGGGGGACTTGGCTCTGGGGGCGGATCTCATGCGCATCGGAGGTCGGGTCAGGCCAGGGACAGGGGGCTGTTGAAGAGCAGCGGGTGGGAACGTGGTTGAGTTGCTGGCAGGAACGGCGTGATATGGAGAAAGAATAGAGTAACAGAAACGAGTTGTGCGTGAGGGTATGCACAACGAACCGGCGGATTGTTGTTTTGGAGGTGAGAGGCGATGATTGATGGATGGATGGATAGGACCTCGATCGAAGGGCGTGTAGAGGCGTGAGCGCAGTGAAACAAACAGCTTTGCCGCGATAGATGGGCAAAGTCAGAACGACATGCGCTCAGGACGGGATTCGTTGAAAAAGCGTGAGAGGCAGACGAGACGCAGGTCGTGTTGAATGCGAAGACGAGAGAAGGCACAAGGCGAGGCGCGCTACAATCGGTCCCTGTCGGAATTTTTGGTGGTATTAGGTGATTGATAGTGAGAGGAGGGAAGAGGAGAGATGGAGGCTCGGATTCTGACCGGGCGGGAGGCGTAAGCGTATCGTTAGTGTAGCTTGTACTCTGTACGTAGCTTAGCGATCCATCGGAGACGAAGTATCGTACGTGCGGTATCTTACCTTAAGGTAAGGTGTGTAGGATGTACGGTACGGAGTTACAACGCTTGGCCTGAAAAGGACGTCTTTTGCGCTTTGGCGGGTTCGCGGGATTGAAGACGGGACGAGACGAGACGACTGTGGTGGTATCAATTGGATACGGTGGTTGGTGAACAGCAATTGGCAGTGTGAGTTGTTGGATGGATGAGTTCCATTATTTTCGCAGGTTCCATTCAGGCATGCGAAACGGGGGGAACGAATGCGGCAGGCTGACATGGGAAAGAGCCGACAAGCAATTGGAAAAGCACAAGGGCAAGAGTTGGGGCGACGTCGGTGCCGATGATCGTCAAGACGAACTCTCGGCGGGCATTGGAAGCAGGAATAATTCGTAGGCGCTCACTGGTCCGTCCTCCCTCCAAAAGGGCCCTGGGGCTGGCCTGGAAAGAAACAACAGCGCCGAGTGGACCGAGGCCTTTTGCAGACATGTCTAACCCGTCTTGGTAGGTGAAAGAGTTGCGGCGACCGGGGTGGCGCGGGCTCGAGGTACTTTTTATTTGACCACGAGAGCTAGAGCTGGTGATGCTACTTCAGTAAGGTACTGTGCTGTTCGCTTTTCGCCTTTACAGAGCCGAATGGGCACCTGTGTTGTTGTGCTTTCGAACGATAAGAGAGGCAGGTCGTAGGTGTAAGCGGACGAAAACGAGCATACAACACTATATGTGATGCGAGGAGACGCGTCCATCCAGGCGCAAACTATTGTGGCATGAAAAGCTGCAACACTGAATGCTACCAGGTCAAGGCAAGATGAAATCAAAGGTACCTGCCTTCCTGGACGTTCAGCAAGAGGTCAGCTGGATGTTCTGAATTCAATGGCACCAATGGCACCAATGGCACCAATTACGGCATTACGGCACAAGCAGGCGGGGTTCTAGCCCGGTGTGGGCCCCGGCCGTGCCTGCCTGCCTTGACTCTCGAGTCGGACTCAACCCGACCAGGAAAAAAAAAGGTCATTATTCCATTCATCGTTGCATTCTTTCTAGTAGCCAGCCTCTCAACATTGATTCAGATCAAGGACAGCAGGTGGTATTCTGAGTTTGACCGAGTTGCACAACTCGGCTCTGTCCGTAACCTAACGTTACTTGGATCTTTAATTATCAGACTCCAACTGCAACTGACCCGACATCTGTGTTGTACGCGTCATTCAATTTAACAGCAACTTCGAATTAAGCAACGGGAACACTGACAATGCCTGTGAGTTATTTCAACTTTCGGGGATCAGATCGCCATAATGGAAACCTCCGTATTATCCACATCCAATACTTTAACTTGCTATCAGATGCTGTTCCCTGTCCATTTGTCATTTGAGGAAGGTAAGTTAAGGCACCTCGCCTTAATTGCCTTCCATCAGGTCTTAAGGTACCTACCTTACATACCTAGTACCTTTAGACTGAAGTCTCACACTCGGGCGCTGTATCCGTACACTAAGCGGCGACAGCAGCGGCGGTGCACAAAGAACGGCGTGGCTTCCATTTCCAAAAGAACCTTCACGTCGACTCTACTTTCCCAAAGACACCAATAGGAAGGCACAGCGGCCGAAATACAATGCACTAGAAACCCAGCCTACGGGCCTGCCCATACCTTACCACAACAGCCATGGATGACAAAACACGCCTGAACTTGCTCTGTCTGAGTCGCCTCGCCTCGCCTTCCGTCCCCATACACACCGCAATCGCAGTATCCGACACCAAAAACCAACACCAAGACCAAACAGGTCAGATATCCGTCGCGTGCCCGTACCAATTCGACCATCATTTTACCATCCCCGGCCTCTCCTGTCCATTCCGCTGTCTCGCCGCGCAATCAAGCATTTCCCAGAAGCAATCCATGCGACCATGCTCCCCTCCTCCAACAATGGGACGGTGACACTCTACCTCACGCTACAGAGCACACTACCAGGACGCACATCTGTTTATAGCAGCTTTTCCGTTCCTCTCCGCCCGCCCTCAGCATCGCCGTTCTTGATGCCTCCCGTCGGAGATCTCTTGGCCCTGCACTGCAAGTCATTGGTGGAGGGCGAGAGCTACGCCGTGGCAGCGACGGGACCCAGCCAAGCGTACCGCACATGGCGATCCCGTCATCAAGTGGCTTGGATAAAATAACCGGCCGAGAGACAAATATCCTCGCCCTCGCGGCTTGACATCCTCTGCTCTGCTGAAACGAGACAACCAACGGCGTGTCTCTAGAAGCGTCCCAGAAACACACACCCATCTCAGACACCCGAGACACATCGACGACTGGACTGGCGGGACTGGACAAAATCCAATGCGGAGTACGAACACACAAATCATACATTGCCTGCCGGCCTGCGTGCGCCTGCTCTGCGCTGCGCTGCGCCTGTCCTCTTCCTCATCAACGACGGAGACACAGCTGCACAACAAACGAAACAGGAAACAGCAAACGCTACGAACCGCGGCTCGTCCGAGCCACCTGCCACCTTTGCTCACACGCACACACGCTCACTCCGTCGCTTGTGCACCTGTCCCGGACTGCGAGTCTGTAGCACACCGACCATTGGCAAACTTCCAAAGGATCTTTTGCGAGCGGAGTCCTCTCAGCCCTTCCCTTTACCACCCTAATTAAGGTACGATCCCTTGTCAGCCAACTGTTAGTCGGTCAGCCAGCCATCACCACACGACGGACGAGGCCAAGTATCAGCCATACACAACCGGGGCGAAACAGATCGGACTTTTTGCTAGGCTCTTTACAATGGCGTCGTCTCTTCCGTTTCGACCATGGTTTGCCGTCCAAAATTTGACGCCTCGTCGCACTGCTTTTCAAAAACCGTTCTCGTGGTTTCGCGCGTTCGGACCCTTCTCCGCGGCATCCGAGAGCTGTCAGACTTTGTTCCGTCAACAACTTACCCCAACAATCACGCCATGCCTGCCAGGGCAAAGACCCTCAATCCCCCAATGGCTTACCCCGGAAAGTCGTTCGGGTACCCTCCGCCGCTGGGCTGCCAGCCATCAACTCAAACCCAAAGCCAAAGCAATCGCTACGTCTTTGATCACCAAATGTTTGCTCAGCATAGACTATAATACCCGCCCCAAGTTCCAATGATACCTACCTGACCACGGAGGAATGGCTTGGTCGTGGTTCATGACACCTGACGTCCGTACCAAGTACGCACGCCCCAAAACCCGGTCGCCCGTTGTGTTCCTAGCGGCTTCGCCCAATCTCTTGGAACTTTCTTGGAAAGCTTGAGTGGACGCCATTCCCGCACCACAGCTGGCGCCCTGTTCTCCAGCTGGCTGCCGCTGAAAGTTCGCCCTGCCTTGGTTTCAAGGAGAACCCAGCCTTTTGTAATGACGACGACGTTCGTCGCAAAGTCTGGCTGTCAAGTCTAATTTTGCACTGACAACCCTCGTTCAGAAACAGGCAGTTTTCCAGAAACATTCGACACAGCTGATCAGCCCATCCACCACAACGGATCGAAACTTATAACAGCGTCAGCGAGGAAAATCTCAAGATACTCTCCGTCCGCTAGCCGTGCCAACAGCCGTCGATCGCTGATTATCACCGGCAGTTCCTTATCTGCCACATGAACATCATCATCCCCCAGTTTATGACGAATATGTGATCATCGGCCTGCGCGACTGTTTGCGTCTTGTCCCGAGCTCTTGCGCACTACAACCACTCCCGTACCACCACACCAACGCGCGACCAAATCCTTCTGTTCCTCAAGCCCACTCACACCTCACTTCTCGCTGGCCCAGCCCAAGACTTAAGGACAAGAAGGTCAAGGTATCATCAATGGCCTGCCAATAGGTCAAGAAGACGCGTCGGGAAATAGTTCAACCTAACATTTGCCGCATTCTGTCTACGAATACCCTAACCTACACAGCTTAAGAGAACTGCGGGATCACGGCACGAACGGCATTTTTGGCGCGGCTGTCAACCACATTCCAGGTACCACCCAACCGCGTAGCTCCAACGGGACCGCCATCTCAATCAAGAAGGTAGCAGGGAAAAACTGGATGCGAAAGCAAAGAAGACCACATACGGCAAATTACAGGCCTCGCAATAATACCCGAGCCGAGCACGCCGACAAAAGAACGGGAGGAGGAACATTCTACGGTTACTTACACAGCCTCACCGGCTGGGCGACGTGCCCCCTGCGCCTAAGTGGGCTCTCCCCTTCATTAACGCGGACAGCAAACCTTTTGCCAAGTTGCCTGACGTTGCGGATTGGGACCGGGCCTGGGATGGAGAAGATCAAAAAGTTCCCCAGCCTTTCCCCAGTCGGTTCGGCCAAGACCTCCAAACCCCAAAAGCCAAGGCTTGCGAGGTGCAGCAACCTCCAATTGCTCTCCCTCGCCTCTTCACTCCAACGTTCAAAACAAGACAACCTTGAGGGGTAAAATAGAAATAAACGAGACTCCGCTCTCGTCCTGTGCACGTTGCGTCGCTGGCCGCTTTCACTTGACCGACCACTCGACTCTTGATTCAATTCCCTCGGGTTCCGATAGTCTTCTTGGAACTCTTGAGCTGAGCAAACCATTTCTCCCCCTGAGTGAGCAATTATTACGTACTACATATCTCTGTCGAGGGAAATTCTATACGAAACTGGTGGAGTCGACACTTTTCTCGCATAGCTACGGCCTACGGTTCAGCGCTTGACGGCCTTGGCAGGAACAGACAATTGAGAATTCGCAGGGCTGAGGCCATTCCAGAGAACGGGCCACCGCAGCAGACGAACTTTTGAAATTTTCACTTTCCCCCGGGAGGTTCCTTTGTCAAGATTGGCATGCGGGCGTGGCACGATCCGTCGAGCGTTGTGGTCCATTCGACAGAACCACATGTCTCGTCTCCTGGCGAGTTCACGACGAGAAACATAGTCCTGAGCTGCGAACCGGCTCAGCTCACGTGTTAGAGGTAGGCAGGTCACACCAGCTGTGGGATTGGTTACTATTTCAGACAAGGGTCCTCACTTTCAAAAGTTCCGGTATTGTTTCTTTTCTCTCGGTCGTCGCGAAGCTCGTTCCACTGCATGGAAACCTCGGCCTCGAATACACGACTGCGGCTGTTATGCTTTCTCTCTCTGTGGCCTGGCCGATTGTAGAGAAGTCTGTCAAGGTGCACGATGACTTGGAGCTCTTCCGTCGCCAGTAGCTGCTGGGGGGCCACGAACTAGGACTGTCCTCGGCCTTCTAGAACCGGTTCCCTAAGTCAATGAACCACCGCGACCCAACTTATGAATTAGAGGCTACTTTTGGGGGGTTCATCAGCAAGTCTTGGACAGGCAGGCTCTTCGAAATTCCCACAACGAAACAGCCCGAGCCGCCTCAGTCTGTACCTATAGAAAGGCCCGGACAAGAACCCCCCGATCCCGCGTCAGGGAACGTCTTCGTTACCTGGTGTGGAAGACCTGTTTTCCTAAGCCCGACATTTAACTGAACATCTCAAGACCATTAAGTATGATATGCTACTGAATAGCTTGAGCTCCGGGATTCAACTGAACCTCATGACCATGATACATAACATGCCAACGTATGTAATTGATGCCCAAGCGAACCTCCTCATCAAGCCCGGTTACCACCTTGACGCAGGGGGAGTCGCACTAGGTTGTTGGTGTTGATAGGATGTCATCAACGATCACCAAACACAACTTGTATGTCCAAAAGTCGGTTGCAGTCGCGATGTTGTCATGTCAAGTAAAAATGGCGTCAGACTTGTCATGTCTGTCTGTTGGACTACAAACCAACTCTTGGTTGGTTCAACAGCCGTAAGAACATCATCTCAAAAATATACTGTGCAGTGTCTTGACATATTACCCGGAAAGCCCAGGTTGATATGGACTTTGAGCCCTGATCTTCAGTGGCACATATGATGACACTCTTGGCATTGCTAGAGCTTTCTCATCTCAAGTCTTGTTCCTACAACCCCGAAGTCTTCTCATAATCCCAAGAGTTGTTTGTCAGTGTTACACTTGTCCCGACGTCGGACTTGGACATAAGCTTCGTCCGCTGGAACCCTCAAGCACGAGGACAAACTCCAACATCACCGTTGGACACGTCTATCGGTCGGCCGAGGTACGGCATCATCTTCCTCGATGCTCGTCTTGATTCCGGCAATTACTGCTCCGCTAGAGTCCGTCCAACGAAGATGTACCTCTGAGCCCGCAGTCCATCTCGCGGTGAATAGCCTCAGGATGACTTCCACGCCCGTCATGTAAGTATCAGGTCGCAACCACAAGTTTTTTCGGGATTTTGAACGAGGTATTACTAATTGTCGTCTGTTCTCTGTTCTCATTAAAAGAAACCGTCGAAACGGAGTCCTTTGGCGGTTGTTGTTTGCGTGGTTTGGTCTTGATATGGTACAGCATCATCATCACCCAATGTCTGGCCCTCCTCACTCTTTCTCTCCCCTCTCTCGCCCCCTTTCCAGTCCTATTCCGTACCTTATCCATCCTTTCCCCCTTCCCGTCTCAAAAAGGCATAGCAAAAAAAAGGGACGCCAAAAACTTTTTGTGTTCATGCTTTCCCCCTTTCCCCCTTTCCCATTCTCCCGGAATTTCCCCCCCTTTCCGCTTCGCCAAATATACAGGTTCTCCTTTACCGACAACCACAGCGGAAAACGCGAGGCCGTCATGAAATGAAGAAGCGTCGTTGCGCGCGTTGACAACCCACAAAGGTAGGGACAAACGCCATTAGCGCGCCTGATGCAAATGCTAGAAACGCATGTGGCGTGACAAAAACATAAGAAATGAAGATTTTAAGATAAGTGTACAGGAAACGGTGTGAAAAATCCACGCCTTTGCCCTGTGAACTCCTTGAAAAAGAGAAAAGGTAGAATATAACGTTTCTCTTCCTTAGTCGTCCGTATCGTCCCGATGGCCGTGAGAGAGTTGATGGTGTTGGTAAAGTAATATCGAGCGTAGGTTTGTGAGGAACGGTGATGTTGTATAGGTTGATGAGGGAGAGGTAAAAGTCGCCACCAAGACGGAGGGGATGAGAGGTGACGGATCGGCATGTAAGTGTTCGTCGATGGGTTCATTCGTGAGTCGCAACAAGCGCCTCTGAAATGGTCAAAAGAGCTGACGCTACGATTTACCCAGCCACCGAGGTCTTCGTGGGGCTAACTTAAGCAGCGGCCTGGGAGGCTCCGCGACCACGGACGCTGCCGCGGCCACGGGCCTGACCGCCGGAGAAGTTCCCGCGGGCGTTACCCTGGCTACCGGAGCGGTTGCCCTCGAAGCCGCCGCGACCACGGCCGGCAGTGTTGCGGGGACCGGTGTTGGAGTAGTTGGAGCCGCCGTAGGCACCAGCCTTGGGGCGGCGGGGCTCGACAACGATGTTCTCGCCGTTGACGACGTGGGGGTTGGCAGCAACGGCAGCCTGGTAGCCGGCAGGGCTGGCGAACTCGACGAATGCGCAGTTCTGGATGCGGATTAGTCAATAGCTTCATTGAACATGTCATCGTATCAAACTTACCTTCTGACGGTTGATGTCGAAGTAGGTCAGTTCACCGTGGGCATTGAGGGCTGCCTTAAGCTCCTCGGTCTTAACCTTGTCGGTGACGTACTTGACGTAGCCCAGTGTACCGTTGTCGACGGGGGCCTGGGAGATGGACTGCGGGCGGTTCTGGCGCTTGGAGTCGGCGCCGACGGACTGCCACTCAGCGGAGGGGGAAGACTCCTTGGCGGCAGGCGCTTCGGGCTCCTTCGCGGCCGGGGCAGCGGCGGGCTGGGGAGCGGCAGCAGCAGGAGCGGGAGCCTTGGCCTGAGCAGGAGCAGGAGGGGTGGCGGTCTTGGGAAGGGGAACAACAGGCTTAGGTCCGACGGCGGCGGCAGCGCGGCTGGCCCATGACATGGGCTTCATGGGGACGGGAGCGGGAGCAGGCGTAGGCTTCTCGGGCTCGGCGGCGGCAGCCTTAGCCGGGACGGGGGTAGGAGAGGGATCGGCGGGCTTCTCGGGCATCTTGATGTCCTCCTCGGCAATCTCCTTTGCGGCGGCCTCAGGGTCAACGGCGGGCTCCTCAACCTTGGGCTCGGGGGCCTTGACAGGCTCGGGGGCAGCGACCTCGGCATCGCCGTTGGAAGCGACATCCTGGGGAGCTGCGCTGACCTCCTCCAGCTTCTGGTCAACCGCACTGGGGTCAATGACCGGGGTAGGCTCCTCCTCCTCGGGGGTCTCCTCGACTTGAGCCTCCTCAGGCTGGGCAGCTTCGACGGGCTCCTCGGCAGCGACGGGCTCCTCGGGCTGGACCTCAGCCTCAGGGACGGCCTCGTCATCGTCCTCGTCGTTAATGTATCTCAGAATGTCGTTGACGACGAAGTAGCCGGACGGTTGAGGGGCCAGGACGAAGGTCTGAACGAACTTCTTGGGCTCAGCTGACTTGATGGAGCTTTCGCCGATAACCTGGATGACGATGTTGTCGAAGGAGGCTTGGGAGTCGACATTTGTGATTCGGACCTTGCTGTTCTGGAAGTCAAGCGACTTAATTCTCTCCTGAATGTCCTGGGAGGGGGATTGATGTTAGCGAGTAGTCATCACGTGGCGAGCGCGGGAGAAGTGACGTACTTGTCTGCCGACAGAAACGTTGGCAACCTCAGCCTCCATTCCGTAAACGAACTGGGAACGCTTTCCATAGAACAGCTAAGGTGGAGGTCAGTATCGCAGATCTGTCGCAAGTGGGGTAGATCGGGTTCCTACGTGAAGCTTTTCCGGGTTCTTGCTCAGAGTGGTGTAGTACTGCTCGACGAAATACCAACCAACTTCATCCTTGCTCAGGTTGTTGTTGTTGACAGATGATGCGGCGGCATCGTTCGTAGGGGCGGGGCCTGGAGATGTTTGTTCGACAGCGTCCTTGAACTGGTCCGGGTGTGTGTAGTTACCGTTGGTTGCCATGGCTGCTCTTTGTGTATGTGTGATGATCTAGACTTGGGCGCAATCGGACGGAAGGAGAATAGGTAGTCGGCGGAGAGGAAGGTGGGAGGACAGAAGGCGCGGAGGCGAAGCTCGAAGATTCTGCGGGGCTATTCGCTTGCTTGCGGGGAGGTCGTTCGCAAAAAGAGGACGGGTGGAATAAGACCTTTGCGCGAGAGATGAAAGTTAGATGGGCGAACGGCGCCAATGGAGGAAGAAGGGGAGATGACGACGGCTCGGGGAGAGGAAGGTCGTTGTGTGGTGAAGAAGTATAAGGTATGGCGAGAGCGAAGGTGTTTGTCGTACGTACCTCAAGATGCGATCGTCGTAAAGGAAACGCTTAGAACGGACTCGGAAGCGAAGAAAAGACGATGTCGGAGACGAGGATGCCCGGAAAAAGGGTTTTGACGATGATGCGAGGGGCGGGCGGGCTGGAGCGAGGATGGAGACGCGTGACAGTGGGAAGCGATGTGCGGAGATAACGTAGCTGAGCGACGTGTGGACGGATGGGAGGGAAGAAAAAAAATGAATGTGCACAGTTCAAGACGACCTGGGATAAAACCTGGCTCAGAGAGTGGGTTTTTTTTCTGGTGTGAGTCTGCTTGAAATCTCTCTCGTTCGGAGGAGGGGCTAGAGCGGAGTGGAGTGGTTGCTGAGAGAGGGAAGTGGAGGTTTTATTTTTTTTGCCTTCGTTTGCAAGATGTCGTGAAGGGAGGAATACTTTTTTTTTTGGTGGTAATGCACCTTCCTGGCGGGCGCATCCGTGAAGGGCAAAAACACACACAATTTGTTCAGATCACGACGTGCCCTGTGCTCTCTGAGCGACCGACCTACCAGGTACGGCGGAAGATGACCTGGATTGCCGACCCAAGTGGGATGGATAAGGTACCTCGCGAAGCTTCATGAGTACCTTGATCGCATAGGTTCTAAGCAGCACCACCATGTATCGAACCATCCAGAGAGGTATCGATGAAGATCAATTCCCCAGGTTATCTAAGCAGCGTAGCACGCAACCCGAGCTCAAGCTACCAGCTCCATCGAGAAAACACATCAACATCCAAAGGCCTGAGAAGAGCCATTGAGCCATGTCTAGACCGCCTGGACACTTGTCGATTTACTGTCGACATCTCCCGTTCCTCATATCTGCAAAAATGTCATTAGAAGCGGCCTGGAAGGCCTGCATTTCATAGATTTGACCGTTCGAACATCAAGCTGCTGGGGTGCTATTGCAAGGAGCCGAGGCAGGGAGACGGGGCTAAAGCAACAAGTAAGACGTCAAAGCGGACCGCATCCTTTGTTCTAAATCCATCCTTGTGTAACGTGATGCCCTCTCGGCTTGTTTGTCTATGCCTACGTATAATTATACAATGCTATTTTGTTTGCGATTCTAACCTGAATCCAATATCCATTTAATCGGTCCATCCAAAAACCTCGCTCACGGCCAGGGTATTGGACCTGACTCCGATGAGTGTGATGACGAGCGCAACCAGATCCACGATAAGGAGCACCGCCGAAGCCATCATCCAGCGGGGGCTAAACACTCTGTACAGCATGAGGTGTCTCCTCAGCCAGCCAGCCCACGCCATGGTTGCGAGGGACTCAACAGCAAAGTAGGCGATGAAGATGCCTAGTGCTCGGCTGACGCTCTCGAGAACGCCCTTCCTCTTAGGACCGACCTTCCAGACAACGATGAGCGGAATGGCCACGACTGAAATAATCTGGCCGGCGAAGGTGTTGAGAGCGACGACGATCGGAGTCCAGGGGTAGCGGATCGAGAAGAGGGGAATGAAGGCGCTATCCCACTGGATGCTGCTCAGAGCGGCCTGGTGGCCCGTCTTGAAGTAACCAAAGTTGCCGAGGACACCCAGCATGACTGGGCCAATGGCCTCCGTCGTCAGAGAGTTGAGGTCAAGAATCTCCACCAACGACATGATCTGCCAGAACAAGAGAGCCAAAGCACCGCCTCCCATGGGCTTCGACAAAAGGATGCAGGCACCCACAATATTCATCGGCAAAAGCAGATACCTGGCTCCGTTGGCGTTGCCATAGCCCAGAACCGTGATCTGAGTGTTGCCATTCTTGGCCGGTGTCGTCAGGATCGTGACTAAAGGCGGTGCCCAGACGAACGCAGTCGTTCCGGCAACAAATACCAAAGCCAAGACGACCTGGGCGAGATACACTCCCGCAGTCTTAAGAGTCTGGGACGGCAGGCTGGGGAACCACTCGCCGTTGTCGGCAGCGTCTAAGACCCAGTAGGTGGCCGACATGAAGAGGCCGATACGGTACACGTATCCGATCCAGGCGGGTGCGAGGCCCTCCCAAGACCGCGAAGGCAGGAGGAACGACTTAATGATCGACGGCAAAATGAGCGCGACCGCGAATGGAATGATGAGCTGCCACGTAGCAGAGGTCGAGGAGGTAGCGGAGGCGTAGTAGGTCGAGGTGCAGTATGGCATCTGCTCCTCGCGACAGAGCTTCGAGAAGGAGGCAACTCTGCCCAAGACAACAAAGAGAACGGAGTGGTAGATTGCGAGGGTTCGCTCCCTCATCGTAGGTACGGAGAACGCAGCGAAGACGTTCACCACGCCAAAAGTTGTGATGAAGAACAGAAGGATTGAGTCCTCCCAAATGGTGTAAGAGTTGGATGCGAAGCCGATCGACTGGCTCAAGGTGAAGATGACAGCCAGCCACCCCCAGATGTTGTTTGGCATGAGGTTGAGAATAGTCTTGCCAAAGCCAGACAACGAAAACAGCACTCCAATGGCACTGGTGAATGCAGCACCGGCAATGGCGTAGATGAGGTCGTCAGGAGTCGTGAAGATGGAGTAGCCCGTGCCGGCAACCGCACCGGGGACAGCGCCGAGAATAGCAGCCACGAAGATCTTTTGGTGTATGGTCTTGTAGGAGGGAGCAGAATCGGGCTTGATCCCCTGAAGTTCCAGCTTCTTCTCGGCCAAGTCGAGCTCAAGATCGTCGAGAACCGCGAAGTCCTCCTCCTCGTCACGGGAAGCATAGACGAGAAGGGTCACAACACCAGCAGCCATCACAACAATACCAGTGACCATTCTGGGCACGTCGAAGCGAGCCCAGAGGTCCTTGCAGATGCGTAGAGTCTCCTCTTGGAACATGTTGTAGAAACCGTACGCCTCCTGGTTCTGCTTCCACTGCCAGGAGCGTTCGGCCTTCCTCCACAGATGAGATACGTGGCCTGCCGTGGCGCTCTTGGACTGATCAATGCCACGGGCCTCAAAGTACGAGTCCTGGTACCGCTGAATGCCGGCGGCAGTCATCCGCGACACAGTTGCGAGGTTGTTCCAGGCGTTACCCTTCTTTCCGGCGAATGCCTCCTCGATGGGTCCTCCCAGGTTGTTGTATGGAATAGGAATGCCCATGAGCAGCGCAAGAGTTGGGACGAGATCGATTTGGTTGACAGGTCGAATCTTGGCCATGCTGGGAGGCACCTTGTATTCAGGCTTGGTGCGACCGAAGAACGGACGCTTCGAGTACATCCAGAGCGCTGCCTCGACCTCGTCATCACTCTCGCCGCCGTGGTCACCCTTGCTGTCCATGCCATGGTCGCCCATGACAACAAGGAGAGTGTCGTCGTCGATCTCGGAAGCAAGTTGGCGGATGAAGACATCCATTTGCTGGAGCTTGGCCGTCATTGCTGCGTGGTTCGGTCCATACCGGTGGCCAGCGTGGTCGACGCCAAGCAAATGGCCAATCAGCAGATCCCACTTGCCCTTCTCTTCCTTCTTGAGAAGTGGGAAGATGTGGTCCATGACACCGTTGTCCACCGTGTGGAGATCCCAAACATTGAAGCTGTCGTATGCCTTGCTCGCGTTGGCCTCGAAATAACCAGGAAACAAAGACAACCAAGTATCGTCTCCCAGGTGCACAATCTTCTTTCCGGCGTCTTTCAGCTGCATGAGCAGGTTGTCTTCATCAATAGCAGTGCCACCAAAGCTGCTACCAATATCGATGAACGTCGGGAGCGTGCCAGTTGTCAAGCCCTTCAACCGCTGAAGCGTAGCTGTCGGCGGGTCGGCGATGAAAGGGCGCAGGAAGGCATGCTCAGGGGACTTGACGGCCGTCTCATGCAAGAACGGAAACGCGTTGTGGAACGGCTCGTTGTCCTCGACGGGAACCGTAAAATCGTACCGAAGCGCATCAATGAGGATGACAACGGTCTTGTCAAACGACTTGGGATGCCAGCAGCCGCCCTCTACGGTGCCCTGGCCCTTCCAGCTCGACGACAGGTCCAGCGGCGGGGCAGTGCAGTTCGACTTCTCATCCAGCACCATCCTCGTCAAGAGGAAACCACTGGTGAAGAAAGTGAGGCCGACGGCATGCAGAACCAGCATCCACGTCCAGAAGCCGACCGTCCACCACCACCTACGCTCGTACGCGTCCTTGCGTCGGGCCTCGAAGACCTCGCGTTGCTTCTCCAGCAGGGCCACCCTCTCCTTCTCAGCCTGTATCTCCCCGGGTGTCCGGCTGGCCTCCTCCAGCTCCTTCTGTCGCTTTGCACGCGCGAATTGCTCGGCAATGGCCTTGTAGTCGGCCGCCGGCGGTGCGGCCTTCGATCGGGGGGTTTTCTGTTGCTGTGACATCGTGGGACCAGCGGTGGGCTCGGCTGATTGGTTGGATATATATAAAGAAAAGAGAACAAGGAAAGAAAAAGGAAGCAGATTAAGGGTGGCACTCGATGGCCATTGGAGTGTAGGAAGCTGGAGCAGCCCCTGTTGGAAAGTGTCGTTGTGTGCTGCTTGTCGATGCGCAGCTTACAGGAGAGGGTTGGATGTCGACTGGCGGAAAGAGCTCAAATTTCGAGGTGCATGTTCCGGCGGCCGTACCTTAGCACCGCGGGTCCAGCTTTGGTGGGGCGCGGACGGGTGCATCCCAGAGACCAAGGATCTTGACCTTTGCGGCCACCAACCGCTAAACCATTCATGGTGCTTGGATTAGAAGTCATCTGGAACCTTGTAATCAACAAAAGCAAGCCGGGCTTAGGTACCTAAGAACATTTCGTGAGGCTCTCTTCTTGATTGCATTATGAGTGTATGGTTCATCCTATCTTTGCCAGCCCTCCAGGCAACCCCACACAAGAGGACGAAGGCAACCTATCTCAGTGTTGTCTTCCGTCAAAAAATACAACTTGTCCGTAGCGGACGTGGTGTGGTGTATAATATGGGCAGTCTATACGTGTGAATCCGTCCCCGAGAACACCTTTCATCTTCTTGAATCACGGTGCCTGTGGCTATGATAATCGCGGTCCCGATCTCTCTCTCGGTCCCGATCTCTCTCTCGGTCCCTATCCCGATGTGAGTATCGGTCCCTATCCTCACGATCCCTTTCCTTGTCCCTATCCCTCTCATCTCTGTGGCTCTCGCCCCTCCGTTCTCTGCGCTCAGCTCGCTTCTTCTCCTCGCCGCGACGGTACTCATCCAGCCTTGGCCGGCTGCTCTTCTTCTTCCCACCGCTGTTCCACTGGCCCAGATCCTCAACACCCTCGAGCTTCGTCGCACCCAAGCCCAGCTGGTTCTGACGCCTCTCCGTCGGCCTCTTCTTGTTCGGCCCGCGCATCTTGCCGTCCCATCCCATGCCGCGCAGCAAAGCCGCGCCGAACTCCCCGTCCGGAATCGCATCGTAGTCCGCGATCGTCGAGTCCTCGCCCACGTGCTTCATATCGGCGAGGTAGGCGTCTTCTTCCGTGGCAGGAATGACCATGTCGTCCTCGGGGCGCTTCTTGCCCAGTAGAGCATCCATGGCGTCGTCGTCTGCTGTCCGGGGTGCCTTCTTCTCTTCCGCCTCCACAGACCGCCGGTCGTCCTTCTCAGGTTGTCGCGAGTCCTCGTCTGCCTCTTCGCTGGTCTTGCGTTTCTTGACGGTCAAGCCCCATTGTATCTGCTTATCCGCGTCCGCGGGCTCGGTCTCGGGTTCCTGCGCGCCGTTGCGTTGCGCCTGCGCCTCCGCGGGTAGCAGGTTCTTCCCGCCCCTGCGCGCGCGCAACTCGTCTTTCCAGTTGCGGTTGCTCTGGCTCTTAATTACCAGCTCGCGGGGCTTCTTTTCCTTCTTCTCGCTTTCGCCGCCAAACTCTGTGATCTTCTCGTGTCTTCCGCGGCGATCGCGGTCGTCGTCCGAGTCAGAGTCGAAACCGTGGGCCAGCGCATTCGTGCGCGAACGCTTGCCTAGTGATGATGGCGGTTCTGGACGCGAGGATTTCTTCTGATTGTTGTTGGTGGTTTTTGAACTCGAAGAGCCGCCGAAGCTGATCGCGATCCTCGGGGCCTTGGAGCTGTCGGACATGGTGTAGACAGCGCGTGGCGGGGGCTTCAGACGTGATCGAAGAAAAAGAAGATTTGGTGTTGGTGTTTAAGGCTGGTTTACAAGCTGAGTTCAACTTTCACAGGCAGCCGTACGTCAACATGCAGGGATGCGGGTCTCTGCCTTATGTAAGGTGGGGCATATTTTTACAGCAGGTCAACTACAAGCACAAGCTCTATCTAACATGCTCGACCACTCGTTGCGCCTCCTCTAATTTGTTTTTCACCATGCAACGCTACACCTTTTCGCATATATAGATGATGGCGTATTTGGTTTTTGCTTAGAAAGCGAAGACCTGGTCCTCCAGCTTGCTGACGGGGCGAGCCTTCTTGAAGCCCAAGCTCTCGGTCGCCTTCTTGAGGCCGCTGACCATGGGCGGGGGACCGCACAACAAGATCTTGACGTCGTCGGCAGGCTTAGGGAGAAGCTCCTACAGATTTTGTCAATTTTAGATGCATCAGATAGGGATTCAAGGCGGCCTACGGTGATCATGTCGGCAGTGACGTAGCCAACGCCGCCAGTCCATCCCTGAGGAGGCTTGTCCAGGACGTAGTGCACGCGGAAACCGTTGTCCTCCTTGGCGAGAGCGTCGAGGTCCTCCTTGAGAAGAATGTCCTGGGGCGTAACGTTGGCGAAGATGAGGTCGATCTCGGTCTTGTCGCCGGCAGCGCGGCCGCGGATGACGGCGCGGATGATCTGGAGCATAGGGGTGATACCGGTACCGCCGGCAATCATGCCGAAGTGGCGGACCATGTTCGGGGTGTAGACGAACGCGCCCTTGGGGCCCTTGACCTTGAGCGTTTGGCCGACCTTGAGGGAGGCCATGTGCTTGGAGATGTTACCGGTGGGGTAGGACTTGATCAAGAGGTCAAAGTAGCCGGGCTGGTGGTCGCCAGAGATGGGAGTGTAAGAGCGCACGATCTCCTTGGTGGTGCCATCGGGTTGGGGGCAGTTGGCGCCGATGGAAATGTGCTGACCGATGGGGAGGCCGAGGACAGACTTCTCGGTAGGAAGACCGAAGCGGTAGCTTGGCAACAGTCAGTGACAAGTCAAGATACATGTCGAAATGCGAGACTTACATGGCAGTGTTGTGAGAAAGAATGGTCTTCTCCTTGAGCTCAAACTCCTGGAAAGCATCCGGCTTGAGGACCGTCTTGATCTCTGCGCGGGGTAGAGGTCAGCGATCAATTCCGAGCAGCTCCGAGAGAGGCCGAACTCACGCATGGAGTTGAACTTCCACGCAGCCAGGGCCAGCGTCAAGGGAATGGCGTAGATCAGCCATTCACTCTTGACAATCGTCACCCCGAGGACGAGAAGTCCAGCGGGGATGTAGATGTTGTCGAAATAGGCGCGGGAAGTCAACGAGGCGGCCATCTTGAAGGCGAGCGTTCCGGTCTCCACAGGAGGTATACGGGGAAAACTGGTGCTGCAAGCTAGCTAGCTCGGGTTCTCGAGTTAACCTGGAGAAACGGGGGAAAAAGTCCAAATCAGTTTCAATTCTCGGAGTTGTGGCGGCTGAGGGCGTGCACTGACCAGATAATCAGCTGCGGTAAGCAGAGCTGTCGCAGTCAATCGAGTGAAGGGGACACGGAGAGGAGCGTAGCTAGGAAATGCAAGCAGATATCGTAAGATCGCGATGTGGGACGACTGGACCCCTCCGATTTTCTGTTGAGCTGCCGATTTTCTGCCAGTCCTCGAACGGCGGGCGGTCAAACGTTTTCTGCTGCTATTGCGAGCGTCGGCGGCGAAGGTCGGGGGCGGGACGTGAGTTCGAGCCGAATTGGGCAAGATAATCCGACGGCAGATGCGACGGGCCCCGACCTCGGGTTCTTCGTAAGTGGAGGTGGCTTGCAGCATCGGTTATGCAGGGTATGTGGCTCATTGTGGCTGGTGCTCAGCTTCGTCCATCACGAACCTATGGATCGGGAACCTCCCGTCCATAAGTGCCAAAGTTCCAATTGAAACTCATCATCAGTCTCTGGCGTCGCTAAAGTGGGATCAACATGTAAATCGACCGAACTGAGGAAGCTGACATGCAAGGCCGCTCCCTATCAAACGTATCACCGCAGTCACATCGAGATGCATTTGCAATTCGAAAGCTCCGAGGTTCAATACGCCATGACATCATGGCCATGTGCATCAGCCTCGTCCCCCGAGACACGTCTGAGGGGAGTTGGGAGCAGATGGAGTGTCTCAGCAAAAAACGCGAAAAAATCCTTCAGTGATCCAACGGCCCCTTTCTGTAAGCGACTGCCTTGATTGCATCGCGTCGCAGCAAGATGCGGAGAGATTCGGTTCTGGAGTCGATTGCTGAAGTCTACCACATACCACGCACGCACTCAACCGGATGCAAATGACATGTGACGTCGGACGGCGTCAAAGCTGCACGAGGCTATCATCCAAAAAGTTTCAAGAGTCGAGCTGTCAACACAAGGGAGGCAAAAGCCTCATGTTAGTCGATCCTGCGGCCCTCTCACCAGGCGCTGGTCGGACCCGAAGATGCTGTCTTCTTTTCGAGCTACCACTGCGCCGGTAGCTTGCTGTCATTAGTCTGGCGCAAAGCCGCTCGAATGTAAAATCATCGATCGATGAGAAAGTGCAGTCATCGAGCAATGACATCATCGTAGGTTGCGACACGTCAGTGACACGACGGTCGGAATGTATCGCTAGCGGCAAGCAGCTAGATTCTTTAGTGTTACACGTCGAAGCACCGATGACTTGAGATAGGAATGTTGTCTCTCTGGGCAAGAAAGCTGGTGCGGGTTGGTGGGAAATTCGAGAAAAAGGATGCGTGATTCGGCCGGAAACACTGCTTCGTCCGACCACTTGTGCCACGAGGAAGTATGCAAGAAAAGTGCAATCCTGTCTGCAAAGCGTCCGCGATGAGACGCGCCTGCTTCAGATACAGCTCTCGACATGCTGCATGATCCCGAAAGCAGAGATAGACTTGTTTCTGAGGTAGGACGGCAGCGTAGGACGGCCGAGACAATAAGAGTCGAGCTGCGTGGGATAAATGGGTCTTGGCCGATAGCGGTGGTCGAAAATGAGACCGGCCGGATAGACGAGCGGTGCCGGATGTCCCCGCTTTTGACGCTATTTCGTCCTAGGCACCCGTCGGGCTGGATACGGGAGGTCCGTGCTCGTGAATGGACTGTCCATCAAGGAAAAACGTGCCAGGCCCGGCGTTGTTCTCGCGCGCTCTCGCGTTTTGTACAGAGCATCGCGAGGTGGTACCGCGTAGCACGTTGTTGAGTCGTGTGAAAGTGGCTCTCCCATCTCCCTATCTCTCCTTGATCTGCGGCTGGGAAGAAAGGACCCTGAGAACCCTGAAAACGAGGCGGATTGAATATTTGACGGATAACCTATGCCGTGCCCAGGCACAGAGCACCTGGACGCACAAGTCCGATTCATTTCCAAAAACAACGGGACACCTTCTCTGATTAATTGACCGATTACGCTTGGCTGTCGTGGATAGCGGGCTCGACGGCGGGATTCAAGATTGCATATTTCGACTTTCTTCGAGGCGAGCTTCTCGCGAGCTATCCGTACCTTAGCGAGGACTTCGCGACCGAGTGGCGTACTGTTGTGCGGCAGTGGCTTTTCCTCGGTGGTCCACTGCGCCCGGCGACGATCAGAGACAAGTCGCAATCTTGATAAGTTGCCTCCCAGCCCACACCGCAGACTCATCTTGCCATCCCGCGAATTCCATCTCCCCGTCCCCGTGCCCCCAAATTTGGCCGGTGCGGGTTGGTTTCACATTTTGAAAAGGCACGTCGTTCAGACGATCGCGTTGCCGCCGAGCATCCCATTCCTTGGACCTGGGAAATTTTGGGGGCTTGCCATCGCTCCTTGAGTCCTCCCACGGGCGCGGGATTCGTCTGACCGTGCCTTTTTTGATGTCCGCCTGGTGTCCTGTCATCTGAAACCGGTCGCATGGCATGATGACATTTGACGTTGACGTTCGCCAGCCACACCGAACGCTCCGGCCGCCTGGAGTCGTACCTGTCGTCGGTTGTTGTGCCGACGTTGATGTCTCTCGTGCTCGTTCTCGGTACTGCGGCTGGCAGCATGTAGTGTGTATTCTGCTTGTTCAAAGTTGACCTTCTAGTATTCGAAGCCAGCGACCCTGTCGGTGTACACAAAAAGCCGTGGACAAATGAAGGGTCTCCCAAGACCCCCTCCTCGTATCCGTATAAAACGGGGCTGACATGGCCTGGGCATGAGCCTCTGCTTCATATATCTCACTCCCCCTAACAGAAAAGTCTATTCAGAGACACGAGGGGTGATAGTGACGGCCTTTCGCAATGAAAAGCACACAGCTGTTGAAATTGTCAATCAATGGCGCGGGATAAGCCGTCGCCGGATGGTCGGTGACCGAGAGAAAGAAGGAGAAGGAAGAAGAGAGCGGTCAAATTGGAGCAAAATTGAGGCAATCTTGGAGAAATCGAAGTCGCCCTGGGCGCCCCCGTTTCGCCAGATATTGGAAGCGGCTTGAAACGACCCTTATTTTCGGACTTGACCGGGCTCTGAGTTTCTCGACGGGGCCAGGAGCCTCAGATTCGAAAAGAAATGCTGACATGGAAGAAGAAGGAATAATGAAGGCGCAATCGGGTGGGGGATTCATCAGTATCAAATCAATCGGTGATCGCCCATGAGAGAGAGAGAGAATCGAAGGCGAACGGGATTCCACGCTTCCAAGAGCGCCCGAAGTTGGCGCTAGTGCGGGCACTGCGGGCAGGTCCTGGTCTGCACTCTGCAGCAGCAGGCAAGGGGGATCATGGACGGCCAGGGAGTCGCCGAGCCAGTCAGAATGACAGGAAGCTGGCCGCGACATCCATCCAATTGCCGCTGGGGTTGGCACTAACACCATGACGGCCGGTAGAAGGAAGGAGGATACGCGGCATACGGCGCAGGAAGATTTCTGACCAGGGAGTTCGAACGGGAGTCTGCGGTAGAGATTCGTGATTTCACCTGGATAACATGACGCTATCACCCATGGGTGATAGTCCACAGTATCTCAAGCCATTATCCACCGCCAGTGGACTGGTATCGAGGTTTGCACGGACGATTCGTGTCGTGATTTAGCAGGTATTTTGGAGGCTGAATGCTGTGCTCGAAGTTGTGTACGGATTGACGGAGTACGAATACTTTGTGGACGCGGCACTGCCAAGCTACGAAGCTAGTGTGCTGTGCTCGTAGTACGCAGCTGAGTCTTGCATATCATCGACCTGTAGCGTAGCAACAACCCACGTCGCTGGCGCGGCATTCTGCGGTGCCGGCATAGCAATGGCAGGTCATGCTTGGACGGCCGATGGATTTGCTTCCATAGTGGATGCGGAAGACTGTGGAAATAATCGGCCTGAGTGGGAATTGGAGACGCCGCCGACATGCGAGCGCTAGCATCGTGGGCTGCTTGGCTGCGTACGGCGCTGTGAGGCGTACATTTGTGGAGGACATTGGAGCGCCCCCGGGCCATATCCAGGAGATGCTCTCATGGAGTAATGCAAAGAATCATGGAATGTCAACGAGGGCGGCATCATCATCCTTCCTTGTTGGCGGCCGTACATTTGTGGATGTTATGTACCTACCTTGAGGCCCATGGCACCATGATCCACTAGACGTACTATGAAAACGTGCATAATGGTGGGCGACAGTGGGTGTTCGCGCATGTTTCCATCTTTCAACATGCAGTAGTGTCCAGGACGGCAGCTTCAGAGAAATAACATCAAAATTAATCAAAGTCCGGGAGAGGCAGAGGCAGAGGCAGAATAACCTACAAACGAAACACTGCTGAGTGAGCCCCATGTTCCCTTTCAGCTGCTATGCCAACCAGATATCCATGTCCATCTGAAAAGCGAACGAGCGGGATTTAGAAACTGAAAGAGAGAGATAGGGACTACCATGTCGGCTCCTCGGGCATTTCCTTTGTACAAACCCCAAAACCAATCACCACCAATAAACGACACCAACAGCTGCAAGTTCAGAGCTTCTTACCCAAACACTGCTAGCGATTGCTGGCCACGTTGTGTGAGCTGGTCTCGGTCAGCTCAGCATCAACAACATAATAGTACTTTACGAAGAACGCCAGCGCCAGGAACCCCGCGTAGGTCTCATTGGGCGACGCTTTCGGGACAAAAACAGGATGTGCATCGATAACATCATAGCTGCATCAAGCCTGGCTGCTCTCTGCTGGCACTGGATACCATACCCAGCTTACCTCCCCCCCCATGCAGCCATGCTCGTCGCCAAACCCACTGCCACCTTGCCCTTGCCATGCCGTGCCAGACCCTGCACCCTGCACTTACACCTACCTGCACTCTCTAGGTTGCTTGTGTGGTTCTCCACTTCCCCCAAAAACGCTGGGTGTATCCTGTTATCCCTTTTGCTGCTTTTCTGCGCTGTGAACACCATCTTGATCCCATCATTCCCATGCCTTGCTGTCCAACCTCCTTACCTCAACTTCCTTTGCCTTTCACATCTACCTCTACCTTTCTCTTTGCCTCTCCTCGACTTCTCACCTTACCTATTCCTTAACCTTCTCGGCTGGTCCTACAATCGTCACACCCAATAACAAATAACCTTCTGGACAAACCTCCCCCCGAAGACGCCTGGTGATCTGATCTGATCTCATTGTCACCATCACCCAACTCAGCCCGACCCGCCGCTTGTCTCTCCAACTCCGTCTCGCAACAGCACGAGGTCTTAGTCTCGGTCTCATTCTCTCCCACGCCTCGAACCGACTGACGTTCGCACCCACCCGTCCAATCATCCGAATTTACGCATCAGACGCCCCTCCGTTGCTACCCTCCTTCACGCATATTCCCTTGTCTTCCAAGCAAGCTACCTACCTCGTCGGACCTCGCTGCACTCCGGCCCTCTCCAAACGGCTGTTCCTTGCTCACCTCCATCCACTCAGGTACAAGTCTTGACGGATAAGATAGACACTGAGAGACCCTTATTACCACCCCTCCGCCATCCACACTTCCTTCTGTATCATACTTTTATCGCCCCCTCCTCTCTTGTTGATACCTTTGATATCGTACCTTACTTGAACCTTGCCTTCTACCTCACTTGTCTTCCTCCGCCTTGCGCTTCGTTTGTCTCGACGACGGAGACATCGCCAGTTCCCTCCCGCCCACCCTTGGCCCCGAGTTGTAAAACCACGCGAACATTCCAATCGACCTCGACGACCTGCGTACCCGACGTCGTTGCATGGCCAGATAATTCTATACTCGACCTAGACGGCCTCGTAGGCCTGGCCAGGCCGAGACGCTTCGCAGCGATAAACGGTGGAATTAAACGGACTTGGACCATCGATTACTGCACGTCCAATCTGTCGACCATGGACACTGTCGCTAGCCGACAGTCAGTGCTGCCCACTATTCAGACCACACATCATGGAGACTCGAAGAGCCCGAGCAAGTCGGAGATGCGCAGCGTATCGACGCCGTCACTGGGAGGAAAGCGACGCAGTTTCTTAGCAAAGACCTTCGGGAAGGTCAGCAATAGAGCTTCTTCATCCGACCTTCGCGCATTGTCTACCATGTCCGAGTCTTCCAAGGCCTCGAACAGCTCGAGCAGCTCAAACGCTCAAAGCCGTCGAGTACTTCACAAGAATAACGGCTCCGGCGGCTCAAACTCCTCCTCGATTTTCTATCGCCTCAACCGCCGCGCATCTAAAGATTCTACTGCGAGCTCTCACATGTCGGAGGATACACCCACTCACCTTAGCCCTCACCTGCCGCCTAATCCTATCAGGATCCTAAAGCACGGGGCGCTCAAAACCGATGCGCGATTATGGAAGTCTCGTGCCGAGTATATCGTCTTGACTGAAGGGCACCTCATCAAGTTCAGTAGCGTCGAGGCTGCGAGAGCCAACTTCAACGAGTTGGCGCCGCCGTCGGGCCGCCTCAAGAGATCATCGACTTCGTCGACATTGAGCCAGGATGGTGCTTCTGCAGACGGGCGCGTTGAGATTCCGTTGTGCAGAATTGTCAACATCTTCAATGAGGAGGGTGTAAGTCCTCACTTCGGGCTCGATGTGTGGTGGTCAGAAACTTCACCAATGGTGTCATGGGCATGCACGAAGCTCTTTTTTGGCCTACCTGCCGAGCGGGAAGATTGGATGACGGAGATTCGCCGCGCTGTCCGTGACTCTGTCGGCTCGACTGTTGTGCCCAAAGGAATCGTCGCTCCCAACGTCGAGACCGCCATTCACAAGATCGTTGCCGCCGAAGAACCTTCCTGTCGCGGCTTGCCCCTGGACATCTTTCCGGTCGTTCAGCGCACCACTCTTCTTGGCTCCAAAGCCGACAACCCTGAGACCTCCAAGAAGTTCCGTGACGGTTCATCTCATTATCTGCTGCTGGGCCAAAACAAGTGCTATTTTGTTCGGGTTGCGAGAACCTCAGTGTACAAGGCACCCCAAGACATTGAGATCAACACCGTAGTATTTGGTCTGACGAGTTTGGTACGCTTGAAAGCCACAATGAGCCACCATGAAGAACGATTCGTTCTCGGTTTTCGGTATGTGCCGGTGTGTTCAGCCCCATGTGAGTGTAACTACTAACACGCATGCCAGTTTACCCTGCGAAGCCGAAAAGCGCTTGGAGCTGGCCAGCCGCTGGTACAGAGAGATTGTCATGACATTCATGAAGGCAGATCGCGCAGTAAAACCTGCCTGGCCACAGCACATGCAAAGTGACATTTTCGACATCAGAGGCCTTACCGCCCAACTTCTACTGCCCTCAGGCCAGGACTTTGGCGGTCTCAAGCGGACCATGGAAGCCTACTGTGCGACATTTCGATGCCCGCCTCCCGAGTGGACAGTCAACTGGAAGTGTGAACGCCGAGAGCACTGCCCTGAATTCCGACTTCTTCCCTCAAAGGAACCGACTGGGTACACTGCTCTTCAACTGCTGGCCGTCTTCAAGTCTCTTCGGTACAACGATTACTTCAAGGCTCTTTCCTTCCGCGACGTCGACCTCGCACCTCTTTGCGGTGTGACGGACCATCCAGGGTTTGAAGAGTCTGTGGCAGATGTTTCTCGAGATGGTAAGCGTCTACGCACTCGCCGGAAGACCCGCGGGCTAACAACGACAGGTTTGGTCATCGATGGAGTGCACAAGGACATCATCAAGGCAGCGCCACTATTGTCGCAGGAGATTCACGCAGTTGCCTTCACTTCTGGCTCGATACGCAAGATCGATCTCACCAATGTCCTCGCGTCCCAGAATATCATCGGAGTATCGCGTACACGAGCTGGTTCGAAGAAGGAGCCCGAGGTTGTTCGTCCGATTCTGCTGCTCATGAGGACTGGCAACAGCCACTGTGATACTCTTTTGGTGGGAGGGAATCCTCTCACGGCGGCTGAGGTCACTGATCTTGGTAAGAATATCGTACCGATAATTTTGACGCAAAGCTGACCGCGACCCAGTGGACGTTCTGCACATTCCCGACCTTCTGAGAGAACTCGACATCTCGCGTTGCAATCTAGATGAAAGGAGCCTGGAGGAGATTTGGGACGCACTTCCTTCCCAGGGATACAGGATGGAAGCGCTGAACACTTCACGCAACATCGGCCACGTTGATCACATGGTTGTGAAGAGCAATCTGGCTCACTTTGCCTGCCTTAGAAAGCTCAGCATCGCGGGCAACTGCCTAAGCCAGTACATGGATCCCATTTTCTACGACGAGACAATCATGAGCTGGGGACTCGAAGAACTTGATCTCTCAAACATCAACGTAAGGCGTCATTTCTTCATTGGCACTCACATGCTAATCCATCCCAGCTGAACAACGCCACTCTGGAAATTCTCGCAGACTACTTGACCGCTCCCGAATCCGCTTATTTGCGCAGACTCGACCTCAACGGATGTGGCATGTCAGGCGCCCAAATCGCTCACCTGTTTCGCAGCATGGGCCAAGGCAGAGAGATCGTTTGCTCTATCAATGGGAACTACATCGAAAACGGCATGGAGGATTTGGCGTCCGCCATTGCCTACAATTTCGGTCCCACGTCGCTGTTCATGGACATGATTGAATTCCGCAATGAGGAGAACTACATCAAGATCATCAAGGCGCTCGCCCTCAACCGAACCATCCGCCTGCTTAGCCTTGTTGGGACCTCGACGCCGGGACAGGTTAGCGAGGAAGCTTGTCTTGCAGTCTCGGACTTCTTCGCCAGCAACGAGTCCATACAGTACCTCGACTTCTCTGGGTTCTCGGCCAAGCTTGATGAGGGCCAGCTCGGACTTGGTTTCTCTCGCTCACTCTCGGGTCTCGCCAGTAACAAGACGCTGCTGCATCTTCGGATCCGGAATCAAAAGCTGAACATGAACATCGGAGACCTGGCAGAGGCTATTCACATGAACCAGACTCTTCGAACGCTCGACGTCCAGGAGAACAGCTTCAACCTTTCGAACCTGTCTCACATGGTCAGGAGTCTGGAGCAGAACACTTCCATCCAAGAGTTCTGCCCCTTTTCCAAGACTGAGCTTAACAGAGTCATCAAGTCCAGCGTCCAGAACGTGGGCATGCCTACCAGCCAACCGTCGGTTAAGGCCCGACGCGCCTCCAAGGTGCTTTCGAAGGCTACGTTCGAGAACTTTGCCATGGAGATGGACAAGAACAATGCTTTGATGCAGAACCTGAAAGAGGAATGGACGAGCAAGACGGCGCAGATCGACAGGATTCTCGAGAGAAACCGCACTCTGGCATACGAGGTCGACATGGCACGCTTGCAGTGGGAGATACCGGCAGACCCTGACGCGGAATGGATTGCATACGATCTTAGCATCATCTTTGGCGGCCTCGCAGCCAAGGCTATCAAGAAGAAGCGTCCAACTCCCATGGAGACACCAGGCTTCCGCGGAAGCATGCTTGCGGCCGGATACCGAGGCAGCATGATGTTCGGTACCAGCACCCCGCCCATGGAGCAGTGGGAAGACTACGGACTCAAGGCTGCGCCTCACCATGTGTCGTCGGAAGAAGTGCTGGACAGTCCGGCGACCGAACACGCCAGCGGCTCCTCCGCCTTGCCGACGCCTCCCGAGTGGGCGCCTAGCGAAAGCCCGGCAAAGGAGTACGCGATGTCCTCGAGTGTCCCGAGCACACACAGTGATCCTCGCATACTGGAGGAGTCACTCGGCGACTTCGACCTGGAGGTCCTGAAGCGCATGATCTCGCACGGATTCAACCTGGACGAACCGACGCAAGCGCAACCCCAAGCCGTCGGCGGGAAAGCGGGTGCCTCCGTGTCCACCACGAGACTCAACTGAAGAAAGTAAAACGAATTTCAAAAACGATGCACAAAAAAACATGAAAGAAACGTAAGAAAGGAACGAAAAAACGAAACGGGGAGACGCGTATCAAACATAACTTCTTTTTTCCCCGCTGGAAAACCAACTTATTAGACACTGAGCGACGGCAACCGATCTTTTTGTTTTGTTTTTTAATCTGTCTATGGATCTCATCGTTACGGCGTTATTGGAGGACAAACTCATTCGCGGGATTGATACCCAGACTCGCAAGAACTACTAGTATTGGATGCGTTGGTAAACACATTATTTGGCGTTTTTTTGGGTCACTCGTTAGGTTACCATGGACTCGAGAGAAAGGGGCATGTGTGTAGGATACTGTGAATCATATCTTGGTATTTTGGAAAGTATTTAGGTTCTCACTTATGATACATAATTCGTGAGATACTTTGTTCGTAACGGCTTGTACGGTGAAAGGTTTAGGTGGCCGTGACACTGAGAAGTCTTCTATCGTGCCTGCCCAGGCCGAGGAATAACTAAATTAAAGGACTGAAGGACCGTAATGGCAGGTACTGATATGTCAGACTTGTTTCTCTGCCTTCTTTTCTCAGCTGCCAGCCTCTTTCCTCAGTCCGTTTACCCACAACCTATCACATGAACAGGCTGCAGCAAGTCTTGGCCATGCCGGCCACAACGCGCATTCATGCACCTCATTGGCCACCAACTTGGTATCACTAGAAAGAGCAATCGACTGAGGAGTTCTGCAGAAATGGCAGGTGCCATAAGCGCATTGCTCTCTTTGAGCACACGCGCCCCCGCATCGTCGCAATCATCGCGTTCATCCTCATCCCCAAGAACCACCAGTCAGCCATCGCTTCGAAAACCGCAGTCTCTTTTCGTTCCCAGATAATGATGGAGGGTATTAGAAGGCTTCGTGACAAAGTAGCTGGCCGGCAAAATAAGCCCGACGAGCAGACACAGGAAGACTACGGCCTATTTCTCCTCCACCCAGAACCTGGGTCAGCCGCAATCGACATCGAGTAAGACCCCGCCATAGGTTCCCACGATTGACCCAATCGCTAACAGCTCCCCTAATCAGTATCGTTGCCGTCCACGGTTTGGGCGGTCACTGGAAGGATACATGGACCGACGATGCCGCAAGCAAGCTGTGGCTGCGGGACTTCGTCCCTGCGCAGTTTCCCGCCACTGCATGTAGAATATGGTCCTTCGGATACAACTCACGCTCGCTGAGTAACTCAGTGGAGGACATTGACGATGCGGCAACGTCTTTGATCAACTCTCTGCACGAAGAGCGCCAACTCACCGGATCGGGCACGAAACCGATCATCTTCATCGCTCACAGTCTGGGCGGCATCGTTGTCAAGCGCGTAAGTTTCAGAAACCAAACGACTCTTCCTTCTGTCAACTCGTCCCCTAACTGTAGAAACTCAGGCTTTGATTCTGGCAAACGAACGTTCGGATTACTGGAAAGATGTTCGCGACAGCGCTTTCGGGGCGCTTTTCCTCGGTGTCCCCCATCGCGGAGCAGACAAGGCATACTGGGCAGCCTTGGCTGTGACGCTGGTCGAAGTGGCGACTTTCGGTCTCGCTGGCAACAAGAAATTTGTCAAGGCGCTGAAGCGCAACTCCTCCGAGTTTTCAAAGATATCAACAGCCTTCATCCAGCCAGGTTCCAAGTTGAAGATGATACGGTCGTTCTACGAGACGGTTCGAATGGGCAACGATGTCGTAAGTGGTTCATTGATCTTTGGGGCTCATTCGAGTTCAATTTCTGACAGAAGACCAGATTGTTGACAAGGACTCGGCCACAATTGGGACCAATAATGAGCTTTCCGTTGCAATACAAGGTGCGGACCACCGACACATGTGCAAGTTCGACTCGGACGAGAGTCAGAAGTACAGACCAGTGCGGAATGCTTTGACAGGTATGGTTACCAAGGCTACAGAGCCAGACTTATCTAGTATGTAATGTACAACACCGATCAGTCACGGAAACCTCGATAGGTTCCTGGGCAAGTCCTTTTTGACAATGTTGGGAGCTGATGTTGAGCACAGCTGTGAGAAAGCAGGCCGATGCATACATCCGTCGTCTGTCAGCGTACAGAACGCCTCGTTCTTTGGTAGAGACATGCGAAACCCAGTGGATTCTCAACATGACGACGGTCAAAGAATGGGAGAGAATGCCTGATTATGCAATCTTGCACGTGGAGTACGACGAGCCTTTGAACTGGCAGGCCTCCATTTCAACAGCACTTTCAAAGCAGCTTAAACCCTCAATTGTTTTGAATGTTTGTTTGAGGGATTTGAAGGCTTTGGAAGCTGAGCAATGGAACTTGTCCCTGCCGCGAACTCTGACTGCGCAACTATTTGCGGAATGCAGTGATTGCATGGAGTCGATGAATGAGCTGATCAACGACATCAGGCCGGACGAATTCTTTTATATGAAGAATCTAGGGGGTCAACTCGACTCATCCTGGGAGAACTCATACTGCTCTAAATCTCCTGGTGCGTCCTGGCAGCAGCAGTGGATCCTTCTTGGGTGTGCGTTGCGCCATATGCTCAATGGGCAATTGCTTATCACTATAACGGGATTGGAGACGGAGGACTATCAGTTCCTAGATGAGGGTTTGAGGTTTCTGTTCCCAGGCTTCTATTTGAAGCATCATGTGATCAGACACAGGCTTTTAATAGTTGGGAAACCCAGATCCGAGCCCCTTCAAAAGAGGTCCGACGTCGCTGGTAAGCACATCATTATGAATATCAGTTCTGAATTGGGAGGTATGTGGATTGAAAGCTATGATCAAAAGATTCTTTCCTGACGAATTTTTGACAGAATGTTTGTCAAGTCTTCATTTTCCAGAGCTTCAAAGTCGACGCAACAAAGTGAAGCAGGCAGAGACGGGGACGACCCAGTGGATTTGGAATCATCCAGCTTATAAAGACTGGCTCAGTCGCAATTCAAGCCTTCTCTGGGTTCACGGAAAGCCGGGGAGTGGAAAGTCGACTCTCGCGGCAACTCTCCGGTGTTCTCTGTCAACGCAATCACACAACATTTTGCTGGCCGATTTCTTCTACAGCGCTCGTGGTGGGACTACCGGAACAAGCCATGCGTATATGCTGCGGTCAATTCTTTACCAGCTTCTACAACAAGACTCGCGGCTTTACTCGGCGTACCAATCCAAGTTCCGCCAGGTTCGCGGTCGCGAGTCTTTCACGTGGAGATATGAGGACCTCGCAGACATTTTGTTGAATCTTCAAGGTCTGGGACACGTGTACGATAGCAAGGGAACAACATTTCTCTTCATTCTCGACGGGCTTGACGAGTCTGATGAGGCCTCAAAGAAAGAGTCACTTCGGGTGTTTCCCAAGTTATGCCATCTAGGTGGCAAGAACATTTTCAAGATCATCGCACTCAGCCGTCCCGAGCTCCCTATTAAGAGGGCTATCACACCAGATTATTCTATCGACATGAAGAATGAAAACTACAACGACATCGAGATGATTATTCAAAAGAAGATGGGCCCGATTTGGCGACGTGTTCAGGGCGTGGACGATTTGTCTAGCACCAAGTTTCACCAAACCACTATCAATGGAGAAGATGACAGACTTGACTTTGTTCGACAGCATCTTCTGAAGCACGCGGACGGAGTCATACTATGGGTAGCTCTAGTCCTGCAGAAACTTGACGACATATCCGAGTCCGCCTCGTGTACCGTAGCACACATCAACCAGGCCCTTACCAAGATGCCAACGAGTCTGAAAGGCTTCTATCACGAGATGTTCAAACGAGTCGAGGCAAAACCCACCGTCGAGCGACAAAGAGCCGAGTACATAATTTCATGGCTTCTTTTAGCTAGGACAACGCTCAGGGTTTGCGAGATGCGAGACGTAATGGCCATGTCTTATTGGAAAGAGTCGTCAACACCTACTGATGCGCAGCAATACCTCGATCTCAACCGCATTTTCTCATTTGGGGACGCATGGAACCAGACCAGATGGGCCCTACATGAGGAGTGCTGTGGATTCATGGAAATCGTGCCTAAGGATGGCATACCCATTAACAAGCTACTGAACGAACGACCCATCGACTCGCAAGACACAGTCCAGCTGATTCATCAGACTGCGCGGGAGTTCCTTTTAAGTACGGGCTCGTACTCGACCTCGCCCGAAACCTCCTTCGGTCTGGACAACATCTGCTCGACATGCGTCGATTACTTGTCTCTGGTGTTCGACAAGCCACTGACTCACGGCGAAGATGACTGCTCTCTGGAGAGCGTAGTTCTACATTTGGCGGACAGGCCCCTTCTTGGCTACATACTCAGCGTTTTTCCGGCTGTGTTCAACGAATATTGCGCCGGAGGGGGCCGGCTGGCTTCGTCTCTGCGCCAGAAGATCGCTGCATTTGCAGATAATGCCGAACAAAATCGATGGGTCTCAGTCACTTGGTGGCTCTTCAGGCCATGGATTCAAAAAGTCTTACCGCAGGCTTCGTACGAATATGAAGATAAATGCCCGAAGTCTCTCGAAAATGCGCTCCAAGCCAGACAAATGCAGAACCCACAATATCTCAAGCAGCTGGTTCTGTCTCACAATCGAGGTGAAGACTCGACAGCGGCGGTGCCACCCTCCAGACCGGGCTCGACAGAACAGGCTCGCCAGGGCCAGCAATTCCGTGTCCCCAAGATGAGGAGACCTGATCCGTACTCATCTCCTCCTCCTTATCATTTCTGGCTCCATTGCATTGAACAATATTGGCTTGGCGGGATTATTCATACATGCTTGCTTATATATGGGATGTACGCTGCCAGAAGACTGAGCTGCAGCATTGCTCTCGACGTGTTGGTTAAGGCGAGCTCAGACTCATCAGGTGAACCGAGCAAGATTATGAACGACTTGGCAAAGAAGCTTCGAGAAGGAGACATCAATATGACAGACAACGGTCCGTCATGTTGCATCCACCTTCTTCCCTATATGGCTCTACATGAAGTAACGGTAGCAAGTGACAGTCGTTTTCCTAGTAGAGACTGGATCGAGGATTTTGAAATATGGTCTCCCACGTGGACACTTCTTCAACAGACTGGGTTGCTGAGGCCTACGGATGGCTTGGACGCTGGCACGCATGTTCAGGGGCCATATTACAAGATCAACTCCATATATCCCCACCTAGAAATCCAGGAGGAGGATTAGACTGGGAAATGGGCAGCTGGGGCGCCAGCAATATGCTCAAGCGTCCAGTGTCAGTATACTACTACAGCCACTTCCAGTGAAGAGGAATAGACACAAAAGTTACGTAGATGTAACTCTCGAGCATAAGTATGCGCCATCGCTCATGTCCTGCTCACCGTTTCCGAAAACCGTCTGTTTATGCTCCTGTGGATACTTGAGATCGAACATGATCAAAAGACACAACTGGCGAGAATGACGTGAAGATGTTGCGGTATTTGAGCCCGCGTGGTACATTCATAGCATGATATTACACATCTGTACGTGAATACACTGGCAGTCATAAACCTTTGCCAACCCTCAGCATCCATCGCACAACGCCGACGACACCTGAACCGCCCCTAATTCGAACCTGTCCCACCTTCACCCCAACTTTTCTTTTCGAAGCCACCAGAGCGGATTCGGAGTATACAAGCAAGGAAAAATATGATGCCGCCGAGGCAAGTGATAAAAATAGTACACAGATCCATCCACCCCTTTTTCTTCTTACACGGGGGGCTAAATCCTCGAGCTAGGTCCCGACCAACGACCCTTCTCTTTCTGCCAATTCCATCGGTTCTTGTTCTCGAACCTCGTGAACTTGTTTCCGAGCGCGTCCGACACCGTCATGGTCTCGACCGGCATCAGCACGGCGTCTGACTGATACGGCAGGACGCTGCGCTCCTTCTTCTTCGTGACCCGCGGCTTCTTCTCCTCTTGGGACTTGAGCGCCGTCCTCCGCTCCTTGAGGACATTGCCCAGCTCCACTTCTGAGCTCACGATCTGCGCCTTAAGGAAGTGCGGGTCGCTAGATGTAGACTCCTCGAGAGTGTCCATGACAGGCGTACGGGGACTGTAAGCGATGCCGTCGAGCTTCGGCGCGTGTGAAGGGTCAGGCACGATAGAGGGGTCGAGACGGGCCTCGGCACCCTTGGCAAGGAGGGCGTTTATGTCAAGACTCTCGCCGGGCGCGATGGGCTCCTTGTGGCTTGGCGTGACGCAGTCCATATCGACTTCCTTGCGGAGGACGTGGTCAATGTCGATGGCGGAGAAGTAAGCGCACGCTTGCGGTAGGTCATTGATGCCGGCCTGCTGGGCGAACATGGCTCTTGTCCAGAGGTTCGCCACTTGGAGGGCCATGGCCGCGCGGTATTTGTCGTGATCCTTGACGAGGTACCGGATTTCGTCATGGACGGTGATGGCGAGTCGGGCTTCGATGTTGAAGCGTCGAGTGAGGTAGTCCATGGCGACGATGAGGAGGTGGAGGTAGTCGACGCCGGAAGACTGAATGGCCCAGTTGATGCGAGATGTCAGAAAGCCGTTTTGGTTGATGAATCGGCGCATCAAGGCCTCTGTAATACCTGCACCGAGAACGAACGTCCGCGGCCGTTCTTGTGCGGCGAACTCTTCGAGTTTGTTGAACACGAACGATTCCGTACCGCCACGCCAGAACGGCCGCTTGCTCAGGACCGATCTCGTGGTCTTGGTACCCTTCGTGCTGGCGTATAGCCTTGCTGCAGTCTCGTTCGTTTCTTTGTCAGACAAGTTCGGGTTGAATTGTCTCAGCAACTGGCCCGCGAACTTGATTCCGGCACCATAGATGCGGCCGTAGTTGAAGACCTTGGCATCGTTTCTCGTAATACCGAGAATGGCTGCTGTACGTGAGTGAAGGTCGGTACCGGCAGCCTTTGTGCCCTCGAGAGTCATGAAACCAATGGCATTGCCACCATGAAGCCTGAAGGTCGCGTCTCCCACCAGACTCGCAATCCAGAGCTCTTCTGAGTCAACGTCGGCTCCAACGAAGCTGTAGCCCGGTGGCGCCTTGACCATGGACTTAAGCTCTGATCCTACCCTGTTTTTCTTCGCATTGCTGGCCGTAAGCCATGTGTTCTCTACTGCTCTCCTTGTGATAGTCCCCATTGGAATGACCTGAGGTAGGATGTATCCCTGGACTTCTTCTGGGGCTTTGCTGGCTGTCGTCGCCGTCCTGGCGCCTTTGCTCTGTTTGACTCCGTTCGAGTCTACTTGGTCAGCAATGTCATCTTCGTAGACGACCATTTGCGACATTATGCGATCGCGCGCACTGATCCAATACGAGCATGAAGCGTTCATTTCCAGGGCTTGCTTCGCATACGGATACTGTGATGACAAAGTTCCGTTTTCGAAGTACGACATGTATCCCTTGGCCATAGGGTTGACGCATCTCGCCTGCGGGCCGTCCTTGTGTGGAAGCTTGAAGAAGACGCCCCCGTCTGTACGTAAGGATGCATCCTTCTCGGAGTCGGAAAAGTCGCATTTTACCATTTGCTTCTTCTCGTAATCTGCTGCCTCATGCCTTGTCACCCTGAAAGTCCAACCGTACTTTTCTGACCAGACCAGCGGGTGATTATCCCAAGACATCTTCAACAGCAATGGCGCGATTCGAGTCCGCACAGTAATATTGATTGGCGAGTCGTTCTTTACGAAGAGATCCTTGTACCACTGCGGCATGCCGGGTTTCTTCTGTCTCGCAGCTGGCCGAGGAGGATCATCCTTCTTCTTTCCTTTCACCATTTTTATTTCTTGGCCGGACCAGTCCAGTTGCTTCAGCCAAGGATCTTTGCTCCATTTTTCGGCGTTATCCTTGATTTCCAGGGCTTTCTCTGTCAGTCCCACCAGCCGTTCTTGCACTGCATCGGAAAGCTCGCGGTAGGTCGCTTCGGCATTGGCGATGTAAGCATCCCAGCTCTTGTTGACAGGCAAAATGACGGACGCCAGGTGTCTCAGTGCCGCAAAACTAACGGGATGAGGGCAGGTGTCCAGGAAATTCGGGAAGACAATTTGATATACTCGGTGGGTGATGGCGACATCGGCAGCGCAGTAGTCCAGGAGGTTGTCCAACTTTCCGAAGATCTCTTCCCGATCCAAAACTCCAAAGTCATCGCGAGCAGCCTTGTCGATAGTGACGTCAAGATGGAACTTAGCGACATCTCTGAGTGAATTGATCGAGCTTCGCTCAACCCATAACTCCGCCTCTTCCTGCCGCGCACTGTGGCTTAAGAGCTCCGCCAGCTGCACGTCGTCCGTCTGACTTGCGATCTTCTCCCGCATCTCGCGATTCTTCTTGTGTTTCATCCATGTCGGCCTCTGTTGCGAGCACATGCCGTTGACGGCGACGTGAAGCGACATAGTATCCAGAAATTGATTGCGAGTCTGCTTTGCGTCGTACTCCTCCAATATTCTTGCTCGGTCGTATCCAATGTTATGCCCTACAATTATACGCTCCTTCGTTGGGTCGCCCAACGGTATGAGATGTCGGTCGGATTCGGATTCGCCCAGAAGCCAAGGCGATAGCCAGGCATACCAAGCAGTCGGACTTGACGCACAAGCCATGACTGCGAAAGAGCTCTCCTTCCACATAACCTCGGTGTCGAAGCAGAGCATAGTCTCATCGGGCGCGTCTATCGCTTCCGTTCTACCGTCGGGATAGTACTTGGTCCAGCCGCTCTGGCGAACCCATTTTCTCGGTTTCGGTGGCGGTGTCGCCCTCGCGAAATGCTTAGCGAGGGACAGGTACGGCTCTGCACAGTCGACTGCCAGTTTGTGGAAGTGCTCGTCCATCGTCCTGCCTTGGAGTTCTGGTATGTCAAATGCGATAGGCTCGCTGTTATCGGTATTTTTGCCGAGGAGATCATGTCGGCGCAGGTGGTCTTTCGCAAGATCCACGAGCTCCTGCGGTGGTGGTGTGTTTCCATCGGGGAAGACCTGCTGGTATACGTGGGCGCTGAGGTGCTGGACGCCGATATCGTTGAAGCGTGACTGAGAAGAGACTGTGGTGGTCAGTATGTGCGCGACCAAACAGATGAATGCATCCCGTACTTGCTAAGGTCTGCTGCCGCTCCTGTGGATCTTTCACTGTAGTGGCGTCTGCGGCGACAGCAGACGACCACCGAACGTGTGAGCGCCATACCAAGCGTCGAAAAGCATGATGTTTCGCAAGGCGAACGAAGCTGGTGGTTGATTCCCTCAGGATATGGCTGCCGACTTGAACCATCGTGTTGAGCGATGGCGAAGCATAACAAGGGGGATTATGCAGTGTTAGTAGTCGCTTGACCAGGAAACATGGCCTCAACTGTCGTGACAGGCGTTGCACATATGGGGTGGGCGCAACGGGTGATGGCGATGGTGATGGCGACGGATAGACGTCGAAAAAAACCAGAGCAATCGTCACCACTCGATAGGCGTCGCGATAGGAGTGGAAGAGGGGCGCGTTAGCTCAGGTCTCCGTAACAGGGATCGCCAGCCAATCGGTGACGTTGGAATTCCTGACCCTACCACACCTTGCTCACCTCGCTGGTCTCCACAGTTTAAGGGTCCCAACTCTCAGCCCGCCTCCAGCTGTGAAATCGGTATACCTATCCCAGCATCTAAAAGGTTAGTGCAGTACTTTATAGGTTAGTAGTATAGGGAGCAACTAGGGGGTAATTTAAGGTCTCTAGTACTTTAAATATTATATATTTTAGGGTAAAATAAATATATTAATATAAATAAGTAGTTTTTATACTATTATTACTATTACTATAGTATTATCTCTCCTCTATATTAAATATATTTCTCTATTCTTTTTACTACTAAATAAGCTAACTTAAAGAGGTATTTATAAGGGATAATATCTTAAGCCTCCTAAATAGTAATATATAGTTATAGAAGCTTAAGAGACTTAACGTTATAATTAAGCTTAATATAGTACTTTATTTAGAACTAAATATTCTTAATAAATAATAAATCTAATAATCTAACTAACTATTTAATAACTTTAATATTATTTTAAAGTAGTTAGTTCTTAATAGCTTAAGCTTAATAAATAGGGGTATTATTTTATTAAAAGATAACTCTTAAGTAATTATAATAAAAGTCCTTAATAAGGAAAAAGATATACTTAATATACTTTATAAAGTTAATATTATTATACTCCTTTTCCTAAAAGAAATAGAGCTCTTTCTTAATACTATATATTATACCTTAAAATATCTAGCTATAAGGCTTTTATTATATAAAGGTAAATATCTTAAGGTCTTTAATATTATAGATTATAATTTATTACTTCTATATAAAGCTATTAATAGCTTAAGTCTTATTAAAAAAGGTAAATAATATATAAACTTAATCCTTAAGGTTAAGCTATTATTTAAAATAAGTATAATAGAATAAAACTTAAGCTTATTTATTTTATACTATATATTTAATTTTATATATCTACTTCTTTTAGTTATAGCTTATCTTCTTAAAGGTAATATAAATAATATACTTACTATATATCTTAAGCTTTAAGATAAATTAATAAAGGTTAGCTTATAGAACTATATAGTAATAATAGTCCTCTATATAGTAGTAGATCTTAATAAGTAACTTATTAAGTATAAACTACTATATAATACTAATTAATTTATAAAGTATTAAGTTAAGTATATAAGCTTTTTATACTTATTAAATAATAAAACTAGTCTTTTTAATAATAATAATATAGTTTATATTAATATTATATTAAAAAGTTTAATAATATAAATAGTTATTATATAAAAGCTCTTTTAAATATAGCTTTTTATTTTAATAGTATAAAGATAGTTATATATATATATTAATATATTAAGCTTATATTTAAAAGAATCTTTTAGTAGAAAGAGATATATAGATTAAAGTAGTATAGAGTAAGCCTTATTAATTATATTAGCTATTACTACTAACTTAAATAGTATAAATAGCACTACTCTTAAGTATAAGTAGTATATTATTAATAATATAGTTAATATCTATAATATAGTATTAAGATATTTATATTAATAAAAAAGATAAGCTAAATAGGCTTAAAATTAGTTAAGTTAGGTAAATAAGTATTTTTAGCTAAAATTTATAGTAAAAAGAGTAATAAGTAACCTTAAAGTTAAATAAATTAGTAGGGTAAAAAAGCCTAAATTATCCCCTAAACTTACTCTATTACCCCCCCTATCTTATATATATACTAACCTTTTAGATGCTAGGATAGGTATACGTATTGAAGTGGGCACGTCCTCCTTGCAGGAACCGATGGCTTGGGACACTTCTGTTTCGACGTGATAAGTGAGCGGACGGAGACTAGCCTCCAAGACGGAACAAGCTGCATCTGACTTCCAGGTTGACATGATTCTTTCAGTTTTCGCCTATCTATCCTTGAACACATTGAAATCCCTCAGGTTATTCATGACAACTCAACGAAGAATAAACTGAAGACAAGGACTACGATAGACCCGGAAGGAAGGTTTTGCGAACCTTGAAAGATGGAAAATCACAACTTCACAGGTATTTATGAGCTATAAATCTCCGCCGATAGTAACATTTTAACTCGGTTCTCGTTCTCCTTCCCAACATGCGTCTTGAAGAAACATTTTACGATCCGCACTAGTGTTAGCAATATCAACCCTGCCCCCTCACTCACGCCATGGCCCGATTACAAGATCTGCCCACGGAGTTGGTACACATTATCATACGGAACCTCGACAATCTCCGCGATGTGCGTGCTCTAGCTCAGGTCAGCGCTCAGATCCTATACAGCGTGAGGGACGAGAGCCGAGTTCTGAAGCAACGATTTCTTGGGGAACTCCAGCGAAAACTACAAGTCCACAATTTGCAGGTGGCGTTTACCGTCGTATCTTTGCGGTATCTTCGTCAGTACTCGGCAGAACTTTCCAACTTAAGAAGACGCGCTGAGAGTCTGCTATGGGCAAATCTGCGGCGGTGGGAAGACCTCGGACTGAGGACGATTGCCGATATGATCGATCTAGCCGATGAAGTCGAAGAATGCATCGAATTATGCGGCTCCAGATCTCTATCCCACACCGAATCTCTCATATGGACAAGCCTATTCAACTCCTGCTGCCCGCCAGACCCGACTAGGCAATTTGCCGAACCATGCAATGATAGAGAAAGGTGGAGAAGATCATTGCTGTACTATGAACTGGCATGTCAGACACTTTTCCGAGATGAGTTATCCAAGGACCAGGGAAACAGAGAGGAATATCGGATGTTCAGCTCAGGAGTCGACACCAACTATCACATGGACGCTTCGATGTTCGTAGCTGCCAAACACACCGAGCTTTGGGCTCGCAGTACAGGGGAGGTCGGGCTTCAGCTTAAAGCAGGCAGCCAACTTCCGATTATTAGGCTGATGCCCCACGAGATCTTGAATTTCAATGAGGAAAATGCTCCGGTGGCATGTGTCGGCGAGAAAAGCAGAAGGCTCCCGGTTCCACTCTTTATGGAATACAACGAGAGTTCGAGGTCGATCACTGTCTCTCAGGAAACCGCAGATGGACCAACAACTCTTTTCGAAGTGGTTCGATCCGCCGAGACGAGTATGATCGGATATGTACACAGGCAAACTTCTCAGGGAATCCGGTGTCTAGTCAAGCTTCTGCGCATGGGGAGGGAGGAAAGGCGGGCTCAAATCAGAGAAGTTTTTTTCGATGACACCTTTCGCGGAGAAGCGCACTCCGATATGTCCCCAGGACATCTTGTGGATTGTCATGGATCGCTACAGTGCACATTATCAGAGATGTTCCGTAGATACGGAAGGTTGCTGGCCCGTAAGAGGGACATCTGTGAGACGATTGACATCTTTCGCAGCAAGCGAACTGCGAAGGTAAATGGAGGCAAGTAGCCGGCGATACGGACGAGAATTTCTAGTATGTGGCTCCGGCTATTTCATACATATGGTACTAAATAAGGCTAGTAGTTTTAACTACCTTAGACGCATGGAAATGAATGAATGAAAAAGTCTTGATACCATAGGTATACGCCAGGGAAATCTGAGAGTAATCACCAGACTTCAGATTTTTAGCCTCTTTTCCTCATCGCACCATTGCATTGCGGTGCCGTCGTTCGCCACTGAAAAGTCGACGCACGATGCGATAAGCGTGGTTGTGCAGTGGCTGCAGGTGATTTCGCCAGTGGAGCCATCTCCGAATCAGCGGCTAAAACCCGAAACCACTGCACAACCCTGGACCTCCTGCCGTCATCTTCCCATTGCCTTCCTGGCCCAAATCCCCTCCACCTCATCTCAAGTCACGTAAATATGGCCAGGGATCCCGTTGTCGATACTCTTCGACCTCCCTTTCGTGGATACTTGCATGGGAAATAACCAACTCTCTTCTTTTGTATTCATGCCACTACCCGTCATTTGTTCCCCCTAGAGACCTTGTTCTCAACACTCAGTTTCCATTTCGACGCTCCCGAAACAGACGACAGCCCGCGATTCCTCCTACCTCCCATGCCGGGCCTCATTCCGTTCTTGCCCACGCCGCCGCTGCCGCAGTCGAATCGATCCGCCCCTTCAACCTTCAGAGCTCGACCGGTGAATAACCTCAGTGCAGACAGGGGTGCTGCGCGAGGCAGCAGTAGTCAGGCACCCATTGAGCTCGACAGTGATTCGGAGCCCACTGAAGCTTCAGGGACCCAAACCGCCACCAACACCACGTCGACAACTAGACTTTCGCAAACTCAAGGACAACCACAAAACTCCGAGCCCTTCTTCAGAGACTGGACCAGCTTGGCCGTCGACTCTACACAACAACGCCTTCCGGCTCTGCCTTCTTTTTCAGATTTCACCGCCGACCTGGATTTCGACTACCTCAACGCGGTTTTCGGCGCCAACCCCCCGCATACACCCGCGCGCGAGCCAGACAGCGACGACTTCCTTTCTCAGCTGATCGACGGCGATTTCTCCTCGCCATCCTCCTACCCGCAGTCGGCCCAGCCACCTTCGGTCAACAGACAAACGAGCAGCTCGAGGTCACAGAATTCCCTGTCGTCGCTTCGACCGAACAGACCTGCCCCAACCTTACCAAACAACGCAACGCCCACCACGGCAGCCCCCAGACGAGGAACGCCGCACCCGAGCTTCGAGGTCGAAGAATCGCTTTTCGTGAGCTCAGATAACGAACCCGAAGACTACATCATGCCTGTCCAGACGCGCCGCAGGGCGTCCACCACCATCATCAGTAGTTCTGATCAAGAAGCGGACGATACCCCGCCCACAAGCGCCAACCGCAAGAGGGCCGCGCCTTCCTCGGGAGCAGCTAGAGGGACTCCTGCCGCCAACAAGCGACGCAGGACATCACAGGCTTCGACCACGCGTACCAGAACAACACCAGGCGCCCTCCCAACGCCGGCGCCAAAGGTGGAAGACGACGACGACGTCTTCGGAGACAAACAGGACTCGAAGGGCAAGGAGAAAGAAGCAAAAGATGATGATATCATCGACCTCGCGGCCTCTAATGAGGTGCCGCCAGAGATGCTGATCCCGAAGGAGGACAAGAGGGTCAAGTTGTCGGCATTCCAATGTGTTATTTGCATGGACGACGTCACTGCCTTGACAGTCACGCATTGCGGTATGTGGTGGATTGCTGCTGTGATTGGGGTTATCTAATATGTTTTCCAGGCCACCTGTTTTGTTCCGAGTGTTTGCACTCTGCGCTGAACGTCGATGCTACGAAGAATAAGTGTCCGATATGCAGACAAAAGGTCGAGACGAAGGACCGCAACGAATACAACTCAAGAACCAGAGGTTTCTGGCCACTGGAATTGAAGCTCATGACGGCAAGCCGGAAGGGAAAGCAACGGGCATGAAAAGCGCCGTTGTACGAAGAAACGCATGTGCTGGGAACGAAACTCCGCAAGTGTTGGGCCATCACCCTGGGAGCAAGATTCTCATGGTAGAGGCTACTGAGGAACAGGCCACGCGAGGCAGAAGCCGGCCTTGATCTACTCAACCAAGAGGGTAGAAAACTTTTTCTTTATCAGCATTACACGAAGCCATGAAAAAGGGAAGACGGGTATGGGACGGATTTTAAGCATTTCTAGTGCGTTGGTGGCGGGCAGACGGAACTTACTTTTTGTTATTTTCTTCTTGTGATACCCGTTCGGCTAGCCTTGTGCACCAGGGAAAGGAGGTTCAGACTTGGCCGAACCGAAGGCCTCGAGATCTGCGCCTTAATTAGTCAGTATAGATGGAATAGGGATATGGACATGCTTCCTCCGCATTGCTTGTGCGTTGTGCCAGATGAAAAGGTAATGATGGCATCGAGATCACTAGAACAGACAGCTCCTACACCACAAATTACCTGTTTGGAGAAGCTGAACCGGCTAAAACCTATGCACAAATCCCAAACAACATGCGGGTACTTAAATTTCTTGCGGGAAAGAAAGCTTCTTTGTTTCCCCCCTGAGAATACAGGAATCCTCATTCTGTATCCACCTCTAACGCCTGTTTTTCTATGCACGAACGAAACGAACTCTCTACGCTGACGAGTGTGAGGGTGTTGTTTTTGCTTATATCTCTTCTGTCCTATCCCCACCTTGATATACATTACCGCACCTTTTCCCCTCGTCCTTCCTTCTCGTACACAGGGGTAGTAATACCTTACGTGAACAGCGTGGGGCCTTGTCTTTTCGGCTCCGGCATCACTTCATTCTCAAACTATTCGAATTGTGTGTCAGCAGGTTTAACTTTCATGTTGTTGCTTGCGTGAAGCTTGCTTACCTCCAAGAAACCAGTCGCGGCAATCAGGACCATGAAGCCCTCGGCCAGCTCGTCGATCATCTCCTCCAGCACGCCCTCGCCCTCCACGGCGCCGATGCCCGCGCTGCGTTTGAGCGTATGGGTCACGAGCATGCGGTGCTCCGTCAGGAACCTGCGGCCCTGGAGGATGTTGCTGTCGCCCCTGCTGACGATGGCCGCGCTCACCACCCGGGTAACCTTGGAAAGCAGCTCGTAGTGCTTCTCGAGCGCCTTGGGGTTGGACGGGTCGATCTGGAGCTCGGGGTCTGCGGCGAAGAGCCCGGAGGCCTCGACGGAGCGGAGCAGGTTGGCGTGGAGGATGTACTTGGCGCCCGGCTTGGTCTGGGCGAGCTGAAGCAGCAGTGCGAACTTCGCTGCGATGTAGGTCTCCTGCGCAGAGTTGCCGGTGCGGACGATGTCGGACCAGTCTTGCAGGATGGTGCGGAGAGAATCGACGAGAATGCCGATGAAGTTGAGGCGGTTGAGGGTCTCGACGATGTGGGAGTCGTCTTCCTGACGGCCGAGGTTGACAAGGGCGTTGAGGAGGATGAAGGCTGCGGTTTGGCATGCAGCGTCGCTACCGTAAGCGTCATCGCAGATGACGTTGATGAGCCTTTCACCATAGATCTGAATCGTCTTGATCGTCTTCTTCCGTCCGGCGACGAGCAGACCTTGGTCGACCATGCCGGTGAGATAGCGGTAGCAGATGCTGTAGTAGACTGCACGAAGGTCCGAGGAACCGGCCCATTTGCCGATGGCTTGCAGGCAGATCTGGAAAAGCTGGTACAACTTGTCGCTGACGAGGCTGCCGATAGCTTGGCTCTCGCGGTCAAGCGAAGGCCTCGATGTCAGATCAAGCTTGAAAAGGAGGACCTTTGCTAGCTTTGCAAGCTCCATCGCTTCTTCTGGTCGCTCGGACGCCGAGGCTTCCAGACCGGGAAGGATGGCCTGGAGTGCTTGCAGGTAGAAAGAGGCTTCTGTAGTGCCCTTGAACTCGTTCGACTCGACCATTACCAAAAGTAGGCTCGTCCACGTCTTGAGGACGCCCAGGCTTTGTGATGCTATCCTCTTTTGTCTGTTGGTGAAAATGAGGTAATCGACGATTGCCGCTTCCTCTCTTTCCAAGGTGGTGAAGTCCGCTGCCGTCAGCACAACGCCGTCATCTCTCCTTTCGCTGCGCTTCAGCAACAGGATCTCTCTAGCGCGGTCGATATTGTAAATGGCGTTCCCGTGGTCATCCTCCTCCAAGCATATCCTCAGGTCAAGCTCCTTATAGAACTGAAGTGGCGGAAGAGACATGTCCCAGATGCCGTCCGGAAGCAAAAAGTCGTAAAGATCGAAGACAGTGGGGATCGTCATCGGCTCGTTGTTGTCGCCAACGATTTGACCATTGAGGGCTTCGAAAATCCGTCTCTTTAGGGAGGGCATTCGGCTTTGGGAAACGCTGCAGAGCTCCATGGCAATGTACTCCAAGCTCATGCTACGCAACGCGAGGAAGTCAATAAGGGTAGGTGCGCCATCAGTCAGGGGGAATTGGGGCAGGTTGATGTCTTGTCCTTCCCAGGGTAGTGCTGGCTGAATAATGACTTCGCGCAGTAAGAAGTGAAACAAAACATCGTTATCCCTCAACTCGTCAATGATAAGAGGAGCTGACAAAGGCGAAGTCCATAATACCCGCAGGATGCGCATGCACTTGCTCTTCAAAGAAATCAACCACTGTCTCATACCCTGCGGGTCGCCGAAAGGAGTTTCCAAGAGAAGTCTTAGCATGGCGTGGAACAGAGAGTTCCTGGATCCAAACGAGCCATTCGAGTCCACTGTTAGCGTATCGACGCCGCACTGGAAGCCCAAAAGTAAGTGTGCAATCGTGGGCTTGTTGGGACTTGCTGCTAGGCAGCTGGAGAGAAAGTCGAGGATGTAGGATTTGGTAAGGTAGTTGGGTGATTCGGCTTCACGGCCAAGATCCAACGGCGTTGTCAACTCTGCCGCCAAGGATCGTGAGATAGCTTCATGCTCCCCATTCGCTTCCATTGCCACAATTGCCTTGTTGCGATGATTCTTGCGACTGGGACTAGACGACCATGCAGACGTCATCTTGAAGGACGCAGTCATCTTCTCCAGCAGCTTCAAGCAAGCCAGAGTCAGATCGGGATGACCCAAGCCGCAGTAGCTTCCGAGGTCAACCACAAGGCCTAGATGGCCGACCAGTCCATCTTCAAAGGAAGCGTATGCAGCGTTCGCAACAGGTGGCCGTCGATGGTTGGACTGCATCTTGATAATAGGCCGCACCAGGTCAAGGAAAGTTGCCTGAAGATCCAAAACTTTCGAGATAACATCCACAGCTCTGAGAATGCCCAGGATGACCGGTGAGTCGGGCGTGGCGTTGCCAACATCTACAGCATCCTGGTGGATGCTTTGGTAGAGGGCATTGATGACCTTGTCATTGAACATCCACTCCATGACGCGAGCAAACGGGTGCAACTTGACATATGTTGCAAGGTCAGTTGCAGCCATCGCCGAGTCAATTGGGATATTTGTCTCGTTGGCAATCACGATAAGGTTCTCGTTGAATGTTGAAAGGCAAGTGGCGGCAAACTCGAGACAGCTCAGACGGAGCATTCTCAACTGGTTGATGTCGTTCACCTCATTCGCTTTGTTTGCAAAGACTTTGCCCAGCACGGTGTCGACGTAGATTTCAATGCCGGGCATGCGGTTTGCCGAGCCGAGGTTTTCAGGGAAAGGCAAGCCATCGTTCAGAGGACTGCTATCTTCCGGGGGCGTGACGAGTGAAATTAAAAGTTGGATGAAGGCGTGCGGTTCTTCAAACCCGTGGCAGATGTCGTCGCTAACGGTCTCCATTGACACCACTGGTGAGCTCTGGGGTGACCGGTGTTGAGCAGGTGTAACGATGTAGGCGCCGTTCATCCAAGCCTCCAGACATTGCCACATAATATTGGCTTCCTCGTGAGTCTTACGAGTGATCAATGCGCGTAGGGCCATGAAAGTACCTGCCCGCAGATCAGCGGGAACAGGACTACTGGCCAGCTGGAAGAGCATCTCAACAAGGTTGAAACTTGGCTCCTTCAGTAAAAACTGTCGAGCAGTCTCACTCTCTGAAGCAAGTTTGGTAATCAGTCTCAAGTAAGACTGCAACATCATGGTCGATTCCGGTTCGGCTTCGGCCTGGTCGCTACTCGGTCGACCTGGTCTGTACGTTGATGAAGCCTGGGGCGTTTGCGTCTTTTCCCTAATCTTGTTCGAGAAGAAGACCAACTCTCTGAAAATTTGTTGCCAGGTAAGAGACTGAGACCTTCTCATCTTACCAGACGCATGGTGACCCTCGTCGAGCAAGAACTCGTGAGCGGCCGTGGCGCAGTCGTCGTTGCCGGAAATGGCCTGCAACATCTCGCAGAAGGAACTGACTAGGGGCGTAGATGCTCTTCGCGACGCCCAATGCATAAAGCCCGCCAGGTTACTGTCGGGATCTGACCAGAAGCTCATCGCAGCATTAGGACGGCCCTCATAAGCGTAAGCAATGATAACCAGAAAGCGCTCCAAGTCAAGGTCTTGTTCGTGACTTTGACTTAGCTGACGCTGTTCATCCTCCTCCACGCGAAGCTTTCGCAAAACGTCGGGAAGATTGGAGATGAATGCATCAACGAAAACCTCCAACTGAGCCGTCAAAGATTGCTGAAAAAACTCGGAGAACTGAATCGACTCAGAAACCAGTGGCGGCGCCTTGCGCTGAAGCCAGTTGCGCATCGTTATCCTTGACGGGTCGACCCATTCAGGAGTTTTGATGTCAGCAGCAATCGAGAGAATGAAGTCAAAAGCACCATCTTTGAGTGCTTCCAAGAATTGTTTCGATCTCTGGCGGTCCTCTGTCCAGGCATCAGCATAACACGATATCAATTGACGGGAATATCTTACCTTGATCCAAATCGACGCCCTCCAAACCACCGAGAAGCGAGTCGTCGAGGTACCACCCGCTGTACTCGGCCAACCACCAAGCTTTGACTGCCGCCTGGAGATATACCAAGCGCCAAGGGCTCTCATCTGTGATGAAGGGATGAAGGTCTCGCGCCATGGTGAGGTTTGCTGCGCCTTCAGTCGAGCCGTATAGTGTGATGTATGCACCCAACGCAGGGAACAGATGTGCTTCAGCTACGTCAGCGACTGAGCAGAGCTGATAGAGGCCATGTTGTACTTACCCAGCAGAACGTCGTACTTGTCAGCATTTTTGAGGTTCTGCACGAACGACTTGAAGTCGCCCACTTCGGCTTCCCTTTTCTCGATCGCCCGACAAAGTATAATGGCCAGCAGTTCGTGTTGCTGGTACAAGCTGACGCGAGAGAACTCGATGGTCTCCATCTCCTCAGGAACCTGGCCTCCCTGCCCATTGATCAACACAGCCGCGGCAGTCATCTTATCGGCAATCTTTTGAAGCCAACCCCTGACATCTTGCATGGCCGACATGCATCTCGGCAGCAGCCTCTTCTGTGATGACGCAGTTTCGCCAGGCAAGTTTTGGAAGACGGCGGCAGACAGGTACATCTGAACACCGTTGAGAATCTCGGCGTCGAAATCGTCCTCATCCAAGCCATCGATTTCCAACATTAAGCGAACGCAGTCGAGAACGTATTTGCGCTGCTGGTGGACTCGTATTAGACCGCATTCGAGCAGCGAGCGGCCAATGACGGCGGGGTCTTCTTCGGCTTCAAGAACATATCGCGCCGCCTCGATTTCGTTGATCTCGGCCTCATCGGCGAGGTTAAATACAATCTGCTGGAAATTTTCGTTGATGGAGTATTCTTCCTCGTCGATCACGAGCTTGCCTGGCGCATCAAGCTCGTTAGTGTCCAAGTCGACTCGGAAAGCTCAAAGGCCGCGACTCACCAGACTTGACTTGGTTCCTGCTTTTCTCGTCCCTTGGCGGTCTTTGCCATACTCTTTCCAGCTCTCTCTCGAAAATGGCCTGGACGACCGGGTTGTCCAAGGAGTCGGCACCTTCAGGACGACCGTCGCGGACTGCAGCTAGGTCGCGGTGGAAAGCCTGCAGCGCATCGAGAGTTGTTAATTCGGCCATGTTGAGGAATTGGGCGCGCTATTGCATGGCCTCGAGGCCGGATCGTCTCATGGGCTTGACAGAGGCCCGCGAAATTGTCGCGATGGCGAGGTGCGACGAAATTTGGGGAGATCGTTGGGTCGTGAATGTCTGTCCGGGTGACGACTTTCGAGATTCTTGGGAATTTTAGAGTGGACCTCAGCTGTAGGTACGGACAGGTAGGTACCTACCTGACCTGACCAGGCTCCTGTACTGCCTCAGTGCTAAATGGCGAAAGCGCGTCCAATGGATGGCGCGCTGGAGGTTGCTCTGCCAAGTAAAAACCCACCCGGTGCGAAGATATTCCGGGTTAAAGTCAACAAAGCGATCCACTTATGGTAGGTGGTGCGGTTTTCTGCCGCTAAATCGACAGGGATCAGGCAACTATCGGAGAGCTTCAGGGAGCTAAAGGTACCTGAAGGAGCGCGAGAAGCTTGATGAGCTACCTGCACGGCGCGTCTGACGTTGCGATCAGGCAACGTAGTTTTCCAAGGCGGAAGGAAGTCTTCATGTAAACAGCGACGGGAGGCGCTTAGCTACCTTCCAAGTACCTATTTCCTTCCTGCCTTGCGCGTTTGACGTCCATGGATTATTTGTTCCCGAATAACACGACAGTGACACCAAACAGCATGCCCATAGAGCAACAACGCCGAGATACCTAAAAGCCCGTGCAAGATGGCGCCCCCGAAGATCAAGACGGGGGAGGTCACTGTCAACGACGCCCTAGGTCAGTTTGGCGTGCTGCGCGTTTTTTTTTTACTGCTGTAGACTGACATGACATGTTCAGATGCCATCTCGGGAGGTACGCTCAAAGAGCGTGGATCGGGCCTAGATGGTGAGTACTTTATGCCCGATGACTTTGACCTAAAACTAATACTCATCAGACCTGATCTTTCTGCTGGATAAAAGGGGCAAAACCACAAGCTTGTAAGTTGAGAGACCGAATACGTAGGAGACCAAGGACGACAGAGCCCAAGGACAGCAGAGACCATCGACAGAGACCATCGACAGAGACCAAGGACAGCTGAGACCAGGAACTACGGAGACCAGGGACGACAACAGATGCGACAGAAACCAAGGACAGCAGAGACCAGAGACAGAGACCGTGGACGACAGAGACAGAGATCACGACCGACGGAGACCAGGAACGATCGAGAACAGAGACGATGGAGACCAAGGACGACGGCGACCGCGGACGAGAGAGACTTTGACGACGGAGACCAGGGACGACAAGAGGGCCGATAGAGACCCAGAACGTCAATCGGGACAACGGACGACAGAAGCCAGGGACCACAGAGACCAGGAATGACGGAGACCAGAGACGACAACAGGGACGACAACAGGGACGACGGACGCCGAGGATTATGGGAGACCAGGAGCGACAATAGAGAAGATGCAGACAAGTACCAAGCTGACCTGGACACAGATCCTCCCTAGGAGACAAACACTACCACCGCATATTCGATTCCTTGTTCCGTTGCGCTCTTACCGAAAAGCAAAGCTACCTTGGCGGCAAAAGGACTACTGCCGCCGCCGCCGGCTCTCGACTCTCCAAGTGCGCAGAGGCACTTCGACTGGCCGCGAACCATGGGGCCTCGAAGCTGAAGCGAAAGACCATCTTGGCCGTCATCGATCACATCACCCAAACTCTGCCTGGCCCCGACGAGTACCTGGAGCCACTCCTGAAGGACTACGTCAAGTCTCTCATTGCGCTTCTTAGCCATCAGTCAAATGGGGAGCACCTCGCCACTCTCGGTGCAGAGGGATGGCTAGCATGCGTCGACTTTTGTACCGAGGCCATTTCGCGCTACCTGGAGAATGCCGACCGCGACTCCGGATCACGTTCGTCTCCGGCTCCAATGACGGCGTCTATGGGCTTTTCAACGGGCCGTAGTACCAACCCAAGTCAACGGGTTCCAGGCCAAATCCACCGTGGCACTGTCCAAGATCTTTTGCACTGCCTTTACCTTCTCGTTCTCCCTCCCAACGCGCCTCTCGGAGAAAGATCGAGGGATCTGTCCAAGACTTTCATCCAGGTACTTCAAATCCGCCATCTTGGGCTTGGTCAAATCACACAGCTAGCGTTTGCCTCCGTTAACGTCTTATTGGCTGGGATCCAAGCGGACGATCTCTCTCGGGCCGGTACCTTGGCTAGAGATCTTGTGCCTTTAATCGGTCATTGGTGGCAGGCCCGATCAGTTTCTCAAGACGAGATGCTGAATTCAGTCAGAGACGAGATGCTGAAAACCATGTTTCTCATTCATCTACACCTTGAACGACTCATATGCCAAGGAAGCAACGACCACATCCGAAGGGAAGTTGAAGATCTCGCCGAAGTGCTTTGGCTTGAGTACTCCCGAAGAGATTTTCGGTCTCAGCTTCAGATGGATGACCTAACGTTCGTCTCGCACCGGCTGCCCCACGACTACTTTTCACTCCATGTCTTCGGCCTGCGCCCTCACAATCGCGACGGCGAGAGGAGATGGGCCTTGGTTCAAAACCTAGCTATCCTGGAGAGGATTTTGTTGGTGAGCCAAAAGCAGCAGCAGCAACGCTCGCAGTCGCCGACGGAAGAGCAGCCCCGGAAGAAGCGCAAGACTCGGTGTACAAATCGTCTACAAGAGAAGATGCAATCGCCCAGCGGCGTGGTTCAAAGGACGTCGATGCAGTTGGTTCCATTTCTAGTTGACTTGGGAGTCTTCACAGAAAACGATATCGGCGAGCTTCTGCCAGATCTGGCAGCTTTCGTCACTGACAAAGACGCGACAACTGCGTCTTGGGCCATGCTCGCATGCGCAAGGTTCGTTCCCATCTCCTCCGTCCTGCTCTATCCCTTCCTCATTATTATCGTGTTTTTCTGCCTTGCCCCGTTGTATCTTTCCCTATTACCGCCCCTGTTCTTGCCTTTGCCGTCCATCATCATCATCTAGCCCTATCATGCAGCGTTACTGTCCAGCGTTGTCGTGAACCACCGCTGCCTAGCATCGTTTGCGAGAACTGTCATGTTGCACCATCATTAGCACTTTTATTGTATTGTTATGTACCGTTATTCTCAATCGGCTTCACCTTTCCTGTTGCGCTGTCGTCTTACACGATCGCTATCAAATTCCAAATTTGCTCGATTTAGCTAATGCCTCATAGTTGCGCCACAGCGGAGGCTGAACATGGTTCTTGGAGGCATATATGGCAGTTTGCTGCGCGCGCGGTCAGCCTCCCTGGAACAGGTCGAGCAGCTTGTGTCTTGTTGCATGCAGTACTGGAGGCTGGCCTCCTCCCTTATCACGACGTTTCAGATGAGGTGGGAAGCATAGTCACCACGGCCGATGTCAACGGTCCTGCCCTATTAGTGGATTCTTCCATTGTCCTGATGCTACATCTGCTCTTCCTGCGGAATGTCAAGCTACCAAATGCCAGCCAAGCCACATGTCATCACATCATTCGGTGGGTTTTTCTGAGATGGCATCCAGGTAAGTGTCGTCATTTCTGCTCCTCGTTTCTGTTTGTCGTTTCTGTTCGTCCTTTCTACTTACTGGGCTTACATTCTCGACTTATATTGGACGAGACTTGTTCACCGGATTGCTAACGATTTGCAGCCGAGTCAAGCTTTGCGTCGCTCAACTCCGTTCATTTGGCATTGCCAGAGTTGATCAATTTGATTCGCGCTTGCTGCGGTGCTGCTCTTTTGGTCTTCCCCTCGCACGAGGCTGTATCAGGAGGTCCAATATGCCAAACTTGGAAAGCTCAGTACCACGCATCAGCCTTGATGAGATTTCTTCTATTATTGGAGGAGCCGAAATCGAGAAAATTGAGCGTCTCCAGCTGCATCCAAGCGTCCGCGTCGACAGAGCTGATCAAGGCCAGCGACTCATCGACCTTTCATGCCTCGAAAAAGCTAGTCCTGGAATTGCTCTTCCCAAAGATCGAGGGACTGCAAGTTCTATGTGATTTCTGGACCAAGAAGGGATCAGAAGGTGGCACACAAATCTCATCAGACAAGCTTCACAGTCTTTTCTCGGCTGTTATTGTTGGCACAACACTTGTTCCTCAACTGACCGACCTTAACTCGGATCAGTCCCGCGATATCGAGTCCACTATCTCCAAGCTCTCGGATTCAGCCCTCAGCGCTGCTTTGGAAGCAGATGACAATCAAACTTTCTTCGAGATTTTGTTCCAGATCATACGCCCCGTTCTTCCGAGCTTCGAGATGACAGGTATCGACACTCTGCTGAAAGACAGTACCGCATTGTTTCGATTAGCGGCAAAATTAGCTGAGACATACCATGAGCGGGCAAGCCGACAATCCTCTGGACAAAATTCAGATCTCATGGACCTGGATGATGAATTTGACTCCCAGGAGAGCAAAGCGAGCGCTGCGGTTAAATCGGCAGATTTACCTCGGCTGAGCGTGTCCATCAGCTTGGATTCAACAGCTTTTCATCACGCTACTGCACAACGGTTGTACTTTCTGGAGTCAATGCGCAAAGACAGTGGAAACAAAGGCCGGATTCCTCAAGACTTCCTGGACCAATTCCTCAGCTTGCCTCACGACGAGTTTCTGATGTGCGGTTTGTTCTCATCAGAACTATTTGCGTCGAACCTTGCCATTGGCCCGGATGATGCATTGCAGGTTATCGAGAAGCTCGGCGCAATCATTGGAGAAGCTGAGTACACATGCTGCGAAGTAGCTCATTCCACTGTGTTGAGCATCTTGGAAGGCTTGATCCATATCTGGTCAGATGAAAAGCACGAAATATCAACACTGGTTGGCGACATTTACAACTACTTTGTTCGAGCGTCTCTGCCGAAAAACAGCCTCTCTCCGAAGTCACAGATGTCCTTGGCAAGCTTACTTCTGTCTCTCCTGCGACACAACCCTCAGTATGGTAGCAATCTCGGAATTAGTTCTTGCCGAACGACCTTGCTGTCTATTCTCCAGGAAGGAACGCTGGGCGTCAAACATTTTATCGGATCAGCCTTACCGGAAATCTTCGGCTTTTATGTCCTCAAGACGCATGAGGAAATGTTCCTGGACGTTTTGAACAGTCTACCAACCGACCCGGAGTTCATAGAAGGGATCGCATTCCGGCTTTTTGTTTTATCTCAACTCGCTTGTCGCTGGCCAACGCTTCTGCGGCGATGCATCTATCACATCTTTGAGACGCCTGGCAAGATCGCGCAGTCTACCAAGTATGCCAAAACCTGTCTGCAGAAAGTGTCAGAAGCCCTTCACTTGACATCTCCACAGGAGCTTTTCGACATTTTCCAGCCTCAACTTCTGTACACCTGGCTCGAAGTCGAGGCCGTCGAGAACATACCTTTCGATATCTTTGGCTTTGCCAGCCTCGATGCTTTGGTCCGAGAAGGGCAAGCCGAGATCATTGCCTTGGAGATCATGCGGGGACGTTACGACAGCGTACGAAACTTGTCCCAAAGGCTCGGCACGCCTCTTCCTGACTTGGTCAAGCAATGTTTCACGAGAATCATGGCGTACACAATTGCTCATGAATCAAGCACATCCGCCTCCGAGAGCGATGGCGGTGAAGCGTGGGTACGGAAGCTGCTAGGTCGTGAATCGTTTCTGGACCACATATATCTCAATTTTGCAGACGTCGTGGGGTTACTGATTGACACTTTCGACCAAGAAGACCCAATCGAGAAATATTTGGCCAGAGACCAAAATTTCGACTACGCCGCCACAAACATTGACCAGATGAAGAATTTCTCCCAGTCAACAACGCCATTGCCGCCGAATCAACAACCCATGTTCAGGGCCAAGTTTTTGCTCAAGGAACTTTTCCATCTGTGCAGCAAGACGGAATATGAATTACATGACTTGTGGACACCGGCGCTGGTGGTTGCGGTGGCAAGGAAGCTTTTGAACACAGTTCACCCAGCTTTGGGCTCTCTTCACGCTTGCTCGGTGTTGAGAAAGCTTCGCGTTGTCATAGCCTTGGCAGGCTCAACCGCGATTGAAGCATATCCTCTCGAAATGCTGCTTTCTTCGATAAGACCGTTCCTCGTGGATTCCGAGTGCGCAGACGATGCGCTTGGCGTTAGCCGTTACTTGATCACAAACGGAACCAGCCGTCTGCTGCAGGCGCCTTCGTTTCTTGCTGGTTACGCCTTGTCCACATTGGCTTCACTTCGAGTTTTCCTCGAGTCCAGCCAGTCAAGCACGACACAAGAGAGCCAGTTCAAAGCAACGAAGACCAAAGCTCAACAGTTTCATTCTTGGTTCAGTCAATATCTTGCAGGATACGAGTCATCCGCTTTCGAAGATGAGTGCCAGAACAAGGCATTCCGATCGATCACGCAATCCGCATCAAATATCAGATCTTCTGGCAATGCTGAGAAGGGAACCCATGAAAGCACTCTGCTGTTGGAAATCCTCAAAGATGGGGAGCGCGAGAAACAGCTTTTGAACGAAGCAGCTCGGGACTTGGCTCTAGGCATGCTTTGTGGAGATTTCGTCATCCCTTCGTCAAGCGGCCAAGATGTCATTGAAAATGACATTGAAGCCATTCGTCACACCGGACTTGTTTGGAAGAGCTGCAACGCGCTTTCTTTGAGCGACGAATATCTCGCTTGGGCAGGCCGTGTTGTGGGCAGATCATTCGCTGCGTCGGGGGAAATCCAACCAGAATTGTTGAGGGAATCCGAAGTCTCGCTGTACGACAAGCTTGCTTCTGGATCTAACAACTCCGAAAAAGGCTTGCTGAGTTTGCTTCAAAAACTTACCCAGAGCAAAGACTCGGCCGTTGCTGGCCTTGCAGAGTCTGCCCTCAGAGCAATTGTTTCAGAAGCAGCTTCCCAAGAGGACAACGCCCTACTTGTGGCAGCCGAAAAGACACTGACCGAATCCCTTTGTAAGGCGTCAGCTTGGAGGGATTACCGGATACCGCCGTCCGACTATATTCCCTCGCAAATCATTCCTGACTCCCAAGTGTTCTTCCGCGAACATGTTGAAAGCCCGGAGTGGATTCAAGACCTTGCGGTTCATCTTGCGCACTCCGTCCCAGAGTACATCATACTGGGCGCACTGGTACGAATCCTCGAGGAGGTCAAGGGTTTTGCCCAAGATGCATTTCCGTTCATCGTTCACTTGGCGTTATACAGCCAGGTTGACAAGCAACATACCATCAAGCGTAACTTGTCCGAGGCCGCCAAGGAATGGCTAAAAGTTCAAGATGACTCGGCGCGCACGAACCAGAAGCAGCTCATCAACACCATTCTGTATTTGCGCACGCAGAAGTTACCCAAAGAGGCATCCATTGCAGATCGCGCCATGTGGCTCGATGTCGACTTCACCTTAGCTGCTTCAGCCGCATCACGCTGTGGCATGTACAAGACTGCTCTGCTCTTCACTGAAATAGCCGCATCCCAAATTTCCAGATCATCTCGGCGGTCATCAGCTGTTCGAGACGAAGAATCATCCGACGTGCTCTTATCTATTTTCGAGAACATCGATGACCCGGATGCCTACTATGGCCTTCCCCAACCCTCGGACCTGTCCAGTGTTCTTTCTCGTCTTGAATACGAGAAGGATGGATCGAAGCTTTTGGCCTTCCGCGGAGCCCAGTACGATGACCACATCCAAAACGGGGATCCCGGATCGCGATCCGATAGCCAGTCACTTGTGCGGGCACTCGGAACGCTGGGACTCGCAGGTCTATCCTATTCCATACAGCAAACCCAGCAGAGCCATAATGACGACGAAGATACTCTCGCAAATACATTTCAAACCGCCCGCCGTCTGGAACGATGGAACTTGCCGGCGCCCACGTCGGCCGACAATCACGCTGTGACAATCTACAAGGCCTATCAGAACATCCAACAGGCAGCAGATCCACTTGCCGTGCGAAGTGCGATCTATGACGGCTTCAGCCAAACTATGCGCAACCTTGTCACTAACCGCGGGTTGAATGCAGCGAAGTTGAGGAAACAGCTTGGAGCTCTTGCGGTTCTCACAGAGCTAGATGACGCTGTGAATCTTGCTGATTTCTCCGAACTCGAGGGCTTGCTTGCGAAGTTTGAGCAACGTTGTCAATGGATGAGACGTGGACGGTACGTGAATTGACGTTTACCCCTCTTCTTGACCCCTTCCTCACTTTGCTCCGTTACCCTCACGCCTACCACCACTCTCGTTGTCATGTTTCATCATCATTCTCTCTTTTTCACAGTATTCAGCCTCATCGAACACGAATGTATTCCTCCCCTCCGTCTCTGTACCCCGTTCCCTGCCTACAACTCAACACTATACCGCTGTTTTCTTACTCGTCGTTCCTTTCGTCACCATTCAGCATACTTGGTTGTTGTCTTCTCTCTTTCCTCCGGCTAACAAAGCGAAATAGGTATGAAGACGTCAGTCACATACTGTCCTGCCGGGGAACCACCTTGAGCTTGATAAGCCAACAGCCTGAGCTCCGCAATACCACTCCTGCCGAAGCGAGGCAGGTGGAGATCAGATGCAAGCTGATGTCCTCGGGTATTTATCGATATCACCAGGCCACACAGGAGTCGCTAAACGTTTCTACGTCACTCACTAGTTTGATCATTCCCTGCGAGACGTTGGGCCTGAAGGTCGATGCTGCCATCAAGATCGAAGCCGCCAACTCGTTATGGGATCACGGTGAAATGATACACTCCATTCGTATGCTTCAGGGCATCGACAACGATTCTTCTCTTAAGAAGCAAACAATCCCTGTGAGCCGTTCAGACCTTCTATCAAAGATCGGTCACCAGGTATCGGTAGCAAGACTGGAAAAGCCGCATCATATACAGAAAAACTACTTAGAGCCGGCTCTCAAGGAGTTGAAGGGCAAGAGCCAAGGCCAACAGGCCGGGCATGTCTTCCACCAATTCGCTTCGTTCTGCGATGGACAGCTGCAGAGCCAAGACGGCCTCGAAGATCTGGCTAGACTGCGGAGCCTGAAGAAAGGCAAGAGTGACGAGGTTGCCCAGCTTCAGAGCCTTATAGCAACCTGTCGTGACTCTCAGATGAAAAACAGGTATCAGTCTCATCTGAAGCGCGCCACGTTATGGTTGCACATTGACGAACAGGAACTTCGTCGTGTTGAGCAAACTAGAAGCGAGTTTGTCAAGCTTAGTGTGGAGAACTACTTATTATCACTTACCGCATCGGATGAGCATGATAATGACGCCTTACGGTTTACCGCACTCTGGCTCGAGCGATCGGACGAAGAGGCTGTCAACGAAGCTGTGAAGAGGCATCTTGACAAGGTTCCAACAAGAAAGTTCGCTACCCTCATGAACCAGCTTTCCTCAAGGCTGCAAAACCAACCGAATCTCTTTCAAAAGCTCTTGATTAACCTCGTCTACAACATCTGCGTTGATCATCCCTACCACGGAATGTACCAAATTTGGTCCGGAACGAAAGTCAAGACCAGAAAGGAGGATCAGGTGGCGGTGCTTCGGCAACAGGCAACTGAGAGAGTCGCAGGCATGTTGCAAACTAACAAAGCGGTGGCGTCGATTTGGCAAGCGATTGATAGAACCAGCAACTACTACCATCGCTTGGCTATCGACAAGGAAAATCCTAAGTTCAAGGCCGGACACAAGATTGCCCTGAAGGATATTCACTCGGCAAGTTCACTCATCAATGCGCTACTGAAGTACCAGATCCCACCACCAACCATGCAAATTGAGGTGGCAGCGGATAGGGACTATTCGAAGGTTCCGACCATCGCAAGACTCGAGCCACAAATGTCAATTGCGTCCGGTGTCAGCGCGCCCAAAATCATCACGGCCATTGGAACCGACGGAGAAGCGTACAGACAACTAGTGAAAGGCGGCAACGATGATCTACGCCAAGATGCCATCATGGAACAAGTTTTCGCGGCGGTTTCCGTCCTGCTAAAGCTCGATCGATCTACGCAACAGAGGCATATTGGTATCCGAACGTACAAGGTACTGCCCTTGACGTCGGCCTCGGGGTTGATCGAATTCGTCCCGCACACCATCCCACTGCATGAGTTTCTGATGCCTGCCCACGAGAGGTATTTCCCTAAGGATCTCAAAGGGTCTCAGTGTAGGAAAGAGATCGCGAATGTGGAGAGTAAGACCGCTGAATACCGGATCAATACATACCGGAAAGTGACGGAAAGGTTTCATCCTGTCATGAAGTATTTCTTCATGGAATACTTCATGGACCCTGACGAATGGTTCGCCAAGCGCTTAGCGTACACTCGAACGACAGCGGCGATCTCGATGCTTGGTCACGTCTTGGGCTTGGGAGATCGTCACGGCCACAACATCCTCCTGGACAAGAAGACGGGCGAGGTTGTCCACATTGACTTGGGTGTAGCATTCGAGATGGGCCGAGTTTTGCCAGTGCCCGAAACCGTCCCCTTCCGCCTGACCAGAGACATCGTGGATGGAATGGGTGTCACAGGAACGGAAGGTGTCTTCCGTCGCTGTTGCGAGTTCACGCTTCACGCGATGAGGGAGGAGACGTACTCAATCATGACGATTCTCGACGTGTTGCGGTACGATCCGCTGTATTCATGGTCTATAAGTCCGACACGACTGGCCAAGTTGCAAGGAGGTCTGGTGGGCATCGGAGGAGGCGACGACGATGGCGATGTTGACATCATCAGAAAGACCAAAAAGGTCGGCGGCCTGGTCAACGAGCCATCAGAGGCCGACCGGGCGCTAGAGGTAGTGCGCAAGAAGTTGTCGAAAACCTTGAGTGTGACCGCCACGGTCAACGACCTCATCAACCAGGCCACGGATATCGGCAACCTGGCCGTTTTATATTCAGGTAAGCCCTATCCCCCCTCGATACCTGATCCGCTACATTGCGCTTCTCTTTCTTCCTACCCTGAAAAGTTGCCTGTCTCGTTTCCAGACACTAATAAGTTACGCAGGTTGGGCGGCATACGCATGATAGATAGCATGATACCCCTTTGCAAGCAGAATAGAATAGTGTCTCTGTGTGTCCTTGTTCCTGCCGCTGTCCTTGGTGTGTTATACCTGGTGTCCATCGGCCCTGATGTCCGTCCTCCTCGGTGCCTGTCCTCCTTAGTTTCCGCCTTCCTCAATGTCCACCCTCCTCATTATCTGTAATTTTACTACCAATTGCCCTTCCTGCTGTCCTTGCTACCTGCTTTTATAGTCGATGTTCTCTTCATTGTTCAAAGTGTTACCTTCGTCTGAACTCGTCTGTGGTGCTACTTTCTCAAGTGTTATCAGATTATACGACATTGTTTTGGTTTTTCTGGTATTTATAGTCTTTCGTGTCCGCTATCCCTGTCTGGAAACACCTAAGTAGTAATCCTTTGATGGATGGCTATGTCGCTAGATCCAATGTTAAACCGCAGAATGTTTGGATGTATAAGTGACTAGAAAGAACCATCCTCAAAAGACGATGAGCTATCAATGGATCAGTCACGATATCCAGCACTGCCTCGACACCAGAAGTTGTTTCATTAAATTATTTTTTTTAAACCCAAGTAACCATTTGTCAAATGCTGCACTGAATCAAGTCCATCAATCTGATGTGAGGTAGGTAGTTGAAGGGACGGTATTAGGGAAAGCGTAAGGAAATGCAATTAGAAGGTTGTACCCTCATAAGCGAATCCACCGACTAGTTTGGTGGAGTAAGTGGGGGTCTTATCTAATCCCTAGTCACTGCGATAAGAGACGTACTTTCTTAAATGGATGATGCGAACGACGGGATGGTGATTTGATAATGAAGCTGGGATACATAGCTCCGCGTTTAACTCCGCGTCAAGCCTCCCGCGACAACTTCCGCATTGTTCGTGTCGAAACTCCCGCAACGTCACCACACCCAATACTTCTGCAGCTACCCGACGACTTCCCTTCTTTGCAACTTCGACGTGATTGAGAACCAAGACATCTCGGATCAAGGGCGCCTGCCATCTCCACCTCAGCCTCGATTCCAGAAAAGCAACCAGATCTGCAACAGCTTGGAGAGAAGTTGTTGCAGGGCCATACGGTCCATGCGGTCGAATTCACCCCCGGCAGTCGAGGGAGCTTTGCCATCACGGGCGACGGGAAGGACAGGCGGATCTGGTTCGATTGCAGACACGAACAGCACACAGCGACGAAGACCCCGCGCGGACTCGGACGTTTCGCGCTCTGGTTCAGTTGCCCCGCATCAGCAGCAGTCACCGAGCAGACCAAGTCCGAAGCGCTTCAGATTTGGTGTCGAGGATTCCCCCAATTCCAACATGTCGACCAAGATGAAGGGCAAGCTCCCTGAGGTCGTCGACCTCACCCAGACCAACTCGTCTCAACCGTACTCGCGCGCGAAGAAACTGGTCATTAAGAACCTGAGGCAACCGGCGAAGAACGAGCAGCTGGAGCAATACTACAAGCGGACGGAACAGGAGTTACTTGACGCCTTGCAAGACATCTTCAATGGCCGCAAACCACAGCTGCCGCTGGAGCGGTTGTACCGGGCGGTCGAAGATATCTGCAGGCGTGGCAACAGCAACGACTTAGAACTTTACGAGATTCTACGTCGGAAATGCGAGGAGCATCTTACTAGCAATGTGTTGCGCTCGATTAAGTCACAAGGCGGCACCACAAACGTGGACATGCTGAGGAGCGTCCATAAGCATTGGCGCGTTTGGAACAGTCAGATCGTAAGTCCGAGACTTGGTGGTGTATTGAACCGCACTGCTAACATTGGATTCTACCAGATCATGATACGATCTACTTTCAGCTATCTCGATCGCACCTTTCTACTTAAGAACAAGAGCTACCAGTCCATCAATGACTTGACGATTTCCCAGTTCAGAAGGATGACTTTCCCATCCAGAGAGGATCTGGAGGGATCATCACCGGGCGGCAGGGCCTTGCGTGGCATGTACGACTTGATATCGTACGATCGTACCGGAGACGAACGATTCGATGCTTCACTGCTCAAGGAATCCGTCATGATGCTTCATGTCTTCAACAACTACACGAAGCTTTTTGAACCCCGCTTCATAGATATTTCGGCGGAGTACTTCCTTGAGTTTGCTGAAGAACGGAGCTCATCAAGTCTGAAAGAGTACATTCTTGCATGCGAAAGACTTTTGAAGAGGGAGGATTACCGGTGTAACGAATACAATCTGGATTCGACGACAAAAAAGCAACTCCTCGATGCCGCGCATAGCATATTGGTCAACAAGTACTCCGAAAAGCTTTTGAATGGGGATAGCTTGTCGAAGCTGTTGGCTGAAAACGAAGTGGAATCACTAAAGGCGCTGTACGACTTGTTGCGTTTGTCAGGAATCCAGAAGAAACTCAAGGAGCCGTGGAGCGCGTATATTCGCAAAACGGGTACAGCCATCGTTGCTGACAAGGAACATGGCGACGATATGGTGCGGAGGTTGCTTGAGCTTAAAAGAGCCTTGAGTCTTATCGTCCGCGATTCCTATGGAGGCGATGCGGACTTCGTGAACGAGCTCAGGAATGCATTTGGCGACTTCATGAACGATAGATCCATCGCATCGACATGGAGTTCGGGCACATCCAAGGTGGGGGAGATGATTGCAAAGTACGTCGACATGCTGCTGCGAGGTGGGCTGAAGGCGCTTCCCAAGGCGCTGCTGTCAGACAACAAGGATCGCGCAGAGGCAGAGCAAAGTGGCCAAGCCAGTACTGGTGACGAAGATGCGGAGCTCGACCGCCAACTGGACCAAGCTCTGGAGCTATTCCGTTTCATTGAGGGCAAGGATGCGTTTGAAGCATTCTACAAGAAGGATCTAGCTCGTCGCCTGCTGATGGGCAGAAGCGCCAGTCAAGACGCAGAGAGAAACATGCTGCGGAAGCTGAGGGACGAGTGTGGTAGCAACTTTACACACAACCTTGAACAGATGTTCAAGGATGTCGAGGTTGCCAAAGAGGAAATGGAGGCATACAAGCTGTGGTCAGAAGGCAGTGGTGCGGAAAGGCCTCCAGTGGACCTGTCGGTCATGATCTTGTCTGCTGCGGCGTGGCCCACGTATCCCGACGTAAGAGTCAACGTACCGGACGACGTTGCAAAGCAGATTGAACGTTTCGATCAGTACTACAAGAACAAACACACCGGCAGACTTCTGAACTGGAAGCATGCATTGGCACATTGCACGGTCAAGGCCAAGTTCCCCAAGGGCACGAAGGAGTTGTTGGTCAGCGCATACCAGGCCATCGTCCTTGTTCTCTTCAATGAAGTCGGGCTCGATGGCTTCCTTGCCCATGAGCAGATTGCCCGCTCGACTAACCTCCAAGGGGATGAGCTAAAACGAACACTGCAATCACTTGCCTGCGGTCAAGTTCGTGTGCTCTCTAAACATCCCAAGGGAAAGGACATCAACCCGGAAGACACCTTCTCGATTAACAAGGCGTTTCAACATCCCAAAATCCGAGTCAAGATCAACCAAATTCAGCTCAAGGAAACGAAAGACGAGAACAAGGCTACCCATGAGCGCATTGCGCAGGACAGACGATTCGAGACCCAGGCTGCGATCGTCAGAATCATGAAGAGCCGCAAGACGATGAGCCATGGAGAGTTGGTGGCCGAGGTCATCAACATGACTAAGAACCGCGGCGCCGTTGATGCGGCGCAAATCAAGAAGGAGATTGAAAAGTAAGTTATTTCACTGGATGCTTGAATATTTATACTAACATACCGACAGCTTGATTGATAAGGATTATTTGGAGCGCGAAGGCAATACTTATACGTACTTGGCGTAAACGACGGCCTCAGAGGAGCTACTGTGTGCATTAGACCTAGACACGTAAGGTGTGGGCATGCTAAGGCAGGCAGATGTAGATTACATGACTACAAGAGGCGTTGTACATGAGTTTTATGAGAATGCGGATGGTAACGAGGCAGTTAGGCGTTCAATCACAGTCCACAAATCAGGGCAATTTGTCGAGAGCGATTCCCGAAGTGCATCTCATCGCGGTCGGTGAGTCGGTGAAGCTTCGGTGAGAACCCGCAGACCCCTGTAGGTCCCTGCGGAAAATCATTGGACCTAGCGCATTGCGGGGTTCGAAAAAAGTTGCGGCGGTCCCTCTGCGCCTAGCCAAAATTTCCAGCCAAAAAATTGTGCCAAAGGCGGTCGGCGCGAAATCTTTCCCAGAGGTCCCAGAGTTCGATCAACTTTTTGTACGTGAAGTCCCAACCTCGACGATTTTGTGAGGCATACAAAGACTCTTCGACACCGGATCCCGAGTCGCCGAATGACAACTTTGTCATTATTTATTTCTTAATTGACCCTACCGAGTACCAAAAGAAGAGAAAAGAAAAAAGAAAACCGCCAAGATGCCCAAGTCTAAGCGCAACAGAATCGTGAACCTGACCCAGGTCAACAAGAAGACGCGCGAGCAGAAGGACAAGCTCTTCTCCAACATCCGCGAAACCGTCCCCGAGTACCAGCACTGCTTCGTCTTCGCGGTCAACAACATGCGCAACAACTACCTCAAGGAGGTCCGCCACGAGCTCAACGACTGCAGGTCCGTCGCCTTCCCCCAAAGACCCTCTGTGGATGGTGTTGCCGGGATATCTTGGATGAGTTGACACAGGAACTGCGTGCTAACTCCGCGGGGCTGCGCAGACTCTTCTTCGGCAAGACGAAACTCATGGCCAAGGCCCTGGGCCAGGACGCCTCCTCCGCCGTCGCCGACGGCATCGACCGCCTCACCCCCTTCCTCTCCGGCACCGTCGGCCTCCTCTTCACCAACCGCGACCCCAAATCCGTGCTCGAGTATTTCGAGGGCGTCTCCCCCGTCGACTTCGCGCGCGCCGGCACCGTCGCCACGCGGGACTTCGTCGTCCCGCCCGGCGTCGTCTACGCCACCGGCGGCGAGGTCCCCGCCGAGCACGACGTCCCCATGGAGCACAGCATCGAGCCCGAGCTGCGCCGTCTCGGCATGCCCACCCGCATGATCAAGGGCCGCGTCTGCCTCGGCGACGCCGACGGCTCCTCCGGCGAGGGGTACACCGTCTGCAAGGAGGGCGACACCCTCGACAGCCGGCAGACGAGGCTGCTGAAGCTCTTTGGTATCTGCTTGAGCGAGTTCAAGGTCCAGGTCATGGGGTATGTTCTCTCCTTCTCCTGCCCTTGTGTGTACGTTCACGGACATTTGGATTGCTGACTTTCTCTGCGTAGATACTGGAGCGCCGCGACTGGTGAGGTGACCGAGGTGAATCCCAACGCCATGGACGGCGTTGACGAGAGCGACTAAAATTCCTCTTGCTGGGGAGGTGGAAACATATGGATGACCAACAAAAAGCTTCTAGACTTGATGATTGCTTCTTCATGTAGGCTGATACCATCATGGATTGCGAGGGGTGGACAACAAAAACAACACGGCGTTCGGGCGGTTCATTAGGTCGGGCAACTTTTTCACACGAAGATTTTTTCCCCTCGTCAATCGAGGAATTTTGATTTCTTTCTCATACGCGTAGGACTTTTTTTTTCAGATGTGTGTACGCAAAATCTGCGACGATAGAAACGTACTCAAACAAGCAAAAAGAAAAGGCTACGTACGACCTGTCTGTCTGGGAAAACGAGAAGGTCCTCACCTATTCGTACAATAATTATAACGCGGTACATGCGGGATTACCATATCCCCCTCCATTTTTTTCTCAATGATCCATTTGTGTGCTCCATACTAAGCTCCAGGTCAGTAGGCACGGAGTCCCTTACCTCTGACCTTACCTGCAGCGCCGGTGAACCATACAACGGTTTGTGGTGTTCGGTTTGCGTTGAAGCAGATTGCGCGCCTTGAATTCGATCCATTTTCGGAATTAACACGCAGACAAGGTTACCTTCAACGAAATGCTGCAGCAACTTGGTGTGCCTGATCGACTATCTGAGGCTGGGATGCCTGGCGAATGGTTTGTGGTTTGTAACTTGGTGCGGATGGTGTCGACTTTTCATGACCAGGAGATGGTGAAGACTCTCTTTGCGCTTAACACCTTCTGCTTACCCTCGACTGAGAATAGGAAGGAGAAAAGAGACTGAAAGATGAGACGAGCGAGTTGTCACCCACCACAAGACACTGTGTGTCTCGTCAGTAACGACGCAACTTTCTGGGGTCCTCGTAACCGCCTTCGTATCCGCGTTTCCTGTTGTCGTCGTCGCGAGGTCGGTCGTAGTCTCTGTCCCTGTGGCTGTCGCGATCCCTGTCGCGGTCTCTGTCGCCACGATCGCCTCTGTCGGCTCTGTCGCCTCGGTCACCGCGATACCCACCTTCTCCTCTGGGTCTGATCGGTTCCATGTTGCTTCCGGTCCTTCGGCCTCCATCGCGGTCGCGGTCCCTGTCACGGTCACCGTACCGGTCGCCGTAACGACCGCCAGATCTGTCGTCATGTGAGCGGCCACCACCGCGGTCATACCCACCGCCGGAGAAGCTACGGTCGCCTCCGAAGCCGCGGCCAGGTCCCGAAGGGGCGTCCCTAGGTGCGCCGTATCCGTTAGGCCCGCCGCGGTCACCGCCACGGTTACCGAAGTCGCCGCCGCCGCCGCCGCGGAATCCTCCACGACCGCCAAAGCCTCCCCTGAAGCCACCGCGGCCGCGTCCTCCTTCGAAGCCGCCACGGAAGCCTCCGCGGAAACCACCGCCAAAGCTGCCACCAGCGCCGCCGCCCATGGGTCTGGCAGGCAGAGCCTTGGTGTAACCTCGGCCTCCGAGGCCGCCACCGAGACGACGGGGCACCCAGCCCTTAACGGTGCGGCCTCGTTCGACGTCTACCTTGATACGTCGGTCCTTGATTCGAATACCATCGCAGGCATCTAGAGCAGCTACTCACCAGTGCGCCAAGGCGCGTGTGTCAGTAAAACCTTACCAATATCATACCTTTGCGTCATGGAATGGAGTAAAGGAAAAACAAGATTGTGAGACGGGCATGCTTGAGGGCCACGATTCTCAATGTGTAAAGCAGGGCATGGGCAGGCTTGAGGGCCACAAGCCTAGAAGGGGTTTGGCAGTTTTACCTCTCATATCTTTCTCTCGTTCGAACACGACGAAAGCGTAGCCACGATGGGCCTTCTTCTTCTTTCTGGGTTTCTCGTGAGCATGGGTGTCAGTGACGATACGGATCTATCGAGTTGTTAGTTTGGTTCAAGTAGAGAAGAAGGGAGGATAACATACTCGCTCGATAGGGCCGAATCGACCGAACTCCCTCTCAAGGTCCTGCTCATTGGCCTCATATGAAAGTCGCGCAACGATCAACGTCTTGAAGGCATCGCCACGGACGTTGGGATCCTCGTGGGGTTTGACTAGAGAAAAAGGAAGTTAGCAAACGTTTTCTCGATCAATGAGCAGATGATACGAACAGTTATTCGGCCCCTCCGTCTTGAGCTTCTCAACTGCGGCCTGCTTCTCGCGCTTCTTCCGGTCGCGCATCTCCAGCCAGCTCTCTGTCGGCTTGTAATCGTCGGTCTCCTTATAGGCCTGAAGTGCGGGCAGGAATTCGGCGACACCGGAGACGGGCAGCGTCTTGCGTTTCTCGGGCGCATGGTCGGGAGGCGCAACCCATCGCAAGGGCGGGCGCGGCGCGAACAGCGCCAAAAGGTTGGGAGGGAGCTTATCCGTCATCGCAAGGAGCTCTTCCCGTCGTCAATATCCCTGTGTCGTGTGTGTCCAGTGTCTCTGGAGGAATGCGCGCGATGCCGTGCAGCTAGCGATGCTGCGGCGTAATGAAGTGGGATGAGGATTGTCGAGAGAAGTGTGTCGCGTCGGATTGGAAATTGACACGAGCATGGGAAAGTTTGTGGTGCAGCCTGGCCAGTCTTCACCCGTAGTTCAGCCGGCCAATCCGGCATGGAAGCTCGCCCTGTGGATAGGTACGTACCGAAGCTTCCGCCTCAGGTGGCTGATGCGTCGAAGCCTCTGCGTCGGGTTTCCGCGCTAAGAAATTTCCCGCTCCGTGGTCGTTGAAGCAGAGTCTCGCGATCCAGATCAGCAATTGGATTCTGTATGTCACGCAGGGTACCATGACGATCCAGGCGTTGAAAACGGTGTCAAAGGGCCAGGTATGTACTCTGTTCTTGCGATTGCTTTGTAGTATTCACTGACAGATTGACAGAATGGCCTCGGCTCATTCATCCTCCAGTGCAAGAAGTTGGACTTCCACTACTGCGACTGGGCTGGTAGCTCCAAGGGCATGAAGTACGTAAATACCCTACGGCGATGCTTGAGACCATTTTCTGACGCGTATTCCAGCGGCTTCATCAAGTCTCAGCTCCCGAAGTTTGCCAAGTCTCACCCCCAGATCGAATTCTCCGTCTCCCCTCGCCCCTCGAAACACCCTATGATCGTCGGCCACTACATCAACGGCCGCCAGAAGTCTATCTGCGTACGGAATATGGAGCCACTCGAGATCCTGAAGAAGGCCGAGCTTCTGCGCGACGCCAGCGGAGAGAAGCTGAAGAAGACCAACAAGCCGGTGACGAGTATCAACCCCAGTGTTAGAGGTGTCTGGTCTCCTTACCACGGCAACGGCATGGCTGTATGAGATTCTACGAAATAGTTCATACGATATGTTTTGGGAAGCGTGTACAATTACGACTCGGGGGGAGGCGTGCAGAGGAGGAAAAAAGCAACATGGCATCATCGATGCTTGTACCATATTTCACCCGATAGGGAGGGACAAGAGCGCCCCTTAAGCGCTCAGATACGACAATCTCAACAGTCACGATTGGTCACAGTTATTTTACGTCGTGTTGGGGTATAATTGATTTGTTCTTCTCTACTGCCTCAGGAGCTATGTAAGGAATCGTCCTCAGTTTGCTTTCCGAGGGCTACCCAAGCCGTTACGAGGCCATTTTTAAGCGGTCATCATCATCAGGTATGTGCTGTTTAGGGATTTACTGCTTGGCGTTGACAATGTCGACGACTGTAATCTGTTAGTGGTGGGATGGAAATGGTTGACGGGTCGGTACTCACAGCCAGGCTTCAAGCTGGCACCGCCAACAAGGAAGCCGTCAATGTCCTTCTCCTTGGCCAGTTCCTTGCAGTTCTTCTCGTTGACACTGCCGCCGTACAGGATGCGAGTCTCCTCAGCGACCTTGTCGCTGACGTTCTTGGCGAGCCAGGAGCGGATGGCGGCGTGGACCTCCTGGGCCTGCTCGGTGGTGGCGACCTTGCCGGTGCCGATGGCCCAGATGGGCTCGTAGGCGATGACGACCTTGGACCAGTCGGAGATGGCGGCCTTAAGGGCGGCCAGCTGCTTGCTGACAACGTCGACGGTGGTGCCGGCCTCGCGCTCCTCGAGTGACTCACCGCAGCACCAGATGGCGCCGACGCCGTTCTCGGTGGCGTACTTGGTCTTGGAGGCAACAACCTCGTCAGACTCCTTCAGAATTGTGCGGCGCTCAGAGTGACCGAGAATGGCCCAATTGATGTTGCTATCCTTAAGCTGGGAGACGGAGATCTCGCCGGTGAAGGCACCGTCGGGCTTGTCGTAGACGTTCTGGGCAGCAACCTCGATGTCCTTGCGGAGGAGCTCACGGGTAAGCTGGAGGTAGATGGCAGGGGGAGAGACGACGACCTCTGAGAGTGACTGTCAGCTGCATTGTTTCCCTCCCTCGATCCGATCTAATTGGAATGCCACGTACCAGTGTTGGGGTCGAGGGTAGCGTTGTTCAGGTTCTCGACAATCTTCTTGATGGACGACACGGAGCCGTTCCTAGCAGAAAGAAAACAAGCCGCGTTAGAATGTGGTATTGTTGTTTTGGACGGGACCGGAGCTTGCATCCCCTCTCCATCCGCAGAGATCGTGAACCCCGCCAACAAAAGAGACTTACATCTTGAAGTTGCCGCCGACGAAGAACTTGCGAGCCATGTTGGGCAATTGATGATATCTGATGATTCTAGGGAGAATGATGAAGCTTCGGGAGTCCGATAATCGATTCAGGAAGATCAGATCAAGTCTGGATGTAAATGACGCAGTACAGGTTTTGGACGTTAGCTTGTCGTAGGTAGCAACGAAAAGACCTCAGGGTTGGGTCACGTCAAAAAGCTCCAGCGCGAGGTGGGCTGCGCTTGTCTCATGGAGCGGCAGAGAGGGGCTCGCGCAGGACGGGCATGCCATGCAGGAGGGGCACCTCACCTCAGTGAGGTTGCCAGTGGCACGCTGCCACGGCCACCTCACAGCGCTCACAGCACAAAATCAGCAGTTCCGGTGGGGCTCCGATCTGGCCCGGCGCCTGCAGTTGCCCCGCACTCAACCTCACTTTCTCAATGGTGACCTGAGCCGTTCCTTCGCCGTGGGCTGAGACTGTCCTCCTCCAACAACGAGTACTCCCTCAACAGTTTTCGTGCCCAGTCGTTGCATCCCTTCACCCTGTGTGCCGAGCCTCTGTCTAACAACCCAATCGGATGTCTTGGTTCATCCTCAGAGCTCAGATCAACGGCACTCAATAGCACATGGCCAGGTCAGGACTAGCTCATGTCTTCAGTCGAGACATCGGCATGTCCAAGCTTAATATTTAACGACAGGAGAACTACCAAGCCGTCATAATGCTAGAGGAGTTGCGACCAAAGCCTTGGAATATGAAGAATATTTCCGAAAGAAGTTGACGATTTGATTATTATTGTTGGTACGGCGATGTTTCCGGGTAGCCGGACTTTGTCAAACCTGTATTTCTGTGAGGTAAAGGCCTCGGGCCAATCGCTCATGGACCCTGATTCTCCCGATTATACGGCTATTTGATGTTCAACGTCAGTGAACCTCGGCATTCATGGAAGAAACCTTCGGCAGAAGAGTAACAGGGTGAGAATTGAGTGGGTGGTTTTCAAGTTGGTGTTCTTCATGACTTGAGCAGTCAGTCAAAACTCAATAGCTTCGACTGCTGTCAGTAATACATAGCCGTATTTCTCCAATCATCGTGGTCCAGAGCATCCATACACGACTTTTCTCTATGAGCCCCTTACGAAGCTGACCGTGACAAAAGGGCCGACTTGAACGTATCTATGTGTCCCTCACGTTTACCGCATCTGTATAGCTGGGTCAGAGAGTCAAAGGAGTCGTTTAGCACAGCTGAGACGCCTTCGATGTTGACACGGAGGTAAACATGATCGTGTGCCATGAGCTCTGCGTTCTCTGGACTGCACTCAAAAGCAACAAGCTGCCGTCATTTCTCAGCTATTCAATAAGAAACATCTGAGGCGCTTCGGCGATTCGGCGAGTTGAACAGGTTTTCTCTTTCCCCGGTTTGTGATAGACTTCATGCCGTAACAGGCGGGAAAAGAAAACTGGCATTGATCGACCGCGTAACTGTCATCCTGTCCAGAACCCATGCTCTTGGGACACAGATCTCTTAGCTGACTTACCCTGAACAGCCCGTCGGCTTCACAACCCATGTCTGCTGATCCGGGAATAAGAAAGCAATCGGCATCTTTTGGTCCTTGTCGAAGACCGTGCTCGACTTCACATCTATCATACCAGCTCAAGATTTTCTTCATCTGGTTAGGAAAGTCTCAGCTATGACGGATGCCCTCTTGGACGACGCTCCTTTGATGAAGCGTTGCTTCATGAGTCCAACGGGCTGCGGTGAGCGCCCAGGATATTTCACATGCGACTAAAGCAACCAAAAAGTAATCTTATCAGAGAAAAGAATACATCCCCCATTATCTTCGTTCCGCAAGCATTTTGACGCTACCAAAGTTTATCGCGGTCGCTTCAGACGCCTTCCTCGCTGCGGTCATGGCCTTGAAATCGTAACAATAAGCTTATGTGATAGAAAGAGGGCTCGAATCTCGATAGCAGTGGAATTCACTGCGAGACGATGTTGATACCCGACTCACATGGAAGTCGCTTGTGGCGCCTTGATGCAACATTGACTCCCAACTTATGCTCTTTGAAAGATGCTTAATCATGATGAACTTCAACATGTTTACATCACCAGAATCGACGTCTTATTCAATTGAATAATCTAGACATTCATAAGCGATACTCCTCACATACCCCACGTTTTTCTGATGATGCGCGACTGGGTTTGCGCTATCAGACCGCTTGACCTTTCAGTAGGTCGGTCCCATGAGAACCGCATTGAGAAGATCAACGTTACCGTGACATTCTGTAACAATCTCGAGTATGCCTAAGCCAACCCACATCGAGGATATGCTGGACTGGTGGCCTTGCACAGCGCATGAACATGACAGTGCTTGGCTACTCGCGAGGCCACCCGTGTAAGTCGATACGTCTTAGGGTACTGTACTTGAGAGGCGTTGGTTTGGTCGTGAGACGCGGAGTGAGTGTGACTTGCACCTCTCATACACGCCAGCCGGTGTAATTCATCGCCAGTCTGCCCGAGACACGTTCAACTACACCAGTGTACAGGACGAAAGGACGTTCTAGAAGTATGGCGTTCTAAGAAAGAGTGCGACTTCGACCCCAAGCCGGTTGACGAGCGGACCGAGTGGAAGATCTGAACCCATGTCGTGGGTCGTTCTAGTTAGGCGTTCACTTAAGGAGCTGGGTCTCTCAGCCCGGAGGGCACAGCCGATGGCAGGCCGGACACCACGCGGGGCTAAGCCCCGGGCTGATCTCAGGGCCCAATCGCATCTTTTCTGGCCGGGATTCTAGTGCGGCTCTTGGCGTTTGTGGGTTCGTGAGGGACGGCGAGGGAGGGAAGAGGGGTGAGGAAGGCGTTTGTTGTTTTCGGGTCTCGTCCGCAAATGACAGGAACACCGGGACCGAGCTGCAGGCCTGCGAAGCTATTCGCAGATGACACAGGAACCCCAGTTTGAGGTCGTCGATTGAAACAGCTTCTCGCCAGGGTCAACTCGGAAACAGATCATATTTAGCAAGCCTACCACACAGACATCGTGTATGTTGGCGGACCAGCGGGGCTTCAGGATGATACAGGTAGGTGAAGCCGTTGAGACGTGTAGTTGTGACTACTCGTAGGAATGTCGACGATAGGTTGAATTCCGCCCGTTGTGTCATGGAATTGAAGCAGCAGGTAGTAAGTAATATCATGAAGATGTTGGGGAAAGAAGAAGTGAAGGTAGGAACAACAATCAGGGGCCGGCGGGAAGGGTCGTCCCGAGGATGACTAAGGTCACTGCTGTCGATGCTGCAGGGGCAGATGTGGAGATGGACTAGCCGTTGTAGAACCAACCGCATCAACTTCAACTGACACTAACTTGTCAAATCCTCCTCCATCACCAACACGACTTCACGTCAGCATGTGCCATCTTGTTCCATCCGCTGACATGCAGAACCTGCTTCGCATTTCTTCAGCATGTCAGCCATGGCTACCCTGGCTTATGTCGTTCGTCAGATAACGTAGCATTCAAACGCAGCCACTCATGGGATCCTCACGATCCGATGTGATAGGGACGGCAACATGACAGGGCAAGACTCGAAAGCACCCGTTTTGCGGGGTATATTTGAGCAACCCTGCCCTGAGAAACGGCCAGAGTGGTCGGTCTCCAAGTTTATTGGCTGGCAATCCAGAACGTCGAAGCCAAACGGTCCAAAATCGAAAAGGGACCGTGGTGCTCAGAATCCTCCGACGCGCTCGGTTTGACAATCCCCTCGCTCGGCCGTCAATGCGCTTCGACGAACCCAAACCCGTGCGTCCTGCCAAGCTCCAAACAATTTTTCCTAGGACTAGACCGCCAATAGAGGTGAAGCATTGAAGAGACGTCACGGCTTCGAAAAACGACTCGCCAATCTTTCCCTCCCGGCCAGAAACGCTTTTCTGATCTTCATCCAGGAAGACATGTCTCCTTCATGTTAAGTCTTGGTACAACCAGCACACCATTCTATCATCCCAGGCTCAATAATGACCAATACTAGAGGATTCTCTAAGGTGTCACCACCATACAACAGCATCCTGACCGGGGTCGGCACCCTGTTATCCAAACCGTTTATTCCCATCTTGCCGGCGTTTGTACCTAGCAGGCCACCACGCACACCTTTTTCCGGCCACCCTTCAGCATTTCATACCCATGATTGCGATTCTTGCGCATGATGTTGGCGATCATGGATGGGTTTCTGACAACGTCGATATCCAGAGCTAGAGCTGCTCTGGCAGCTGTCTGTCGGTAGCTGCGTTCTGCTGCCACCATGGTAGCGGCATTTGATCCCGGTCATCCACCTCGTCTTGTACGCCTGCAGATTCAATACACGCTAGTCGGGCGTTGAGCCTCCTCTTAGGCCAAGCGGACCAAGCCGCAAAATCGACGATAGGGCTGCGCGCTCACTGCTCTCGCCCTGGCTTCTAACGACGTTGGGAAGTCATGCTACTCTGCCACAGACTATGACTTACGGAAAGAAGCAAGGCGCCAAAGTATGGGCTGCTAGTCCAACTTTCTTCACACAGACATGCAACCAGCCAAGGTGCCGTTGTATCCACGGAGTGACATCCGTTAATTCCCTTTTCAGCACCGCCTCGTGGATACCCAATGGCCGAGAGAGACAACACGATACGACACCACCAGTTCCTCACGAGAACCCCAGTTCAAGTCCCCAGTGCGACTTTGCAAATGTCTCGCCAACGGCAACTTCTCCTACCGTCCCCCGCAACGGCCCCAGGGTTGAGCTGGCTACCGTCCAGAGTCAGATGGATATATTGGCCAGAGCGCGCATCATCATCTTGATGTCACAACCCTGGACATGCTTTCTCACTGCATCCGTCTGTTGATTAGGCTCAAGCACGGTCACCGTTGCTGAAAGACTCTTTTTTGCCCTCCCATTGAATTTGCCCATCCCCTCGTCCCGTCTCTCATTCGTCCCCGCGTGTCCTCGGACTGTCACTGGTGCTGTAAAGGGAAGAAAAAGGACGCCAACACCCCCTCCTTCTCCATTTGTGTCAACATCGTTTTCGGGCTTTTGGTCTTCAGTCTTTTGTAAGACGATGTTGAGGACATCGACGACATGAGGATTCCGCCGCCAGAAGTCATTCTCAGTTGGCCAACACCACGTTACGACAACCCCGAAACGAGAGGCCCGGCCAACGAGATCATTGCTCTTATCCTCCTGGCTATTGCTACGACAATCATCGCCATCCGGACATACACCCGAAAACATATTACCAATGGATTTGGATGGGATGATATCCTCGTCATCTTGGCGTTTATTCCAGCTACGGGGTTCGTCGTGGTTGGAATGATATCAATGGACAGATATGGCTGGGGACGACACGTGTGGGATGTGCCCGTCGACAGACTGACGGGATCTCTTCAGATGGGACTTGCCAGCCAAATCTTGTTCGACCTAGCGACAACTTTCACAAAGCTATCGATGCTTGCCTTGATATATCGCATTGCGCACGAAGCTTCTCGGAAGTTCAGTCTTCTTGTCATTGGATTGGAGGCGTTCATCGCTATGAATGGCATAATCTTCATGCTCGTGGCGATGTTGCAGTGTCGGTAAGTGGATCAGCCCTCTTTCCTAGCTCTCTTTCTTATACGAACTAGGCCACTATCACAATATTGGACTCTGTCAGCAGAACCACAAAACTGCATCAACGAGGCAGCTCACCTTCTGGTCGCAAGCATTATCAACACTGTCACCGACTTTGTGGTGGTGCTGCTTCCTCTGACACTGGTCCGCATCGTCTACAAGAACAAGCTCTCTTCAAGACAAATGCTCATCGTCAACATGTTGTTTGGCGCGGGATTTCTCGCTTCCTTTGCAGGAGCAGCTCGCACGTATTTCACCTGGGTCATGACCACAGAAGCGGACGTCACATGGAACGCCTGGATGAATTGGCTCATGTCATGTGTTGAGTTATTTCTCGGGATTATCTGCACCAGTGTGCCGTCGACGAAGCCTTTTTTCAACCGCTACCTGCCAAGGCTACTATCCTCAAAGTCGCACAAGTCACAACGCACAAGCTTACCGATGGCCACCGACAAGGCTACGAAAGGATCACAGATGGGAAGCCAATTGACCTTCGAGACTGATCTGGAAGCCTCCGACACTATTCCCATGGAATCCCCAGTGTCGACACCCACGCCTGGCAACGCAAAACGCCTCAGCGAAGGGACATTGAACAAACCCTTACCAGTGGTTATCAAGAAGAACTCGGTCTACACCATCAAGATTCAATTGGATGAAGCCAGTTTGAGCCCCGCGGACAGGAGAGATCGAACGTTGAATCAACAAGCAATCAGCGCTCCGAGCAACGGAATACACAACTTCAGCCGACCAAAAGTCCTCCAAACCCGACGTAATTCGGAACCACACAGCCAACATCGTCTCAGCCTGTACAGCACCGGAGACGTGAACGACGACAACAGTCGGTACAGCCAGGCAATGGACGACGTTGACAGCAGCTACCGGCACAGCATCGACGATGCTGAGGCTAGCATTCTCCAAAGCTCTTACGACCCGCAGACCTATGTCGCGTCTACACGAAACCTCACCGTCCCGACGAAAGGCCATACCAAGAATCCCTCTGTCGGCACTTTTGGGGGCTAATTCGGTGGCAAGGCTGTCACATCCGACGTACATTGCAGACGGGAAGACCCATCTCACATGGTTTGAGGCTTCCCTTCCTTCGGCCGGCGTCATCTTTTCAGGGACGGGATATGGCGGCTACACTTGGAGCTTATGATACACCCACCGCCAAGGCAAAGGCGGCAGTTCCTGCATCTCATTTCTTCTTTCATACATGTTTATACATTTAAGCTTTTCGGGAGCCAGACCCGAACTTTAGTCACGACGTTAACGACCAATAATACATACAGACTGTATTTCTATTCGTGCCACCTCTTGTCTTGCCCATCTGTCCTTGTGCCCTACCATCTCTTCCATCTGCTGATTCTGAAGAACCTTAAACCCCAAACATCTCAAATCTGCCTGAACTCTGAGAAAGCTTGGCTCCAGATCTGGCCCCGGCCCAGACGGTCTCTCTTTCTAACTGGCTCGCTGCTCGCTGTTAGGTCTTCCGCCCCGTACATGCTGTATTGAGACCAGCAGACCGATATCCGTCGGCACTTCCCTCCGGCGGCGACCGGCTCTACGCCACACAGCAAAAAGTCAGTCGGGCGTGTCTCGTCTCCCCTCCACCCACACCGTCTTACCAATTACTGACATGACTTGCTTCCATGAGGCAAACCGAATAAGCTTCATTCTGCGCGTTCCACTGGAGCCGTCCCGATTCAAGGACCCCGTTTGTTTGCCGCAATCGAAGGAGAGTGGCGCCACCTTCTCGCCCTTGGCTGTCTATCCTTCTGCTCTAACTTCCCTTCGTGCAGAACGCAGCCTCCAAACCGTCCCCGTTACTATCACCAGCGAGACAACTCGACCGAATGCCAGCCAGCACCAAGCGGTAACAGACGTATGCAGGCAACAAAGTCCCGTTAACGTCCCGCTGCAACTCCGCACCTTGTGTTGCCCAGCGCTGCCAGGACGGTTTTGATGTACATCGGATAGTCAGCCCACGTCCACGTGCGTGCCAAGCCTAACATGGCCAGGTACACTTTTGCTGCTGCCGCCATGGCCGCCTTCGACACACACCAAGTTGGCTTCCGCCGTATCCTGCAGCCGCACAGGCGGCAAGTGGGTTACAGAAACAACTTACACGCATAAGATCCTCAAGGAGGAAATACTATGAAGAAAGAAGAGCACTAGTGTTGCTCTGAAAAGCAAGACTTCGGGATTATTCCAGGCTCACATAGATGTAGTGTGTTGTGAGCCTGGAGTAATCCCAACCTAGATGTGCTGGGCAGACGCGACGTCTATGTTGTCGTCAACTCCCGCAACTCCCTTGAACGCTTTCTTCAACGCTCCCTTGTGGGACCACCATGGCTTGGCAAGTTTGGTCTCGCAGACACATAACAAACATGCTGCACAGACAGAAACATCGCCGGGCCCAGCACCAAACAAAACAAACTTGACCTCAATCTTGCATCGGCCCTTCTCAGACTCCACGATCCGGCAACAACATGTTGTCTATCTCGTCCTCACAGTGAAAACAAGAACAGAGTTGACATCTCAACCATAACCATAAGACCCCGTCATTATGCCACCAGCACAGGAGTCCTTGTCCAGTAGACCCGTAAGCATCAGCTAATCAGCCTGATCGCCATCTTCGAGACAAGACAACCAACCATCCGGGGGGGGGGGGGGGCCGCGCGCCGCGCCCCCGCGCGCCCGGAGCCCCCAG